AATGTTGACAAGCATATATGTGCTTTTACATTGAGATATTGTGATTCAAGCAAGTAAAACGTAAATAAGAGTACACTGAGGGTATTTTGGGAGGATTATAAAATAAAATATCGTAATATTTGAATAAAAGATCTATTTACTGTTCCACTTATCTTCAGTGATTCTTGATAAAAATACAATCATAAAAAAAAAAGTCATTCTGTAAAGAATGGATTCAATCACGGGTTTATTATATATAAAAAATGCACTATAGCAGTTATAGAAGCAAATAGATTCTATTGTATGGCCATTCGAGTCACAGAAATGTTGTGATCGAGCTTATATACAGATATAACTCTATCATCAATTCTTTCTTTCTTATTTGATAACCTTTCTATAAATCATTATTGCATTACTCTTTAAATCAAATACATGCTATTACACTCTATTTACTACGCATTGATTACTCATCAACATATAGAAAACAATAGTCATACATTTATTCCAGATAATACAATCCAATGATATGATCGCTCGTCAATAACAAGATTCTCGAAGGTACCATGAGATGCTCGATCTTTAATTGACAATACGCCTATTGTATATTTGACAGGTTTCACTTTAATGATTGATATTCAGCCAGCCCTGAATATGTATATAAAGAACCCAATTTATTGTATAATAAAGACTTTAGTTTATTTTTGCAGTTTGATAATTTTACTTCGTCAAATTTCTTTATTTTTATTCTTAATTCGTTGCTTTATCTCTCGAATTTCTCAAGAAACCGTTAATCGCAACAAGTAATCTGGGTAACTGATAATTATTTCCCATAAGTCAACAGTATCTTTTTTCTAATTGAAAACTTTACAGACCCAGCTGCAATTGCTGCTGTGTACCAATTGGTGTCAATAGGACAGGTTGGGGCCAGATGGTATATTTTGCCTTTTAAAGAATGATTTATGAAAAACGATAAAAAACATGTTAAAATTTGCTCATAACTATTATATTATTTTGTAGTGAATGGACATAATTGAATAAATTTAGCTGAATGGAGTTTTATTTACAATGAAATGTAGAAGTATATATAGAGGTGCTAAGATGTGAGTTATTCAAGTCATAATTGAGGAGGATGGATTTAGTTTCCTTGTATTTTTGATTTTTGAATAACCTTCCGACTTGTACTGATATTTGGGCTGTTGTTGAATAACGGGAAGATATATTTTTTTTAGATCACCAGTAACACCATTTAAAGGACCTAATGGTGTAACTTTAGATTTTCTACTAGAAGGTTTTTTGCTTGCTTGCGGTATAATATCCAAACATAATGGTGCTTTATTGATGCAATGGGGATGGAATTTCAAATGGCAATCTAAACACAACGAGATATGAGTATAATGCTAAAAACATGCTAGAAATATGTTATTATTTACCCTGACAATTTTTGATCCAAATTTTTTTCATCTGAATTTTGCAACCATAGCATTTTTCCCCAACCTGGTTAGTTTGATAGTCTACAAATTCATGTGTCATTTCGTAATTCTGTGCATCTGATAGCGTTTCTCTGTCGGATGGCTCCAGTAATGTTTCACTCTTACTCTTTATCACATTAAAAGCTGGTGATGGTTTAAAGTATGGTGCCATCCATTTCGATTGCATGAGGTCATAAGCGGTAGGCCTATCTTGAGGATTTTTTTTAAAACAAGCCAATAAAAATTCTCTACCGTCCTCTGATAAAATGATGTTTTTAGGAATTGGTGGTTCATCATCTTCTACTATTCTATACAAAGCGGTAAACGATGGCATACCGGCATATGGTGGTTTTCCTGTTAGCATTTCAACAATGGTGCAGCCCAATGACCAAATATCTGATTTTGCTGATGCACCAGCAAATTTTATCACTTCAGGTGCCATCCAATTAGGCGTTCCAGCTGGTTCACCAGTGTTTTCATCATCCTTCATTTTTAAACTAAGAGAAACACCAAAATCGGTCAATTTTAAACTTCCAGTCTTGGTCGTTAAAATATTGGCTGCTTTCAGGTCGCAATGAATTACATCCTTTGAATGAAGATAATGAAGGCCGGACAGAATTTTAAATGTATATGATGCCGCTAATTTTTCTGGGAATTTTCCAAACGCCTTAATATTGTTATGAAGAGATCCCATTTCGACATATCTACAGCATAGTTTGGTGAGCAACATATTCTATTATCTTTGATATCCATATTTACTCTAAAATAATATTTAAATATTCTTTATCCTTGGAAAAGCCAACATAACGTACAATGTGCTCGTTATTTAAATGTTTCAGTACACCTACTTCATTCTATCGAAATGTTCATCAGACTCAATAATTTTGCATCACCAGTATTAAACTTACCATATCATCACAGTCCATTTGATTTCTTTTAATTCTTTTAATAGCTACATATTCTCCAGTATCCATGTTTAACCCACCAAATACTTCGCCAAATTGACCTTTTCCGATACTTCTTCCCAGTGCCTAATTGATTTATTAGTTTTTAAAGTATTTGTGTAAGCTTGAGAATACATACATAAATAGCTATGGACCCATCATCACACTCCACTTTGATAGCACAAGCACCCATCTTTTTTAAGGAAGTTTTTCTGTTCGTATATTCCAAGCTTGTATAGTCGGAAGAAGACTTTTTATAATCTGCAGCGTTGGCTGTATTATTTTTTGCTACAGCTGTAAATGCTTTTGGGGCCATAACAATAGGAGAAGATTTGGAAGGCTTTGGAACAGGCGGCAATTTCAATTTTTGCTTCTCAGGTAACGATTCCTTCAGAACACTGTAGTCTGAAGAGAGTCGTCTAGCAGGCGCGGTTTCTTTGACTGATAATTGGTTGTTACTTGTTGATATTATCTGTACTTGTGATTTGACATACCCCCCTTGTTGAAGAGTGGATTTTTTTGCCCTTTCAGTGTGAAAATATTTTTTTGGTTCGCTTCGTCGATGATGATGAAGGGTCATTTTCATCGGCCAGTCTGCGGTGGTGGGAACTTTTTTGGTGGATGTTGCAGGAATGTGCAACATGAAATTATCCACAGATTGTTTCCTTTGGGGCTCATCCACAAACTGCAGCAAGTTTCTAGTGCTGCCGTTTCTTTGTTGTGCTGTCAGATTATGTTTGGGGATGATTTTTCTTTCACACATAATTCTTTTGATTGCTAAAAGGCAAGATATTACACTTTGCATTCGTTTCCCTTCGAGCAAATCTACAGTTTGAAATAAATCGGACTGGGGTATATGAAGCTACACACGAAAAGAAGTCAGATGATTACATTTGTAAAGCTAGAAAGAAATATTTACAGTTTCTGCTACTCTTAAGAATTGACCTATATTGTCTTGCTAAAGGAAAAGAGATGCGCATCAGCAACAATTTGCGTTTAATGTTTATGTCTTCTTACATGGGCAAATTTAGTATGACCTTCATTTTTTACGATAGGTTCTTTGGAGAATCGTTTGATTAATCTATTATATGTATTAAAGACACGGTTCATTTATAGTTTACATAAACATACTCGCAAAGTAAAATACCATCTTTTAAAAGATCTTGCAGTGTCCCATTTGGTAGCTCGTTTTTATCCAGTGTATCCATAATGAACTGTTTTACAGCTTCTTCATTCTTTTGCTGAAAAACTGATGTATTAGTTGTTGCAGCAATTGTGGTCATATTTTTTTTTATATGAAAAAAGTGAAAGGAAAAAAGAAAATACAAAAATAAAAAGATATTTCTTTGTATTGTGTCTTTAGCTTAACAAGGAAATATTATACAACATTTCCTAAATGCTTTCTTGTGTGACACGCTTCAAAAAGAAAATGTAAACATATTACTTCATTTGGAAGACGACATAATACAGGCAGCGTTTATTACGTCTTTGGGTCACTCAAAATCACTCATTTATTCTCGCTCCCATCAGTTGTTTATTTTTATCAACCCGCTCGAGGTACGCTTTTTTGTTTTAAAGCGTGATTAGAGAAACGGGGCTAAATTAGATGTTTCATCAGAAAATCGATAAAATGTATCTATCGAGTATACATACTACTAATACGATTAAGAAAAGGCGAACCGGATATGCAACGCATATAACAAGCTGCCATAAGACGATGGTGATGATGATGAGCATGTTCGACCCAAGTGATTTGACTGTCCGATTTGTTTTCTTTTTATTTGCAACAGTGTATTTTTGTACTCGCAGGTGTCCTTTTTCTTTTTTCTTTTTCTCTATAAAACAAAATGAAGTATACTTTTATTTCAGTTCCTGCCTTGGGAGATAAGCAGAACACATTTTTGAATATTAAAGCCAAATTGACTGAATATGCTCAAACTTATCAGTTCAATATCCCAGAATTTAAGGTTAGCTTAACAAGATGAAGAATACATGACGAAAAGACTAAACATATAACAGATTGGTACTTTGGATGCTTTAGTTGTTTTATCTGATGACCTCGTCAAATATGATACCGTTTTTGAACAATCTGTTAATAAGATGGCTGACATGTTGAACACCTTATTGAGAGGTCAACAAGTCAATCTTCAGGATCAGTTGTTAGTTAATGACAGTAAGTTTTAAGAGTTTCACGCGTTTCTGTCTGCTAACATGGTTATACAATAGAGTCTATTGATCAATACATTACTACTTTCCAATGGAATACCATGAAGTATCGTACCGATAAGTCTTTGCAGGAGACTACCGCAACTTTAAGCCAGGTAATATTTATGAAACATCGTTTGTTGATTTCTGATGCACTAAATTTTTACCCCTCTTTTTATTTGTGTATAGGAAGTTACCGCTATTGATAATATCATGAAGACTAAAATGAATGTTTATACCCAGAACAAGAATTCGCTTCAAACATTACAACGCAAGCAAACGTAACTATGGCTTTATACATTTGTTCAACATCATATTAATTTTTACGTTGTAGCGGTAACTTGTCTGTTCGTAACTTGAACGGTATCGTCAAGAAGCAGCACTGTGTATTGAACTCTGATTTTTTGACTACTTTGATTGTCGCCGTTCCTAAAGCGCTTTACAAACAATGGAACAACAAATATGAAACTTTAACAGATATGGTCGTTCCTCGTTCTTCAGTGTAAGTAAGCCAAATATGAATAGGGGAGTCAGAGTAGCAAATTGAATAGACATATCTTTTTAAAATTAGTAAAATTGCTGAGGATGAAGAATTTGGATTGTTCACTGTTACAGTGTTCCAAAGAGCTGTCGACGAGTTTGCTCACAAGGCAAGAGAAGAAAGATTTATTCCTCGTGATTTCACCTATGACGAAGACGCTCTCCAAACTCAACATCGTGAATTGGAAGAAGCATCTGCTACTGAACGCGAACAGCAATCCGAATTGTTACGTTTGACCAAGACTAACTTTGGGGAAATCTTTGCCTCTTGGTTACATTTGAAGGCTCTTCGTGTATTCGTTGAGTCTGTTCTTCGTTACGGTCTGCCTCCAGATTTTGCTTCCGTTACAATCTCACCAAAACCCAAATTCGATAAAAAGGTAGATGAAATTATGGTCGCTCAGTATGGTCGCTTAGGCGGTGTCCATGGTCAATCATTCAAGAATGACAACCAAGAAGAACTTTTGGATCATGACTTACAATCTGTCAATGATAGTAGCTACCGACCTTACGTTCAATTTGAACTTGATTTCGATTATGAACGCAGATAAATATAAATATAAATAAAAAAGCTTTATTGTTCTAATATTGTGAAGCCATGGATTGACATTGTTTGAGAGCATCCAGATACCATTTACAAGCAGACATGTCATTATTAGTTGCTTCAAGACATTGTGTAAACGCTTTTGCATCAGCTTCACAAGAGGCTCCGTTTTGTGTTGATGCTGCCATAGGCTGGTATTGCTGAGATGGGTACTGTTCTTGTTGTGCTTGCTCTTGGGGCTCACTACTACCACCACCACCAAACATGGAGGATACACCAGCTGCCATAGTGTGACCTACAGCAGAACCAACAGCTACACCAGCAGCAGTTGTTGCCACTAAAGAAAAATAAAAAGGTCAATTTCAAAACTTAATCTAGGTTTAAATTAGAACTTACTCTGAGCAAACATGCCAGGTTGACGTTGTTGTGGTTGTGCTACGGCAGGTGGGGGAGGTGTCTGATGCTGGACAGGAGCATGTTGTTGTTGAGGTGCTTGTCTTGTAGGCATGGTATGAGCACTACGGGTTTGTTGAGTGGGAGCACGACGAGTCTATACAAGACATATTAAGCAATCGTGTTCTGTTTCACTTTATAATTAATATTTACCTGTCTTGAACGAGCCATTTTTTCTATGATTTTTGAATTGAGTAAAGAGAAAAAGGAAGACGTAATATCTATTTTTTGTTGGCTCTTTATGGAATCAGAAAGAAGCTCACGGGGACTAAAAAAGAAGTATTTTGATTGGTTCGGCAAATCCGGGTGTGACGGACAAGCGTTATGCGTCAAAGATAAATTGTTAGGTTTTCACGAGCATAGCATATATCCTATGTACAAAGATTAATAATTACATGAAGCTTCTCCTAATATATTTGTCCTAAGATGGGTCTAAGTTGTTACTCTCACTTGAATGTCATTCCATTCAATATAGCAAAGTATAGCACCCCATATAAATTGTAGATAGACATCGGAAATTGTAGTTGCGCTATGAAAAAGGAGAAACAGCAGATACACCGGATACATCAGATACACTGTAGATACATGCGTATTATATAAAGCTAAGCATTATTAGGGGTAACAGAAAGAACTCGACATGTTCGTTTAGGAGAAGAGGTTGTCCAATAGCCAACGATTACTTGTCGCTTTCAAGCTGTACGGTTTGTCAGGCTGATTCTCACATTCAGCGAAAAAGTCCGAGAGGAAAAATCAAAAGACCGCCTTTTTTTAAATTTAAATATCCGCGGCCGCTAAGCTTTTTCTCTTTTTCTCTTCTTCTTTCTAAAAAGGAATTAAATATATCAAATGAACCAATCTGGAGCTACTGCAGGATCAAAGGAATTCTCATCAAGAGAGCAAGCAATGGAAAGCCAATACGCTCGTCAAAAGGTAAACCCATGCTCCTATAACAAAAACACACAAGTTGAAATGTATCTCGCATAAACTGAGTTTGAAATTAGGAACAAGAGCAGCTCAAAGCTTTGAAGGCATCTCTCGATGCTGCTGCTGCGGCTAAAAAACAAGAAGCTAACAAATAAAAATAAAAGAACGAAAATAAAAAAAAAATAATTGTCATAAAAATATTTATAAAAAAAAAAAAAATTGGGAGGTAAAATGTAAAAAGTATTATGGGTGGTGGGTGAGGGACAAAGGGGACATGTGTAGGAGGGACACTGATGCAAAAATTAAAAAAGAAATGAGATTAAATATAAAAAGGGAAGAGAATAGGAAATTAAGCAGTGGTTGACTTGGGTCTGAAACTCATGATGCAACCGTCTTGAGGGTAAATAGTAGCGAAAATAGAAATATCGTCACTCTTTTCAGTACGAGTATGTGTAAAGTCTAATTGAAGAGCAGCTTGGCCAATGACTGCCATCAAATGCATGACAGCAAACTCCTTACCAAGACAATGATGAGGTCCATTACCGAATACCATGAAATTCTTGGGATACTTTTCGGCAGTACCGTTAGGTCCCCATCTATCAGGGTCAAAAGCATCGGGGTTGGGATATGCGACAGGATCATGAAGAGCAGGATAAGTGGTAGGAATGACCATAGCTATAAAGAGATTAGAACACGAAATCCGTTAAATAAAAAAATAAAAAAAACTGCTACTTACAACCCTTGGGAACAGTATAGTTGGGAGTAAGAGGCCATTCACGAATGGTTTGATAAGGCACCATCAATACAGGAGGACGCAAACGAAGAATCTCCTTAACAACTTGACGAAGATATGGACTCTCTTCCATCAACTCCAAAGAAAGTTCTTGTTTAAGATCACCCTTACGAACAGTAACTTGCTCATCATAAACCTTTTGGAGAACTTCAGGATGATCGGCTAACAATTGGAAAGCCCAAGTCAAAGCAGAAGAAGTAGCATCTTGAGAGGCGAAAAGGAAAGTCAAAATGGTTAAAGCAATCTCACGATCATCAAACTTTCTTGGTGCAGGCTTGCCAGCCTTTTCACACTCGATCTCATCTTCATACATAGAGTTGATCCAAGCATCCATCATGGACTTGACTGTGCCTTTGTTGGCCATTCTAACACGACTATCTTTGATACTTTCAATGAAATGCTTAACAATATATTTACGAGATTGAATAGCCTTGTAAACCTTGGTACCGGGCAAAGGAATAGGGAAGTTGACAAGTTCTAAAGCAGCGGTAATATTGAAGTATTCTTGAGAAATTGTAGAGGCAACTTCGTCAGACATGTAGTCACCCATGAATACACGAAGGGAGGCTTCCATATTAAGCTCACGGAAACGTAACTGATATTGTTCAGAAATACCACCCAATGAAAGCCATTCATCGAAATGTTTTTGATATACTTTCTCTTGGATTGGGATATAGATACTAAGAAATGCTTGTATTAGTAATAACCCCTAATTTTCTCTTATCTTTTCTCACCCTAAGGCTCTACGGGTAAATAACACGTTCAATCCTTTACGATAGTCCACGTGAATCTTTCCACTCAAGAAAACCCAATTATCAGCACAAAGAATATGCTTCATAGAATCAACAACAGCGGGTTCAGCATATGCAGGTGCGTTAAGGATCTTACGACTTAATTCACAGGTTGAAGCAATAACAACAAATCTAAATCGGATATTCAATTCATTTAGCCCCTCGCATTTTTTTTTTTTTAACGATCTGAAAAAGAAAGTAGGTTTACCTGTCAAATACACTAACACAAGAAAGCTCACCACTCTTCCATTTACTCATATAACCTTCAAAGGTAGGATAAAGAGAATCAGTAAAGGCACCGATAATTGGGATTTTGAAGCTGGGGCCTGGTAAAGACTTCTTCTTTTTTAAATAGACGTATTGCTCATAAGCAAACAAACCGACAACGGCAGAACAGATAACAGCGGTTGTGGTAGGAACGTTGGTTTGAGAAAAAGCAGTCTTCATAAATGAAGCTACTGTATTCTTTGCTGATTCAATAGAACGAGGATCAAAAATACTATTTAAATATTAGCCGGGAACAATAATTTTTTTTTTTTTTTTTTTTTTAGGTTTCTACCTTGAAGAAGACATTTTCTATAATATGAAGAAAACAATTGGTAAATATTACGCGTATTGTTTATTTGTATACGTTTTTTTTTGTTACCTTTTTTTTAAGTTCTAAAAAAAAAAGTAATCGCTTAGAAAGAAAAAACAGAGAAAAGAGGAAAAGAGAAATAAATTGAGATTTAATGAGAACTTTTATTTTTTTTAATCCAATGGCTACACAAGAAAAAAAAAATATTCAACGATAACATCGGGAGAAACAAATCTAAATCGATTTACACTGATACGTCTACGCTCATTGTTGCCAATGGTAACAACCAAATCAAACTTTGAATTATTGTTGGCAATTTGCTATAAACCATGTTGAAATAAATAAATAAATAAATAAAAAAAAAAAAGATCTTTTTTGTTTGTCTGCAACCTTCTCCGAATGATACATATAATCATTCATGTCCAAATAAAGAATTTTACATAATCCTCATTGTTTACCCATATAATCAACCCGCTAACATCTACTTGATATACTAGCGCATCTAATTTACTCGATCAATTCATTTCATAAGTTCAATAAAAAACGTGTTTTGTGAGGTCTATGTTTTTTTTTACTTTTCGGCCCGACTATAAATAAACCGGGATACTAATCTTCCGTTCTGTGTATCAACTTTTTTTTTTTTATATAGTGCAAAATAACATGGCAAATCGATACACTTGATCTTGTGATGAGGACAGAATGGGTACAGAAAGTATTCCGTGTGTCGGAGAAACATCCCTTGACCGTGGGTTCAGTCTATTGTTCCATAATGTCTCATTAGGATGAGCTCAAGTATAATATGCGAAAAAAAAAAGTTGACCCGCATGGGACAAGTATTTTTGAGCACAGGCATACTGAAAATGATCATCCCACAAAAAAAAAAAAAAAAAAAAAAAAAAATTGTGGATTGTTACATTGCGTATTTACATGAAGGAAAAAGAAAAACAAAGGTTTAAAAGACAGGAAGTGAAATAAAAAGGGTTATTGTTTAATTAAGGTATCTCTTAAGATTTGACGGTCTGAGGATTTACGGTCACATTCACTTTCGTTTACATGTTTATGCTTTTCTTTTTTGCCCACGTCAAAATTTCTTTTTGCTCATTTCGCTTATATTAAATCCCGGCGGAAAAAATAAACCCCATTTTCTTTTTCTGTCAATTTTTTTACTGCGGTAACCAAATTTTGCTTGAAGATCTTTTTACTCCCACCCCGGTAACTGAGTGTGCCTGAAACTTAATTGAATAGGATAGAGGATTAGTCTCTACTTGTAAATAGCCTTCTTGTTGAAGGCGTACTATTATGGTTATATAATTTTTAATTCTAGTCTTATTTTTAGTAGAATAATCCTGTATATTATAGCATCCATGGTAGATATTACAATTTTAGCCAATTAATGAGTACAGTTCCTATCATTTATCTCAGAATTGCCCCTACGGACACTGCTTAAAATGGTACATTTGTGAGCAATGACAGGTCATTCGACGATAGATGTAATGATACATCACTCAGGCAATGCACTGCACTGGGCCGCTTAATGTAATGTATTCAACAGATATCAGCAGATCTTTATTTTTAGGTCCCGGATTTTTTTTTAATTTTAATCTGCTACTTTTAGTGTTAATATTCCAAATGGCGCCCCGTTAGCATTGTTCTGAAAAATTTGGTAAAAGAAGAAACAAGAAGGTTTCTAGTTGACTGGGAAATATCGTTTCTGAGTTTTTTTTTTTTTTTTTTTTTTTTCTTTTTTTCCTTTTCTTGGAGGGAAGCATCTGGCATGTAAACATTTATGCATCGATGCATGTCACAGCTCGAAAAAACACACAATCATTAATAAGCACCAAGTTAGTGCTACCGAAATTAGGCCTTTTATAAAAAAGTTAAAGCACGTTGTTTTTAACTTTATTTGTGCTATTTCTCCTTCTCGAGCAATGAATCACACAATAGCGGAAAAGCAACCAGAGAAAACTGAGATGCTTTTTTTCGGGAATTCATTTATTTTTTTGCTATTTGATATAAGGGAAATATATTGAGCCATGAGAGGTTACTCAGACATTTGGTGTGCTTTGATAAAGAAACCTTATCCTAATTGTGTACAAAGATTACATGGATCTCCAAAGAACATTTTGTGTGAGAATATGCCAAAGCTTACTCTGGGGATTTTAGGATTACACAAAATGATGACCGTACCTGTTGAACGGCAGAAAATTAACCGCAGTTTTTAGTAAGTGTTACTTCTAAAATTGGGGCTGAATTAAACCTTTCCCAAGTTTAAACGGAGCCTCAAGAAGTCTTATTCAACCCTTACAAATCTATAATAATCATTGACATCTAACTTGACCTTACCAAGAAGTCGGTAACAGGATAATATCCCCGTCAACCGAGTAAACTTAAAGTTTATTGTAGAGACAATACGATCTGAAGCACACGCGCCTAGTTCTGCGGCACTCTTTTCTCATATTAATTCCCGAAGCTTAATTTTTTTGTTTAAATTTTAGGATCATTTCGTTTCAAGCAGTATTTCCAGGGATAATTCTGAGATGAGTGTTAAAGGGGGCCAATACTGGACGTGTCGTCAGCTGCCGAATATGCCACGCTTCATGTACTCTTTTCATTCACAGAGATCTATCTATGCTTTTCCTTGATAAAGATTCTCTGTGTAAAACATGGAAAGTATTTAATAGTAATAGTTTAATATAGGAACACACGCTATACACAGTAAAGGTGACGAAAGCCAAAAGTCACAGATAAATTATTTCAATGCTATTGTACAAATGCTTAAAGTTGTCATACAATCTTTAGTCCTTCTTTCTTTATAGCGCACTCACAATGCAGCCGAAGGAAGCAAGCTGTCTAATGCAGTCAGCCCTGGCCAGTAATCAAGAGAATGGAAAACATTTAGTATCATTCGCATCGGACCAGACAGGCGATATGGAACTAGAAAGACGAATACGACAACAAGACTCACCTTATTTTAAAGTGTCTGCCGGAAATACTACCCCTTGTAATGTTCGTAGTGCTTCAAATAAAGATCAAACAGACCAAGAAGACAGCAAAGCCACTGATGTCAATGACAGCACTCACAATAAAAATATTGAGCTTAAGCTTGGTCATGATAAAAGTCGACCTTTAAATATAAGCAGAGAATTTGGTCATTATCGCAGGTACCTCACTAGTATGCTTCACATTTGGTTTCTCACATGCATTAAATTTCCTACCGCTCCTCTTGTCAATTACGTATTATTGCTTTCAGCGAACATTTTCAAATATACATTAAAGTGGCCAGCGGAAGAACGTTGATAATCCAAGTCCATCCAGATGTCACCGTGGATGATCTTAAAAAACATATCCAAGTTAGAGAGGCTGTTCCTGCCAATACGCAACAAATCATATATGCCGGTAAACAGCTTCTTGATGGTCATACAATAACACATTACAATGTTCATGCAGGATCTACGCTCCATCTGTCACATTACCTCCGCGGTGGTAGCACAGAAACTATTCCTAAACGTAAGATGTTTGGTTATCTTGCTTTCAAACCTGACGCTGATTAAAAAAAAAAAAGTTATTGATTTGTATATTTCTTCACGCTACGAATATCCTCATATTAACGAGTTTATCGATTTAAACAAATATGTTTTATTTAATATTGGATGGGACCCTGTAAAAATCAGGAAAGAATGGAGAAAAGGATTAAGCAAACATGGATATAGAGATGTAACGTGTTTTTTGTGTCCAAGTATGTCTGAACTAACGCTTTTTTTCTTTTTAGAGACCTAATTGGCATGCCTTGAAACAAGAGTACAATACTGTAAGATTACAAAAAAAAAACACACACACACACACAACAATCATCTAATGTAATTCCTAATTAGTACTTTAAGTCTAGAGAGTTGGATACGGCGGATTCTGAAGAAGAAGACACTTCAGACTGACTACACTGACATCATTACAAATCAATAGCTAAGAATAGAAAATAAAATCATGCATATAAACAAAAAGCGCGGTATTACACTTTTTGAGTTTGAATAAAAATTGGAATATTCTGAATGTCAAAGACCATGAGTATGGACACGATCAAAAAGCGCGTATTTTCTGTTAAAATTCTCTATATTATTGTATTCAAAGCACTTGCAACAGTTTCTAGTATTCTATCACGACTTTTTTTTTTTTTTTTTTTTTTTTTTTTTAAAAAAAAAAAAAAAAAAAAAAAGAAACCGAAATTATTCAAGACAAAATTATTATGAGTAAAAATCATTTTTTTATTATTGAAACAAAGAATATAAGCATATATATACTTTTTTTGTTGGACTATTATACAGTGTTGAACTTTTTACATAAGTGGGGAAAGGGTTTTAAGGCAGAATTATAAGAAAAATCGGGATATCTAATTAGTGTTGAACTTTTTTACATATTTTGCTTGAAGTAGAATTTAAGCGTATTCAGCACGGAGGATCTTGGCAACCTCAACCATGTTGGCCAAAGCAGCTTCAGTTTCAGGCCAGGCACGAGTCTTCAAACCACAATCAGGGTTAACCCAGAGTAATTCTTTGGGCATGTACTTGAGCAAATCAACAATCTTTTGCTTCATTTCTTCGACAGAAGGGACACGAGGACTGTGGATATCAAAAGTACCGGCACCGAGTTCCTTGTTGTACTTCTTGAGAGCAAAGATCTTGAGCAACTTTTCGTCAGACTTGGAGTTTTCAATGGTGATAACATCAGCATCAAGAGCAGAAATGGCATCAAAGATATCGTTGAAGTCAGAGTAACACATATGAGTGTGGATTTGAGTCTCGTTGCGGACACCAGCAGTAGAGAGACGGAAACAAGCAACAGACCATTCAAGATAAGCATCCCAATCAGCACGACGAATAGGAAGACCCTCACGGATAGCAGGCTCATCAACTTGAATACAAGGAATACCAGCAGTTTCGAGATCAACAACTTCATCACGGAGAGCAAGACCAATTTGAGTACAGACTTCAATGAGGGTGATATCATCACGAACAAAAGACCACTTCATCATGGTAACGGGACCAGTCAACATACCCTTCATAGGCTTCTTGGTAAGAGATTGAGCATAGACGGTCTCATCAATAGTCATGGGTCCACGACGAGAAACATCTCCAAAGATGACAGGAGGCTTGACACAACGAGAACCATAAGAGACAACCCAACCGTTTTCAGTGAAATCATAACCATGGAGCAAGTGACCGAAATGTTCAACCATATCGTTACGCTCGGGCTCACCATGAACAAAGACATCCAAACCAACTCTTTCTTGGAAATCAACCATGAACTTCATTTGACCCTTGATGAAAGCATCATAATCAGCAGGAGAGAGCTCACCCTTGTTGAACTTTTGACGAGCAACACGGATTTCCTTGTTTTGAGGGAAAGAACCAATAGTGGTGGTAGGGAAAAGAGGCAAGTTGAGCTTCTTAACTTGGGCTTGTCTACGGACTTCAAAGACATCAGGACGCTTCCAGTCAGCAGCAGGGATCTTAGAGGCACGCTCACGGACTTCAGGGTTGGAGGTTTGACGAGAAGTACGACGAGATTCAAGAGCAGCGGCATTGGCAGCGATAGTATCCTTAACAGCATCGACACCTTGGTTAATAGCAGTAGCAATGGTGACAATTTCCTTGGTCTTCTCAACAGAGAAAGACAACCAGCTCAAGAGTTCAGGGTTCTTGGCAGCAATCTTCTTTTCAAAGACAGTAGAGAAAGGAGAGTGAGCAAGAGAACAAGAAGGAGCAATGAAGACACGATCAGTACCGAGAGCAGCGACAGCCTTTTGAGCCAACTTGATGGACTTGGAAAGATCGTTGATCCAAATGTTACGACCATCAACAAGACCAAGAGACAAAATTTGCTTGTTGTTCAAGAGAGGAAGAACGGTATCAAGTTCCTCAGGAGCACGAACGAGATCAAGGTGAAGAGCATCAACATGAGGAAGGAGACCAGAGATGTTATCTTCAACACGACCAAAGTAAGCAGCAACTAAAGTCTTGATGGAAGTAGCAGCATTGATGGCCTTGTAAGCTTCTTCGAAAGCAGCCTTAACATTAGCGGGCAAATCAAAGATAAGAGCGGGCTCATCAATTTGGACCCATTCAGCACCGGCAGCTTGGAGTTGATTCAAGAGTTCGATGTAAACAGGGATAAGCTTGGGAAGAAGAGAGAGAGTATCGAATTCCTCGAAACCCTTGGCAGTCTTACCAAGATGAAGGAAAGTAACAGGACCAACGATAACAGGACGAGTCTCAATACCAAGAGCCTTAGCAGTGTTATATTGTTCAACAGAACGAGGAGCTTGGAGCTTGAACTCTTGAGTAGGTTCGAATTCAGGGACAATGAAATGGTAGTTGGTATCGAACCACTTCTTCATCTCTTGAGCAGGAACATCAATCTTCTCAGTAGTTTCGGTAGCAGCCTTTTGAATACCACGACCCATAGCAAAGAATTGTTGAAGAGGATCCTTGATATGTTGGTAACGAGTGGGAATAACACCGAATTGTTGAGCAGTATCTAAAACACGATCGTACAAAGTGAATTCACCAGAGGGAATATGTTGAAGACCTTGTTCCTTTTGCAACTTCCAGTGAGATTCTTGGATACCTTGGTAAGCAGTCTTGAGTTCATCAGAAGAAATCTTTCCAGACCAGAAAGCTTCGACAGACTTCTTAAGCTCACGCTTAGCACCGACATAAGGGAAACCGAGATTAGTAGCAACAACCATTGTTATATATAATTAAATGAAAATTTAAAAGAGTAAGGAAAAAAGAAATAATCTGGATTGATTTATTTTATATTTATACCTTTTTTAATTCTCTAACTAGATCTGCTAAATAAGTAAATGCCTGCCATGGCAGATGAGATGCCAACAGAGATGTCCAGTTATATTGCATAATTATCGTCTAGTACAAATCTCCGCAGAAAAAAAAATATCTTGAAACTTGTTATTTATTAACTTTACCGTTTTACCTACTTTAATGAAGCAGCTTTTTTTTATTTCATGAGATATAGCTTTTACCTCTGTTTTTTTATTTTATAATTGTATTTAATCCTTTACATTTATCAAAGATCAGAATAAAAAAAAAAAAAAAAAAAAAAGAAAGAAAACGATTGGCCAGAGTTTATAGTTTTGGCCAATCAATCCGCGGCATCAAAATCTCTTGCATAATTAATTTCAATTTTTTTTTTTTTTTTGGCGTCGTACATATTTTAACATTTGATGCCACGTATGCGCGCGACAGATCTTGAAGTAATCAAAAGACAGAGTAGTGTTCTTTTGTTATAACACTAGCGTATCATTTTTCAACCCAGTTTTTTTAATTTTTTTATAACAAATATACGCTAATGCAAGGTCTAGACAAAGACAAACAGAACTCAAACCATTTGTAAAACGATAACAAATAGAAATGAGGAAATGAAACCATGCACTACCATGTCTGAACTGTAAGCTATGTGACATCCAAGACTAATTTGGACATTTTTTTTTTGATGGATGAAAGGATTTCAACATCAAGAAACAGATGAGCCAATAAAATGACTTTAAACATAGATATATATTTTTTATTGCACCATTTTTTATTCCGAACTATGATGTTTGAATCTCAGAAAACAAAAGAGAATCTTTTGATCAAAGAATATGAGATACTAGATGGAAAAAAACGGTTATGAGGCAACACATGTTCACGTAGAAAAAGTACAGTAAATCTTTATTTATTTTTAATTTTCGTCTTCTTCATCATCGTCATCAAAGAAAGACGAATCGATATGACCACCTTGAGATGGTCGTTGTTGGGTATTATCTTCTTCTTTTTTCTTTTCATCATTTATTGTTTCTTTGGTATCTGTAGATTTCTCTTCAATATCTTTTAAAATGTCCTCAGACTTACTGTTCTGCACTTCATCGTCAAAAATATGGTCACCATCAAACATCACCTTGTTTTCCTCGACTTTTTCAACAGCAGCAGCAGTAGCAGCGGTTAATCTAGGCGAAGATGGCGGAGAATCTTGCGTGATGGTCGAGCCGAAAGCCAAAGGAACTGATCTATTTGTTGTAGCAGGTGGTGGTGGTTGCTGATCAGTTGGTGACTGATTTGTATTTCTTTGAAAGACGCCCATCATAGAGTTCACAGTCCATTTATTTAATTCCTCAGCTGTGCTGATCGTGGGCCGCATGAACGACATTAAAGTATTGGCACGTTTACTAGTAGATTTAGCTTCGTCTCCTTGAGGCTGAGGTGCAATAATAGGTCGAGCAAGTCGTCTTTTTTCACTCTCAGCATGAAGTTTGAGTGTAGATTCAGAAAAGATCTCTTTACTATGTTTGATCAACTCCTGTACAAACTTGACTGGCGTCTTGCTATTTAAGATCGAAAATGAGTCTACGCGAGCACGAAGAATAACCGGTCCGAGAGACTGACATATGAGATTGATTGTTTCATCGGAAGCGCCCACATTAGAAATAAATCTGATAAACCCCGTTTATTAGCGTTGAGGTGACGTTTTTTTTTTTTTTTTAAAATCTTTCATCTCTTACCTGGTAATATTTTCAAAAATGAGTTTCAAAGTTGCAAAATGAGATCCAGGTAACGTCGAAATAAGATTGCTAAACGGAGCAAGACGTAAAGTTTCATCTTGTTCACCATCTAGTTTTTTTTCTTTTTAATAAAATAGTCCATCTATCACAATTGTTAATAACTTACTGCCTCCTAAAATTGCCTCCACTGGGTCATAAAATTCAAAAGTCATCAAACACTCTGGTAATTCTAACAAGAAATATCTCAATACAGCAACAAGTAACTGTGGCTCATATTTTCCAAGCATTTCGGGTGTCAAAGCGTCACTACCGACGTTCAATTCCAGACACGTAGCATGCACGCGATCTAAGGCATAGGGCGTAGACCACAACTTCTCTTTAACTTCAACATCGTCAATTTCCTCAGCCCCTTTCTCAATAGCGGCCAAAACTTCACTTACAAAGCGAGGAACATTATCCGGTGATTGCTTACCCAACTCTTCAAGAGGAACACCAAATACTTGGTCTAATATCAAATCAATCATCATCTCTCTTAATACCTTTTTTTTTCTTCTTACTTACCATGCGAGATACCATGATAATAATTGTCATAAAGGATAGCCTTTGGTGAGAAACCAGAAACAGCATATTGTTGAACAATGAATTGTATATCTTGGTCAGGTTTTAACGATTCTTGAAACACCATCATCTCTTCAATTATTAATTTATCCTGAGGAATGAGGACAGACATGGAAGCAATAAATGAAGATATAAAGTCCTTTAATTGTTGAATACGTTGTAGTTCCACCTGTTCCATTTCAGTCAAGTGAGCAAACATGGCTTCTTCAATTGCCATACGCATTTGATCCAATTTTATAACTGTGCTACGATAAGCTTGATCTGCCTTCTCGGCCTCACGTCTCGTTTTCTTATGAGGTTCTTCCGATACTGCACCCGACACGATAGGTGGGGTCACAATCTTTTCCATCAATCCCCCTAAAGCATTATAGGTTGCTTCAGTTGTTGATGACGAAACACTTGAGCTATCATCGTCGCCTACCACACGCCATTGATAGAAAGAGTTGGATGAAGCGGTGAATTTGTTTCCGCGTTGACCAATCAAACGTAAAATATTGTAAGGTTGAATTAATTGTTGTCCCACGACGTCTGCCATAGCGGGAGAGTCCTTGCACTGAGGTAGATTATGCTGTAACCAGATGGCAATATCCTCACCCGTTGATGTGTTTTTATAAGTCCCTAAAATTGGTACACGATGATCCTGGACAGTGATTTCTTGTCGCATGCGTCTAACTAAGCTATCTAATTCTGATTGAGGCATGATTTGATTTCCGAGCTGAATATTGATATTTGCACTCATATCTTCCTGTGGTGGGGGAGTAGGTACATTAGCTGGTTTTTCCTCTGTTGTAGTAGCAGGAGTGTTGGCCACGGCATTTTTCAAAGCTTGCTCTTCGGCTTTATCGGCATCTTTGCACTTGCGATGGTACACATGTCTTGATCTTTCAGCCTCTTTGATAAGACCATCAAATTGTTTCAACATGCTGTCAACTGCCTGTTTGGAATGAGACACATTGCGCTTGTAGTCTTCGTGAAATTCTTGCAGAGGTACCAGCACATGAGAAGTAACCGCTGCTGCTGTGGTTTTATGCTGTTCGCCAATGCGGCGACTTGTTTCTTTCAATTGAGTAAAGCATTTCAAAAGCCCAGCTCCTTCGTCACGACCAAACCCGGTTGATTTTAATGAGGATTTTCCCTGGTCTGATAATTTGCTGGAATAACTCTCCTCGATAGCAATACGGTCTTTAAAGAAAGATATCATTTCTTCATTTTCGACTTTGCTTTGTCCTAGCTTTTGGTGTAAGACTGCATACCCCGTTTGGAAATCGGGTAGCGTTAGTTCAGGTTGTTTTTGAGACCAGAAAACTGTCTTGAAATGTTGAATGGGAGGCATGGTTACGATATATTCGGCTTCAACTCTTGGTAAGAGAGAGAAAAAAAGGGCTTATTTAAAGCAGTGAAGTATATAAAGAAAGTAGGGCTTTACAAAAAATAATAAAAAAGGTAGGGGCTTTAATGTTCATTTACACAAAAGAAGGTGCTGCCTGATAAAAAAGGAAATACCAATTTTCTTTTCTCCCAAAAGAATTTTTGTTTCCTTTGAAGGGGACGTTTTATCGCTTCTATTTACAGATTGATTGATGTAAGCTCATTAATGATCTTTACTACGTTGTGTATGCTCATAACCTTTGCCAGCAGCAGAAATAGCAGTAAAACTCCCCCTCCGTCATTCCTCCAGCCACAGCGAGGATACTCCTTTAAACTGCATATACCCCATTGGTCAAACATCAACTGAAAGCTAAAATAGATTCGTTGCTAAAAGCTGAATTTAGGTACATCATTGCCTCGTCAGAGGTGTCACCAACTTATTTGAGGTTCATATTCTGTGTAACTTGAGTTTTCCAGACTCTTTTTGACTCCTCATCAATGTAATAAAAGAGCGCCACAAACACTGGCTAGGAGAACACACAATCAGTTATATTTTTACTACTATCAGTAATTAATGAGTCTAAAACCCGTAACTGACATGAAGAAGCCGTATGCTTATACATTATAAGAACTAACTGTAATGATGTGTGCTTTAAAGAATGGTAGCGTGGTTTAATGGGATGAAAACGATCTTTGGTATAATAAGGGATAAAATTAACGGGAAGCTCTAAATACACTCTTGACGTGAAAGAAACAATTCGAATGACACTGATTGACTAGATCGCAAAATGCAAAAGGCAATACAGTGTGATTGATTAAAAAATTCCGTCTTCTCAGAAGTTCATTTATGTCTTTATGGTATGTTTGTTAATAATTGTCTGAAAAGACGATTAATTTTTAGCTTATATCTCCCCCACCCCTTGTATTACACGTTATTATAGACTCACGAAGTACCAACGAATTGAATACCCGGATATTTTCAAGGTTGACAACATTATTTTAACGAGTTTAGACATTATGAGCTCATATTGTCGTCAATGGCAATAGCATTCAAACTGAAATATGTCAGAAACTGTGTATATGCTGGACCCTACTTTTTTTTTGGCTTTTACCCCAGTTTAGTTATCCCCCCCCCCAATTTCGGGATTAAACAATAATTATTATTGATGATTAAATTTTTAAACAAAAAGAAGGGCATAAATTATGTAAATTAAAAAGGGGAAACAAAAACTTTTTATAGTTTAATAAGCGTTTCAAAAATATGTGTGTGTGTTTTTTTATATTTTGCAATGATGTGCTTACTGCGAGTTTATCTTAGCCTCTGTCGAGCATGAGTTTTAAAAATAAACGTGTCTGTCCCCTTATTAGAAAATATTACAGAACACAACCTGGACAACAAGGTTTTTTTAAAAAAAAGAGGTGTTTTAAACACGCAAGTAACACAGAGAGTATGAATTGAACAAAATGGAGATTATGTAAAAATAAATTTACTTCTTTTTCTTCTTTAATTTAGTTTTTTTATTTCAAAAAAAAATGACCGATGCTATTGCTCCTCACAGTGCTCCCATCGCAGCGTATATGAGCGTTCATCAAGGTACTTGCTTATTTGAGGAATGCATTTAAGAGTAACTAATAAAAATAATATAGCTACCAATCTTGCCTATGTCAGATACTTTGCGAAAATTGACAATGCAACCACTGCTACTTTTAAAAGCCTCGACTCCAAAACTTTCACTTTAGACTACACGTTGCCTAATGATACAACAGTCCATACTGTTTCTATCCCCTTTAAAGCACCATTACAAAAGAGAGAAGACATTCGTCCCGTTTTAGAGGCAATGGCAAAAGAGGCAGAAGAATCCTTGGGATTGGTACAGTAAAAAATGGAAAATTAAATTATATTAAAATTCATTACTTATTCCTATTTAGCCTAGCTCACTATCCGGTCCTCCTCCTTTTGCAGCAATTGCCAAAGCAATCGTGGCCTCTGCCACTGACGTCTATACACCTCCTCAACCCCAAGTGCCTTTAGATACCTTTTATTCGCCACCAACTCCGGTCATGTGCTTAATGGGTCTCGCTTTCGGAATGATAGGCGTATTCACTTATGCGTCAGATGCTTATTTGCAGCGTCAGTTTCCAGCTCAGGTGCTAGGATTACGTAATACATTTGGTCCTAAATTAGTACGAAAGATTACCAAAGGTGTCGTAGCAGTGCATTTAGCTGAGAGTCTTTATACTTTGACAGTCTGTTTACACAGAGGATGGTACGGACCTGTTAATACATTAAAGTGGGCTGCAAGCACCTTTTTGTTTGGTGTAGCTTCTATTCAACAATTAAATAGACATGCAAGGCATGTCGTTGGTTTAAACAAAAAGTCTGAATAAAAATATTTAAACTGTGAAATTTATTTTTTTATTTTTTATGGGATAAGAATATACAAAAAAAGGGGGGGGGGAAACTATACTGGGGGTGTGGAGAAAAAGTGGAGAAAAAAAAAGTGGACTATGTAAATAACGAGTGGCAAGGGATATAATACAGGACAAAAGAGTACATATGCGAAATGCATGTAGTTTTTTCTGTGTGATATACAAAATAGGAATGATGAATGCGTGTCATGTTTTTGCTTAGACAGCGGCACGGATGACGAATTTAGCAGAGGCGTTACCAGAGTTACCCATCAAAACGATGATATAACTGGTCTTAGTTACGAGATCACCAGGTAAAGTAACGGTTCGAGAACCGGCAGCCAAGCTGAATCCGGAGGCTAAATCCCAGTTGAGGTGCTCATTGTATTCATCACCATTTTCAAAATAACCCAACTTGATAGTGCCTAAAGATCCTTCGGGAATAGGAACATTCTTAGTGCCGTCGAAATAAGTGGTGTCCCATTTGACGGTAACGGTTTGGCCGGCTCTCCATTTGGTGCCAGAGTTGGGTGTAGTGATTTTAGGGTTGATCACAATAGCGCTTGCTAAAGATGCCATGAAAGCAAAGAAGAATAAAGCGATAAGATAGGTTTTGTTGAACATTTGTGTTATTGAATATAATGAAGAAGAAAATAATAATTATAAAAAAAATAAAAAATTACATTGTATTTATATGAAAAAATAAAAAGAGGTACATGCATGATTTCGACCTTCTGGACTTGAAAAAATGTGATCATCCTGAAACACACCCACATAAAAGTCTATAACATTCATCAGCCCTGCTAAATTTAAAATAAAGACCTAGCCTTTTTTTGCAACTTTTTTTTCAAATGATGTAACAGTTACTCTCGCTCTTGGCACTACAAAATTATCGATTTATTTAGCCTGCTTGGGGGCTCTTTGTAGGTGTGGGCATAATGAAATCACTGCTAATCCACAGGCATGTGCTCATTATTCACTATAACACCACAAGACCATCAATGTTGACATATTTATTTTTAACCCGATGTTTCCTTTGATCAAGTATGTATTTTTAACTATTTTATTTTTACACCAATCAAATCTGCTACCAGCCCGTGAGTTTTTTTATGTAATACTAAATATGCAACCCCACTGGTGTCTGTCATGGTACTGTATTGTTATTATTTTGGGCTTATGAAATGGCAAGAGCGCGAAATAATTTTTTTAAGCCCAATAGGGGCTTGTATTTGACATGGTTGAACCTCTTTTTTTGAAACATTAATCCCTTGATGAGGGTAGGGAGATGAAAAAAGGAGGGTTAAGTGGACGACGCACACACATTTTTTTTTTGGGTTTGGTGTATATGCATTTTAATCCAATGTAAATAAAAAATTCTACCTTTGTTTTTTTTTACACAAGACATTTATCCCTTTATTATTGCTATCCCCTTCTTGCCACTAAAAGAAGAGAGTTATGTAAAAGGTCAGATTTTATTATTATTTAAACTGTTGCCTGATGATTTATTTAACGTGTATACTCATGCAATACATCATTCCTCTACGGAAAATTTATTATTATATGCACCATTTTTATTAAAAATATATAATTTATCATTAAGACCGCCCCAAATCTGGGTAATTTAGTCGCTATAAAAATCATGCTATTTCTCCTCCTACTGGAACCACAATAAGTTGCTCAAGTCTGATGTTGTTTTTTGAAGAGATACAACATCATTCGGCGTGATTTTCCCCCTTTCTTTTCTTCTTTCTTTTTCTTACACTTTCTTTATACAATTATGTGCATGAGCACCCAATAATAAAAAATCGTCACTATCAAATGATGTAGTATGCATTCAGGCACTATAGTAGCTTACTCAATCCCTTTTTTTTTTGTTATTGTTTATTTTTGATTACGAAATACAGACTGCCCTGTTTATAGTTACACAAAGACTATGCTCACGGTCATAAAAATAAAATACAGGTTACTGAAAGAATATGAAGCAGATGTGCACAACACACATCTAGACCCTATGAAACAGTTGTTTCTTACTAATTTATCTACAATACGGAGTGTTACTACATTTTTAAGATATTCTGTAGATTCTTATGTAACGTCCCTCAGCCTTTTGGTTCCTTTGACATTATTTAACACCGCCACACCATTTGCCTTCTTTGGACTGATTGGTACTACCACATAAACCATCCAAGCTCCCATTGAATTTATACTTTGTTACACACAGAATTTTTCGAGAAAAAAAATGACCTGCTGGTTGTTGGTGTGATCCTTTGTGAATTTCGTCGCCGTTAAAGAAGCCGATGGATTGAACCTTGAGTATGGCGATAGCCGTGAGTGTTTAATTAAGACCAAGAGTTAATAGTTGATATATTCTTTCTACACCGAAAATACTGTGAAGAGAATGTTGTCAGCTGTAAAAATAGCAGTGCTTTTTATTCTGCGATATATACATACACGACATGTCTTGGTTCTTTAAGTAAGAGCTTACAAAAGTCTCATATTTCCGAACACCCAAACCGTAATTGAGTTAATACCCTTCTTGTACAATCTCCAAGTTAAGCACGGTTGAACATGAGACGGTACACAAACCTATTTTGAAAATAGTCTCAGAATCTCTTGTTAAACTATCAGAATAAAAGAAATGGAGTTCATTCGCAACTTAACGCTTTCTTACCATCGCCCTTTTTTTTTTGCGTTGAGAAGCATTTTTTTTTTTTTTTTTTGGAAAACTGTAACATATCATGAGTTTTAATGCTAACCCAGAAAAGTCAAATAAAACAAAATAACAATCATGTCTCACGGGACTTACGAATGTGAGCGTGTCTACAGCAAAAATAAAAACAAACAAAGTATTCATCAATTCAGATTTTACATTATAATATCATTTACATATCAGTATATCCTGCCTTGAATGTGCTTTCTACAAAGGTGTCCTTTTCGGCTTTAACAAACTTGTTTCCACGATTTTTCGAATCCAGTTTTTTTGATGACAATTAATAATTAAAGCCTAATTTTACCTAGTTATTTATAAAGAGCCTCGTCGCTCATTGTCTATTTTCTTCATTATGCCTTCAGGAGTTGCCATAAAACATCCTCCGTATTGTTTACAGATATCTTGAACATATTCAAAATTGCAATACTTAATTTGTTTCACCTTAAGTATCTAACAACTATAATGATGTTCGAGCGCTTTATTATTATTTGACGACGAGTATCAATGAAGTAACGAGGTTCAAAGCGACTCCTTAATGATTTAGCTTTAGCTATTGTTTATTGTAAGCGTCATTTGTAGATAATACTTCGTTTACATTAAAAATTTGATATTTCGTTAATTTTTCATGAAGATGAAAATCTTAAAGGTGTATCGTGTTAATAAGATTTCACTATGTCACGACAAACGAGCTTAGATTTTATAGTGTATTTAAAACCCTACCAACTTTTCTCTTCTGCTTTTCTACTAAATGTCCATAACAATGACATCAATATATTATAATACTTACGATATCGAAAGTATTTTAGACTAAATTTAATAAAAACGGTGGCGGATTCTCCTTAAAGATCCTTAGTTTTTACTCAAAAATACAGAGTCGGGTCCTCGCCATAGCAGCGCTCAAAAGTGAATTATATTTAGTTTGGTAACTTCTGGTAAGTCGTAGGTTTTTTTTTATGAAAGTTATACTTTTTCAATTGAATATTTTTGCAACTAGTAGCTGTTCTACCGAAACAAGGAGAAATATTATCACAAAAACTATTTATTGTTATGACAAGTGCAGAGGCCATGTTTAAATGCGAACTTCATACTGGTTTCACAACTTAAAGTAGTCTGCCTTTTCAGGAATGTCAAGTAAATCTAAGGTTTTGTAAGAGCAACAAAGGTTTAAACGTGAATCCAAATTTCATATGCTGTTCTGCCTGTCAGATTCTGCCTGATAGGCTTGCATTTTTTACAGGACGGCAACTATATATGTTTTGTCGAAAAGTAAACTGCGAAACCACTTTTTTACAATCATACACTTGAAGTGAGAAGATATATTTTTAAAAAACTTATAATGTCCACCCTTTTCTCAATTCAAGAAAACTTCAGCAACATAGAAGACTTTTTGGAAATGACGTTTCATTTTCACGTAGGTCTTGCCCTAATGTGCTATATTGGTTATCAACGCAAAAAAATTTGGCTGTCTTTCGCTGGGATCAAAGAATTTGATCGAAAGTTCTGTTGGCATCAGCTTAGAAACGCCTATTAACGCTGAAGACTTTGTAAACTACTTCAAAACCACTCCTTACAAACTGAATGATCGTTGGAACAATCATGCTAACATACTAAAACAGTATAGACTATAAAAAAAGTTAGAATCACATTCCATCGTCAGTTTTACGGTGTTGTATTTTTAATGATAACTTCATGATTATTTTCTATATGTACTGTGTCGAGAAATCATGAGGAGGGAGTAACACATACGAAATATTCCAAGAAATAGATAGTTAAATTATTTAAGACTAAAACTAGATATCTTCTTAATAATGGAAAGGGGTTTCCTTTTTATAAGAAAGGATTGAAATAGATTGTTGTCAGGGAAGATCAGATGGGAGCGTGGATTAGAGGTAGACATTAATATATCTATCGGTTAAAGGTCTATGTTTCAGTGCTGGGTTGCTATTGAATATCTAGTAGATTATAAGCTGGATATATAGTGTGTATATAACATAAAGATCTCACGGAATATGTAGGTGAGCGCGAATTATTTGCTTACAGTTTATCAGTAGTTATCAGAAAATGAATAGGTAGTACCGCTAACTCTAAAGACATCTACATCATTTATACTTGAATGGAGTATAAATACAGAAGGAGAAGCGCAGAAACAATGCATGCCTACAATCTATACAACACTGCTTGTTTTCATTAAAAAGTTACTAATTTCCCATGAGATTATTACAAACAAAAAACAGTATCAAGTTATCATTGGGTCTTCACACTCATGAGATCGTATTTATTGTTATACTTCATGCATCTTATTTTGACAACCTGTCAAAAATTATTGCGAGTGTAGCTATATCATGGTAAATCCTTCTTATTTTGTTCTTGTGTTGATATATGAAAAATAATGGTCTATATACAAAAAAAAAAAAAAAAGAAAAAAGAGAAAGAAAAAAAACAGAATCTATAAATAAACAAACAAGCTAAAAAATAAATGAGGGAAACTGCTGTGATGTTTACTTCATGCTATGTAAACGATATTTTTTTAAATTCAAATAGCACCATATTAATTAACAGCAATATTTAACTTTGCAATGTTTATTTCGGCGAAAGATTGCATTTTTATCACCATACCCGAATGAGCGATATTCTAGAGTTAGTCTATATAAAAATCATGCCATTTTTTCTATTGTTATTAGAATCACACGCGACAAGTTTAAAAATAAAAACAAAATAAGTCTGATGTTATTTTTTGAAACATCATTTATACTAATTCTTTCCCCTCCCATCCCCCTTTTCTCTCTTTTTTTCTTCTTTTTTCTGCCTTTTTCTGCCTTTTTGTTTAAAAAATTATATACATACTCAAATCGTCATCATTAAATGTATAGATATGCATTCAGACGCAATAGTAAACTGCACATTCATTTAATTTTTATTTTTAGTATAATTATTTTATTTTTATTACGAAATATAGAATGCCATGTTTACGATTACACAATGAGAATATAAATAATGTGGTATGCTTGATAATGAGATAGAAAGAGAGACTTTTTTTTATATATATGATACAATATCCTTACAACCAGTTGCTGAAAGAATAGGAAGCAGGCGAAGAAGAAACACAATCAGATGCTCTAGAACAGTTATTTCTCAATGAACAATCTGCAAGACTACGAACTCCACTACAAGCGTTTGGTGTCACCACCGCTTGCTGCTGTTGCTGCAGTTGTTGTTTTTTCTGCAACGATCTCAGCCTTCTTTTTTCATCTTGTTGTTTCTTGACGTTACCAGCACCACCGCCACAGCATTTGCCGTCTTTAGACTTGTTGGCACCACCACAACAGCCATCCACATCCTTATTCTTGGGAGAACACGCACCGTTATCATCGTCATCACATTGACAGCCGGAATCAACTTCCTCTTCTTCTTCTTCAATCACAGCCTGCTCGACGATCTTGAGTTGTTGTGGATGTCTCCCATCTCTAGAATCACTGGCCTGTTTTATCTTTGCTTTTTCGGTCAGACTAGGTTTATCGAGATACACCAGTTTGATAAAGTTGCCGAAATCACACGCCAATCCACATCCATCCAAGGGGATGATATGTCGTACTGCAGAAAAAGGTAAATTTTCACTGGCTTCCAAGATATCTTCATCTTCTAACGGGTCCTCGGCTGATTCATCATCAGACACATTGTCGATAGTGGCGTGAATACGTTTGTATTTCAACTGGTGATCGATTGTCTTCTTTTCAGTTGGGCCTGAAGCCTTTGTAAAGAGACTTAATAAGGTACCTTTTAATGCTTGTGCAGATGTAATATCGTCTTCCTTTTGTGAATCTAACGGCATAGTATCATCATGATCCAGGTCGAACGTTTCGATGGGGATACGCATCATGTTAACAATACCTTCCTCTTTTGACAGTGACGGGTTGTAGTACTGTAACGAAGCAAACCACGTTTCCCATTCGCCTCCCTTTTGATTATGGTTATTAGGTTGATGATGGTGTTGACGGCGACGACGTACACCAGCCAAAATTTTGTCACAGAAGACCACACCATGACCAGCGGGCTGATCTATTTTACCAAGGAAGGTTGCCTTTAATGGAATATGTGCATCGCCTGCCAATTGTTCAATATCTAATAACTCCAGAACAGATGAATCATTACTAGCATTCATGACAGGACGAGAGATGAATCTCTTTTTGGTGCTTGTAGCAATTTGTTGAGAGCTAGATCTTCTTCTTCTTCTACCATTGGGAGTCAACTTATTGACGGCTTCAGGACCGGCGTCTTCTGAAATAGATGATTTTCTATGCTTGTATTGTTTACGGTGGTAGTCTTTTGTACACAAAGTACATGAACCTTCATGTCCGCTGTCGGAGCGCTCCAATCGCCAAGCGTGGACTTTATTATCCATAGAGCTTGAGGCAATTAAAAACCCGTTTCCAAAACAGGTATCACACCCACGACATAACCCAGGCCCGTTCTCCACCTCACAGTAACGTGTGACAACAACCTGGTAGATGGCCCCACGATGATCTGCCGCGCCTGATGTAACGGTGCTAGCACGAGAATATGTGGAATTCGTGTCCGACTCATTCCCCTCTTCTTCCTCCGACGAAGACGATAATTCGCTGTGCAAAGTGGAGAATTTACTGAACTTACGGATGGGTCCACCCACCAATAAATTATCCACAATGGAAGTGGCCGGAGATGCTGTAGTCGATTTACCGACGGATAAAGTACAGATCGATTCTCCCGTTTCGAAATTCCACACACGTACAGAACCATCATTACAGCCTGTTACAAGTACGCCCATACCACCCACGGGTAATTCGGTCACAATTGAAGTTACCGGACTTGTTTGCTCAATCGTGTACGCCAATAACCAATGTGAACTAGAACATTCGTCTTCGTCTTTGGCTTGGATCAATCGACGTTCCCAACACTTGACCGTGCCATCCTTTGAAGCTGTGAATACCCAGGTCACACCCGATTTACGATGTGGTGTCGTCTTGGAATCCACTACATGTAATTGTGTCATGTCTTTTGTATGACCTGTTTTGACAGTTTGAATACATTCACCAGATACAATATCCCATTCATGAAGCACACCACTTTTATGAGCTGTAATCACAAAATTTTGACATTCTTCATCGTTACTTCTGACACGGGAAGCTACTTCAGCCACCAGAGGATGACAATACTCTGCAACAGCGCCAATAAACTGTAAAAAAAGAATACGATCAACGGCCTCTCTTTTCATGTTAGTGGTACTAGTGGCAGAAGGATTTGCGTTGAAGCGATTTCGAAGTTTGGGCGCAATGACTTCTTGTACTTCAACCACCGAAGGCAAATGAGGTTGATATTCCATTTCTCGCACCAATGTGCCGGTACTGACATTCCAAATTCGTACCACGCCATCTTCATATCCACCCGCGATCCATTTATTACCTTGATCCACGCTCACACAGCGTGCTTTTGGTAACTGTGCTTTTGTCAATGTACCGGCCACTTTCTTTTTTTGTTTTGAAGCTGACTTGCGCTTCATACTGAAATCAGGGTTCTGAATAGCCTGAACAACACCACCACGGCCCAAGGACAGTTTATCCAAACGTGCTACCCAAGTTGCTTTACTGACATCAGCGTTCCACAAGACAATACGACCATCTTGACCACATGAGACTAAACTTTGTTGCGCGTTGGCGTCCAAGTTCTGAATATCCGCCACATGATGACTTTTCAAGGTGCGTACTTGCACTTGTTTCACATTAGCACGATATTGTTGTTGATTGAAGATATTTTGTACAGAAATAGCGCCATGATGTTGAATGCCGTCGGCGTCATATTCTTTACTTTCTCCTTCGTAGGGTAAGCCCCTCATATACAAGTATACACGTTGTAAAGGGAACCAATCCATCAATATATAGATCACTTGGTTAAACGTATGTGTGATAAGTGGCAGTAACCATTGATCACGCCATTTGGGCGTCATCCAAGTAATAATTCCTACCATGACCAAACAGAGGATCAACATGGGCACATTGATATTCAGGATAAAACTTATTAAATTTTGAAGACTGGACACGACAAATGATCGAAAGAGAGAAGGTCCATGCTGAATCTTGGTACGAATAACCATGTATTTAGCCAAGTATAATTGCTGTAATTGTTCTACGTGTTCTGATACTTTATAAGGGTCGGTGCTATAGATGAGTAAATGGGGTGGCTCAATTTGAAGCCAAGTCACGTCCTTGTTGGGATTGACGGTTGACCAGAATTGATCTGATAATTGGTTAAGTTCGGGTTGATACAGTTTGTGTAATTGATGGTGATGATGATTGGTGTCTTTTGAACAGAATAAAGCTAATGAAAGCACAACGAAACAGAGCTACACATAAAAAAAAAAGAGGTAAGTCTCCCTTGATTTTTCTATTATTATTTTTACAGGTTCTCCAGTACCATCAATGCATTAAAGATGCGATGCGTCTTGAAGTCTTTACAATCTGCGCATGATTTCGAATCGTCCTTATTGGGCGTATCTTGCACAGGACAAAAATCAGGTTGTTGGTTCTCTGTTTCTGATTCATGGTTTGCAAGTTCGTGTAATCGTTTTGACATTTGACGGTCATCCAAGTCAGCCAGCTTTTTTGTTTTACATATGTGAATAAATAAAAAATGGGTTTATTATTTCTCATTCTTAAAATTACCTCGACTCGTTTAATATCAATAGACAGGACAGCAATGACAAAAGTCATTTCAAGCAGATAATCGACGCACAAAGCGACTTTCGTAAACATGCAAAATTCTTTAATCAATGCATTATCCATGTATCCACCCAGGGAGAGAATAATGAGTTCGGCAACCAACGTGGCTGTCATTGGCACACCTACACTTTGTAAGCCTGTATTCAAACGAGTTAGAAAGTATATTTATAGAGTGTCTGTGTTACTTACCTCTGCTCACTTTTTCAATGACAATCATATCACAGCCAGCATAGAGCACCGCATTGGTTAATAAAAAGACATTTTCTAACGAAGCAACATTGACGGAGATCAACAAGAGATACCATGGGACTGTATTTAAAGAGATCCCGAGTTTGATAAAGATACCCCAAGTGGTGGTGAAACAAGCAATGGAAAGAAACACTGCCGCTAAACCAAAACTGTAACCAGACTTGACTAGATTTGATTTACCGAAGGCCATCGAGACCAAATAGAAGGCGATCATGTAGGCTACAATGGATAATTGTACCTTGTAAGATAATTCAAAAGGAAATAGATTAAACTATTAATAATACAAAAAAAAACAATTAGTCCTCCGCTCAACCAATACCCTACACCCATGGAATTGAAATTTACCTTGTATTGAAGCATTTGCGAAGAAGTATTGGCTGAAGCATACCAGATGCTGCCGCCGTTGCTGGTATCGCCGTCATGCATGAAATTATCTACATTCAAAATATGGTGTTCTAACTTGACTTGGTGTAAAATGCTATTCCAGATACGTAATGTATTACCGTTTTGAGTTTGTTTCAATATAAAAGTAATCACGACGGCGTCGGCTTTTACAAGTTCGTCTTGGGCGTCAAAAGTAGTGTTTGAATATATTGAGTAAGGATGAGTTTCGTACTTTAAGGAAGGCTGATTATGTAAATTCGTAGTTTCTTTCCAATCTGCTATTGTGTTTAATTCCTCAAATGGTGGAGCGTGAATGAGGCAATGACCTTGATGTTGGTAACAGATTGAGTTTAAAGAAACAGGTTGATTATCGTCCATGACGATGGTTGAGGCAATACTTAAATAAATTTCTTTTGCTTTTTGAATCAATTCAAAAGTAATGGGACGATCGGGATGAGATAATCGAATACGTTCAGTAATTAAGTAGTGCGATGGTGGTAGATGGCGAGTGAGTGTGAAATTATTGAACTGGACGTGCGCAGAAGCGTGCCAACATTGGGCATCCAAAGAAGTGGATATTTGCGATAATGGTATATTGTTGAGTGTAGTTGGTGTTACACCTGTTCTTCTAGATTTATTTAGGTATGGTAATGAAAAATAACTTATAAATGATAGCGAAAAAAGCAGTAGAATGCAAGTTCGTGAAGCTACTGTCTTTCCATAGTTGTAATAATACGCAGATAGCTTTTTCGCCACTCTTGAAACAACTCTATTGGGCATTGAATAAATATAATAATAAAAGAAAAAAAAAATACAAGTAGAAGAAAGAAGAACAAATTTGCCAATTAATTTTTTTTCACAGCCTTTTTTTTTTTTTTCTTTTTTTTTCAAGGTTACAATACAGCTCGTATGTTCCTTGATTTGGAACTGTGTCACACCCTTTTTTTTTTTTTTTTTTTTTTCTTGGTTTTTATTTCAAAAAATTTGGTGTTCCTCTTTTCCCTTTTTTAATTTTTTTTCTTTCTTTACAACCTATTTATTATTTACTCATGTCCAGTTGGACAGTTGCAAAAGCAGTCTCATATTTCTTGGGCAAAAGAAAGAGCAACGAAGATCCCAAACGACAAGATCAAAGCCCGACAGCTCCCGCCGCAAATGGACCAGAACCAAAACAACAACAACAACAACAGTGTCATGGCAACAGTTCCAAGAAGAAGACACTACTACAATCTTCTAGCAACGGATATAATGACCGACTTAAAGTATTTGTAGGTACTTGGAATATGTACGGCCGTTTATTACCTATCGATTTGTCTACGTTCTTAACAGAGAATAACAATGATGACGTTATGCATCAACAACAACATGGCGGCTTGGATGGATCTGCCACACACCCGTATCATCTCTTAATTATTGGAACCCAAGAGTGTGAGCGAGACATTTCCGAAAGTTTGTTTTATCCTTCCAAAGAGGTCTGGGAAAAGAGACTATCAGATTATCTTGGTTTGCATTACAAGTTGGTACAAACTGAAACACTAGCTGCTCTGCATATTGCTGTCTTTGTCTGGTTACCGGTCCAAAATCTCGTTAAAGATGTCCAGTCCGAATCTATTAAAACGGGTTGGGCAAACATGGTTGGGTAAAAATAATAATTAAATCTCGTGTTTTTTGTATTTATTTATAAGCTAACTTTTTTATAAATCATTTAGAAATAAAGGTGCAGTAGCCATATCCATCTTATTTGGTTCAAGGTCCCTATTATTCATTAATTGTCATCTCACCGGTAACTTGCAAAATTTAAACCCTTCTTTTTTTTTAATTTTTAACTTATACAAAAAAAAATAGCTCATCAGACAAAACTATCGGAACGAAATGCCAATGTGCAACGTATCCTGACCGAACTCGACATGCCCAACTTTAAAAGTGGTAAAAATAAGAAGAAATCATGTAAGTTTAAGAAAAAGGTTTTTTAATGAAAAAAAGTGTAACAAATAATGTTTAAAAAGGGTAGATCCTTCTGTGCTTGATCAATTTGATCACGTTTTCTTATTTGGTGATACTAATTACCGTATTAACGCCGAACGTCCCTTTGTATTTGATGCAATTAAACAGGGAGATTATAATGTAAATGTGTTAAATTTACGACATAAAATAGAAATGACGTTACTAACTTGTTATTTCAGACCTTATTAGAATATGATCAATTATCCGTTGAGAGAAGAACAGAAGGTTCTCCATTAGCCTTCTTTCAAGAACATCCAATTCAGTTTCCTCCTACATATAAACTAGATACCATCATCACCAGTGTTGGAGCAGCAGCCACTTTAGTTGCATCCACCAATGCAGATTCTTCTGAATCCGATTGTTCTCTTCATCGTCATGCAGCAGCACCAATAACAACAACAACTGATAAGAATGTAAACAATACCATGGTTTCTCTCTCCACTTCTTCTACTTCTTCTTTGCATCGTTTTGGCTCTAAGCAGACTATCAAGACAACTATCCAAAACACAAAGGCAAAATCTGTCAAGAGCATTAAGCGAAGACTCAGTGGCCGCAAGAAGACCGTCGTTGAAGATGAACCTAATCAGATCTACAATATCATGACGGAAAAAATCATAGCAACCGAAAGTGATGCAAGTCTCTCTCGTATTGCTCTATTTGATTCGCCCAGCACCGTTCTCTGTTATGACAGTTCTGAGAAACAACGTGTACCTAGTTGGACAGACCGTATTTTATGGTGTGACCGTGCTGCCACGCACCACTTGTCTCCCCCACCTCCACCTACCCCTACTACCAATGGCAGCAAGAAAAAGAGAAAGAAGAGACCAATCAAGAGTCAAAAGGCTACCATGTCTATCTTCCCTTTTCGAAAGAATCACTATATGCGGGATACCGTGTGTTATTCGTATAATGCTGTCTTGCACGACTCACTTCTGGGTGTTAGTGATCATATGCCTGTCATAGCAGTCTTTGGTATCTATTTTGATGAATGGAATTTTCCTCCCCCACAGAAATCATCATTTAAAATACCCCTTTTGAAATCTCATACTTTACAAAGTACCCATACCCGATATTCTTCTAGAAACAGTAAAAATAGGACTATCTGGTGGCAAAGACTCTTTAAATAAAATAAAAACTATTTAGCCTTTTTTTAAAAAACCTTGTGGTATGATTATTAATCATGATAGTAATAGTAACTAGTGGATTTATATTAGCTGGGTAATAAAGAGAAACATGGACAGTGACAGGGATAATTACGACACGGACAAAGGTATAAATGGGAGAATTACTAAGCACTTCGATAGGGAGTTAAATCTTCTTGGACAGGTTGAGGAACCGTCGGATTCAATTATCACCGGAATTGAAGCTCTTAACTCTAATAAGGGAGGGTTATTCGTCATTTAGTATATACAGTCATCCTCCTTTAAATTACACGTGTTTATTCTTTACCGTAAATATGACCGTCAGAATCCTGATGTCGAGCGGTAAATTTAGTTTCATGATTGACTTGTATTAATTCTGTACACATGTCAATATGCATATGCTCAGGTGCAAGTGATAATTCGGTCTCAAGATTAAAATTCTCGTCCCGAAGTTGATTTAATACACAACTCTTATGATTCTTTGATGATCCCAGAATATAGTGTATTTTTCGAGGAATAGTTGACGGATCAAACCGTAGATTGCAGTGCTGTCTAGAAGACAAGTCAAATACGATTGGAATCTTTCGGTCGGCTGATTTGAACTTGACTAAGAATCGTAAGTTTGTATAATAACCTCTACACTGGTCCATATTTCGAAACATAATGGGTATTCAGCGTTGTTGGTGCCAGTGACATAAAAATCCCTAACTTGCACTATACAAGCTCCATATATATTCGTCACAGCTACACTTATTTTAGATGACATGTCTACTTAAACAAAACAAAGAAAATCCAGAGTCATCAATCTTTGTCCTTTTCAGTGTGAATAAACAATTCTGATTTATCCCAGCTTTAATTCGCGGTTACCATTATTTCGGCTCTACTGATTTTTTATTTAAACACTTTACTCTAATTTTTAGAAAATGTTTTTATTCTGGTAGGGTAATAAAGGCTCCAACCATAGCATTCTAAGAAAATTTAGTGCTCAAACCAAGTCGATAACACCGGCGGTTTACTGAATTGTTTGGCATGTAAATTACAGCGTTATTTTCTTTTAATTAGACTCTCACTAATCATTTAGTTCCACACCACTCACCCAACTTCTTTTTCATATTTTGGGTTAGTGTATGATTTTGCCCTCGTCTGGCATGTTAAATAGCATATATAAATTCTTATTTGTGTTGGATTTTTTAGTATGTAATACGCAGTAATAGAAAGCCCAAAAACGGAAGAAAGGAATAAAAAGGTTGCGTTCGTATTTTCGTAATCCCAAGGCGACAAGTAGTCAGCATTGCATGGTTAAGACAGAAAATTTAACACTTGATACTTAGCTTTTTTTTACGTGTCTTATAACACTTTCTGAATATATTGTAAGTTAGGAAAAACCAAAAATATAATTTAGAGCCGATCATTAACATATTAACTATAATACGACCCATAAAAGACATGAAGACTCTTTGTATTCCCTCCCGAAAGGACAGCCATAGTTCTTTTCTACATATAAATTAGTGTTAGAGTAGGAGCCACATTAAAAAAGCACACATGGTTATATTCTTCTGAAAACGGCCCTTCGATAGTAAAGACTCTTCAAATAAACCCCCTTGATTTTAATTATTGTTATTATTATTATTATTAATGACAGTAGTAATATTAGTAGATTCATAATAGCTAGGTAAAGAGGAAGAAGAGCAAGGAATGTTATTTCGTAAAGCGGTTGTATAGGAAGGAACCCGCGAGAGAGTCATCCAGTGTTCTTCTTCTGTATCACTGCTATGATTGGACGAAGAGAGGGAAGAGTACGATTCGGATAAGGGTATATGTGATGATCGCCAAGCATCTTGATAAGGAGGTAAATCTTCTTGGATGTGCTGGGGAACTGTCGGTGCGATTATCACCGGAATGGAAGCTCTTAACTCTATAGACGATTCGTCATTAAGTATACCTTTTTAAAAAATGGCACGTGCGAAAAAAAAAAAAAAAAAAAACTTTACCGGAAATATGACCGTCTGAATTCTGAAGTGAGACGGTGAATTTAATTTTATGTTTGACTTGTATTAACTCTGCGCACATGTCAAAATGGATACGCTGAGGTACCAGTAATAATTCGGTTTTGAGAATGTGACCTGTGATTGGATCAGGATAAAAATGATCGTCCCGAAGTTGATTTAGTACACAGTTCTTGGTCTTTTGACGATCTTGAGTAGAGCCAGTCGTGTATTCTTTTAAGGAGCAAGCGACGGAACGAATAGTGAGTTGTGGAGCAATAGGAAACAGATCAAAAGCAATAGGGATTTTTTGACCTGCAGCATATATTTTACTAGGTATTGTAATGTCATATTGGACCTTATTGGCCCAAATATTAGAAATATTCACTGACTGGTTGAATTCTAGATTGGAGGCCAGCATCTGTCGACTCACTTGGATCATTTGTTTATCCACAAAATTCATTGAGAATTTCGGTCGATCGCAGTACGCCTTGAGTCGATAGTAGACTTGGCCCATGTCATGATGGATCGATTCCGGTATATTTCCCGGCAACGGCAATTCAAAGTCCCTGAAAATGATGATGATGATGATGAATTTTATTTTACATTTATGATTCTTATATTATTACCATTTATACCGTCCTTGGCACACATGAGGCTTTTTACCGGATTCTAAAAATGTCAATTCCTTTTCAATCAATACTTGCTTGGCCCTGTAATTCCTTTGATTGGGTCCGTTGCCTAAAATGTTTTGGGATTTTAGTTTATTGCCAAACAAATGTTAAAGAAATTACCTTCGGACCAATTGACTTTGGTGATGCCAATGAGTTTCAGAGTGACGGATTTTACCTTGATTTGCTCCTGGCAATTTAATATGACACTGCCTCTCAAGATAGAGCCTGCAGACTCTTCCGCTGAACCATGGAGTATAATATGAGTATCGTCTAATTGAATATGAAAATCGGATGCATGAGTAAACGACATGGGATGTACACTGAGCATCATGCGCGGATTTAAAATAGAAAAATCGTGTGTGTGTATGTGGGGTTAATAAAAAAAGAAAAAAGAAATTACAGCTTTTTTTTAGGGACCTCATATTTATATGTGTTTTTTTTCTAAACAGCTGAGTTAACCCGATATTACCGAAACAAATAATAAGAAATAGTGTAACAATGTTTCCCTTGTCAAACATTTATAAAAAATGCATGATGTTTATTTTAAATCGCTCAAAAGTGCGCACACACACACGCACAAAAAGTCAGTGTGGTTACATATTATTTTACTCACGCAAAGCGTTATTTTAGCTATAATGTGGATCGTTGGTTCAACATCATGTTCCAAGAGTAATGTGGTAAACGCAACATATTTTGTACCATCATGCTTTCATAATCGGATTCAGGATCCAGTGTTTCTGTCGTTGACCAGAACTCTTCAAACTCGGCGTCTTTACTTTCCTCCGGTGGTCTAATCCAAATTTCTTCTCTTAAACGTTTATGCTATTCAAAAAAGTTGGCCCTTTATTCCTTGGCTCTTTTGTGTTTTTCTTACCCTTTCTCTATCTTCTTCGATCCTTCTCAAAACATCATCTTTGGAAAATGCCTCAGCATTAGTTTTTGTAGGCAAGCTATTAAAACAAAGTAAGAACGAGCCATGATTGTAAGTGTATTAAATTACCTTGAACCATGCTCCAATAGCGGTTTGCCAGCTTCATCCAACTCCTTGTCATCAAAATACCCCTTTCTTTTCCAGTTGTTCAAAATCTAATAATAAATCTCTTTTAGCTTTATATATATATATATATATATATGATGGTTACAACTTACCTTTTGGGTGTTTGGTATGTTCAGTACACCTTGAGGTCCACCTGCCACCACGGCGTGAATGATACGAGGCAGATCCGGACGTGTTTGGTCTATATAACTGGAATATCTTGCTTTTTGACTGGCAGAAAATATAGCATCCAGGACGTAAATTATATTTAACCGTGCATTATAGGACGCCTAGAAATATTTTTTTTTATGGTGGGTTTTTTTAAAAAACAAAATGAAAAAAAAAGAGAGAGAGACAAAAGGCGATTTAATATTTTTATAAAACAGTTTATATAATGTAAATGTGTCAACGGTAAACATTTTTTTTTAAAAAAAAAGAGAGAATTCTAATCTACACAAATAAAGGGATGTTTTTCCCATCCCCTATGTTTTTTCCCCCACATTCACATAGAAAAAAAAAAGGAATTCTTACCTGTTCAAGGACTTCAATAATGCAACTATAAAGATCTTCAGACAAATTCCGATGTCGCATGGCGTAATTGGCTACCTTTTGAATAGCTTGTTGTGAAGCATTGAGTTTAGTTAATAGAGATGAAAACATCAAGCGACATTCAAAAGGATCAGATTCATCCGCCATTTGCAAGATTAATTAGTTTGTGGGTGTTGTTGGGGGAGAGAGAAAAAAGATTTTCTTCTCGGACAACAAAAAAAAAAACTCCCTGCTATTCACTTATTTAAACTCCGCTTTGATGTTGCCTTGGTAACATGTATGTGCTCAATTGTCCATTGTCGTCTATCATTCACAGGCAACAACCCTTCTGCAGGTAACCTTTTTTTCAATTGAATACAATAAAGTGATCTAATCCATTCAAAGTATATTTCAGCTGCAGTTACCCCTTATTATGAAGGACTGCCATGTGGTCTGTATTTGTTTGTTGATAATCTAGCAAATACATTATACTTGGACTGCTTATTACAGACAATTCAAGCATTCATAGATGAAAAAGAGTTATTCATTTGATTGTTCAATACGAAGAAATAAAAAAATACATTGTATATTTGTTTGTCCGCTGTGTTTTGAGTACATGACAGAATAGGAAATACTTTGCTTTTTTGTTCAATGGGGGGTGGGGGATAATGTGTGTGTGTGTGTGTCTGTGTGTGTGTTGTGTGTTGTGTGTTTCATGCTTTTCCCCTTCTCTTTTTTATCTTATTTTCTCTCAAATAATTTTTTAATCGCGAATGTCTAATGAGACTCATTCTGAAAATCCAAATACACAATCAACCGTGGGACAAGAATTTGCTTCGAATATCTCTGTGGCCGACCTTGCTATTCTATCTACAGCTTACACACCACCAGACACTTTACCAGATACCCCTATTAAAACCAAGCGACGTGTCACATTTAACCTACAAGACATTCAGGTGCAAACTATACCTGCCTACGATTCTGCCTCTTCTTCCTCTTCAGAAATCTCTTTGGATATTATCAAACCAGAACGCATCTCCAAAAAGGAAAGTTACGATGCTTTACTACAACGAAAACAATTTAGACGCGATCACCCCAACACAAGCACCATTACAGCGGCAACTACTACAACAGCAACCACTACAACAGCAAAACCGGGTTACTGGTATCCGTTGGCTTCTGGTCCCATCTTGACCCATACACCCATCTCGTCTTTAGAACGTACTGAATCCTTGATTAATGAAACCATTCAACGTGAACTCTATTCCCATTATCCACCTCCTTCTCCTTCTATTTCACCAGATACCAATTCAGCGCTTGATGAACCCACCGCCACCGTGGCATTTGATCAAATACCCATCTCTGCCAATAAAAATGCATTAATTATATCACCACCTTCTTCCTTGCATGAAGATCCTATCTGGGTAGATCACCCCACTCTCTTATTAACCCCTTTACCGCAAGAGCCACGAACCAGTTTATTCTTTATCAAGATTCTAAAAGCAGAATCCCTAGATTTTCCTATTGACAGCAGTAAGTGTGCTCTCATTGCTATATTTCATTCAATTAAAGACTTTTTTTTTTAAAAAAAAAAAAGACGACACAGAATCATTTTGTAGTATCCAATATAAAAAACGATCAACTACTTCGCCTCGTCAACCCTTGTCACACACAATGCAGTTCGATCATGAGATGAAAATGTAAGCAATAAACTGATACTATTGATAACTTTGTTTGACTAACAAGTAAAGTGGATTCAAAGTGAGAATGTAGATCCTAATGAATTAGTAGCGATTACCATTGGTGTAATCAAAAAAGAAAAAAGCTGGTTTCATCGATTTCGACCGTCTTCTGATTTAGAACGTTATATGCATGAAAAGGATGGTTCCATCTGTCAGACGATTTTCTCACCAGGTCGATTCGTAGTGGACGATGCATTGGATCAAAAAGCCACGTTAATGTTGGTCAATAACTGGTATGGGGAAGGCAAATCTACATTTAGGCAACAACGCAAAAAGTCAATCATGAGAGAAAAGGCTGTAGGCAAGATTTATATCCAATGTGTGTATATTACAGCACCCATCTCCTGTTCTTTACCACATACAATGGATGAAGCATTAGAAGGATTAAATGCAAAGCGATTTCATGAAACAGAATGGCAATCAGGTTATCTCTTTCAAATTGATGCACGAGGAAGAAGACGACAGTATTTTACATTGATTGGTGGTGATTTATTAGCGCATATGTCACCGCAAGATCCTGTACTATACAAGATACCATTATCGAAAGCCACCAAACTCACTTTTGATGCTTGCTTATTTCAATTGGATTTTGATGGAGAAAGTCCTATACAATTTTCTTGTGAATCCCTACAAGAGTTCAATAAATGGATGGCTGTGCTACAAGTCATGGTGTGTAAATTACCAAGATTACCCGCATGGATTTCAACATAGAAATAACAATTGTTTTGATAATAATAATAATAAAAAAAAGATACCCCACCCCACCCCCCTTTTACCAGCCATTAAATTATTCTTATAAAGAAAGGGGTATTTTATTCACTATGTATAGAGACAGATCTACGTAAAGTTGGAGGAGGCATGAGATGACCTGAAGAAGATGCCTGATGCGGTAATTCAAATAAGAGATCTAATTCATCAATGGGACTTCCTGGACTCCAAGCGCCACCTGGTGAAGGTAAAGGGGATTCATTGTATTTAATAAATGTAGGAACGTCTGTATTATTTTCATCGGCAAAGGGGATCTGTAGTTTCGGTAAATTAGATATATAAGGTATGGTGGTGACGATCAAGGGTAAACGTATGGCTCGAGGGTTCACCAATAAATTATTTGTACCACCACTTTCTGATGAAGAATGACCCATAGTAGGAATAATTATCACTACTTCATACGTGATATCAATATATTTTCCCAAATGACATTGTGTGGTAGGAACACAAAACGTTGGTACTTTGAATGGGCAGATTGTTGTATTATCTCGACTGTAACGAGGAATTGTCACATAGAAGGATTCGCTGTGGATTTGACGTTGTTTGTGATGGTAGGATGGCCCTATAGCCACTGGTAAATCGGGATATTCTCTATTACTGGAAGATAGGGAAGTAGCAGTTGACAATAGAAAGACTTGCACCTGATTAATATTATAGGATGATTGATTGTGCGTGTGTAATTTAACAGAGCACAATTCTCCTAAAATAGTGAATTTATATGAAATGGATAAACGGGCCACAAAGTAAAAGTAATAATAAAACGTACCTGGACAAGAAGATGGATTTACTAATTTTGCAGTGACTTCAACGTACTCTTCTCCCTTTTCTATTTTGATGGTCTTTGATTTTTTATGATGGCGAGTAGTAAAATCATCTAGTGAAACAAGTGGTAAATAGGTGAGAGGTACGATAGATGTGGATCTGGTTGTACTGTCAAGTAAATCTAAATAGCCTTGGAGTGAATACTCGATGCGATGTCCTAGATAAGCATCTCGAATCGTTGGTGGAAAATTAACGGATGATGGTAATTGAATAGCAAATAAATAAATATGGTTTCCTGTTTCGGATTCTGTGGGTTCTGGAAGTGATAATATGAATATTTTTTTTTTTTTGATCTGGCTACTTTTTTGTTATGTATATTTTTACCTTGTTGGCTCCAAATACAAGATTCGACGGAAAATAAGGTACAAGAGGGTCCTTTTTTCTTGTCCCACTCTTCACATTTAAATACCACTCTTATAGATTTGATGGTGATTGCTTTATCCAAAAAGAGTTTAACGTTGCCTACCAGAAATTAAATAAGTATAATATGTAGTATTCTTTATTTTTCTTCTTCTTTACCATTGATAATCGATCCCGCACCAAATGCCACTGCCTTCGTATCGCCTGATGCCACTGTCAATTCAAATGATCGAATAGGATTTGATCTAAACACATTTGAGAATTTCATTGTAATTATTTTTGTATGAAAAAAAAGGAAAAAAAGAATAAAAAAATGCAAACCCTCCCCATTGTTTTAATAATCTGGAGGGGAAAATCATTTAACCGGGTTATAAAAATCAAAATTAAAGTTTACACCAAAAAACGCTTTTTAAGTACTCGCACAAACATTTTGGTAAAGGTAAGAATAAAAAGATGGCATAGACTAAAAAAAAAAAGACACTTATTTATTAATCACGTCAACTTGTATCAGAAAACTATGAAGCACAATAATAACTGGAACAGAGCTCAGTCGATGACTAAAATTTGGAAGAGGTTTTAGCCAATACAAAACAAACAACATATACTGACAATATCTACTGATGCGAAGTAGCTGAAACGCATAGAACAAATGAGTCAGGGAACTCAAACAAGATAAGAATATGCCCACATACGTCTGTTTTATATTATTCGAAGTTTGTATCTACATTGACGTATGAGTTACCTATGTGTAAACTTTGCCATGTTCTATTTATAATTCATGTCTACGCCCATGTTACTTTTAAAGCTAAACGAGATGATCGATTATTTTTCATAATATACGCCTTACTATTGGTATAATACTACTTTTAAAACACTGGCAAACCATTACAAAGTCTAATATAAGCCCGGGTCTTTTTATATTTGAGCTGATCAATATCTGTGAGTGGCTACAACAAGTAAAAGGCTCAAAAATTATGCATGATTAAATAATCAATTTTTACATTATCCGGACATAAACTTGCTTATTCTCTTGTTTATCAGTCAATAAATAAAGCCTGCTTATACTTTTTTTTTCTTTACTTTTTCTTTTTCTTTTCCTTTTCTTTTTCTTTTCTTTTTCTTTTTTTAAAAAAATGAAAGAAAAGACAAACGATTGTGAAAAGGTTAGTAACTATTGGCTTTTGTTTTTTTTGAGAAATCAATGCTAAAATATGACCTATTTTTTTTATAAGTAAAAAAGACGTGTTCCAATTTTCCAAGGATTAGATGGAGACCTCCCAAGATGGTTTCTCAGCTTTAGGCTGAGATTGCTTTAGGTCACATAATTTCTGTCGTGATCAGGGTGGAGGATGTTAATAAAAATTACGTAAATAGACATCGTCTCAACATCAAAAGATGTAAGACCAATGAAATAAGGACAAAAGTCATATTTCATTATTCTATACCAACACATAAAGGCCTAAAGAGTCCGTTTTAGGCTCTCTAATTTGCTCATGCTCAGCTTTTGGTTATAAACTACAAGATAACCGAAACTACAACGCAGTATAACAAAACAAAAGCCTCGGCAGAAACGAAACGAAGACTTTACTCGATCGTGCTGTCACAAGGCTTTGGGAATACAAAAGAAGGACCCAAGCTAATCAAGATTTTATGGTTTGCCTTACAAACTATAATGCATCTGATGTTTATAAGCGGTGTAAAGTATTACCCATTGTTCTAGGCATTAGTCCCCAAATTTATCTCTGGTGCTGCATTTCAAAATGAATTTACCGACAGTAATGAGGGACTTTTGCAGACAACAAAAACAGGCTAAAAAACATTTTTATGCCCAAATTTTACAAACTGTTGAAGATGTTGTCTCCTATCATCTCCTTCAATAATCAAGGAACTAGTAGCAAGCGTAAAATAACTCTCCCCGTCAAAGATAGTCTTTTTTTAATAACGCAATAATACATAAACAATTTAGCGGAAGTGAAGGAGAAAGCAATTCCCCACAATGAATATGCCACGTCTAATAAAACCTTGAGAAAGCCTGGAAAGGGGAAAATTGGGGATGGAGGTAAAGCAAATGGGCTGTTCAAGTCATACATATCATCTGCTACCCTCAAAAGCTCTTACTATCATATTATTATAGTTTATGTGGGAAGCATGTTGTAAAGTAGTGGACCGACAAAGCTATAAGTTGTAAGTACAGACTTGACAGGAGAACAAACTAAAGCCTGTCGATGGTATGATGAAAAGTATTTATACAATCTTTTATAAATAAGAATTTCACAATATTGAAAAATGGATGATCAGTGACACTAAACTCTCCTTCGTTCTTAATGCATATTTGTTTATATTGTTTGACAAAAAAAGATAATTATTTTTCAGGAATGGGAACCGTTATCGAGGGACATTCAAATAAATAGGATGCTTTCTGACAGCTCAACAGGATTGATCTGTTTGAAAAGATTACATCGGGTAGAACGGCTTGGGATATTTAATTTTTTTTTTTTTTTTTTCATATAACGTTGTTAATGAGTCTTACGGGTTTACACCCGATTGAGTTGCACAATTTCTCACGTTTGGATGAATCTTTTTTTAACATGAATTCTCTATTTATTACTCAACTTTTCACTACTTTAACTTATGGATGCTTATACAAATGTATGTGTGTGGGAAGACATGTTGACACTTTGGGATGGGCGTTGGGGGTCGTGACTCTTTTTTGTTTTTTGCATATATAAATAAAAATTAAGGAAAAATTGCATGATAAGAACCCACTCTTTCCCAAATTAAATTTAAAAAAGATGCCAAACCAAACAGGGCCTAAACGAAATCCACTTGATCAATATTATGAATACAGAGTGTATGATAAGAATATTGGAAATCAACGAGAAATGTTTTCTAGTTATTCCGAGTATGCACCTTGTCCCGTTGTTGTCATGTCTCGCCATCAAGGCTTTCAATGGAACGATGAACTATTCGTAAGTGAATACCGTCGTAATGCAGGTTATGAATGTCATAAAAGTGCAAGTTTACAACAACGAGACCAAAAAATTCGTTTTAATATTACTACACAACAGCAACAACAACAACAGCAGCAGCAGCAGCAGCAGCAGCAGCAGCAGGATGATCCTTCGCCTGAGGTCATTGAAATAAACTTGACAGAGGCAGACTGTGATGTTTGGCCGTAGCCTCTTTTATTAAAATAAATAAATGGTAGTAATATAATAGTAGTAGTAGTGGTGGTGGTGATGTTAAAGGTAGTAGTAGTGGTGGTGGTGATGTTAAAGGTAGTAGTAGTGGTAAAAGTAGTAGTGGTAGTGGCGGTAAAGGTAGTAGTGATAGTGGTAGTAATAATAGTAATAGTAGTGGTAGTGATGGTAGTAAGTAGTGATTATAATAAGTACAGAAAAATATAAAAAAGAAAGTTGGTCTACTCATTCACCCAAGAGCCGCCTCGTTTAAGCCATTTGGCAAGCAGGATTGTGATATCACCTACTACAAATCCACCCACCACGGTATTAATAACAGTACAGATTTTAACTAATTTTGTAATAAGAACGTCATGTTGGGGTTGTCTCATCTTTCTCTTTTCCAGACTATAATGCGTCAACCAATTTTCTATATTAAAATAGAGTTTAGTACCGTGCGTGCAGTGCAGTGCATTTTATTGTTGTACATACCTAAAATGTGGATCTTCACAAATAGCTTTTGAAGCACGTTAATGTAATGTTTATATTGATCTTCACTAGATTATAAAAAGTGTCAATGATATATAAATATGCAGATGCTTTTTTTTTTTTTTTTTTTTTTTTTTTGCTTTTACGTTTTGGTTAAACTGAAGGCATTCATGCGTTCAACGGACTTTGTTAATTTGGTACCCCACGACATGAAAGACTGTGTCTTTTTTCCACTATCCATTCTACTAATGGTGGACATGGAATCCCGACTATTGCTGTGAATCATGTGAGAGTTCTTTTGTGTGGAAATGACACTACTGGCACTGCTGGTAGTTGTATTATGATGGTGGTTTTCAGCATGACTGCTCTCCCGTTTCAATTTCTTAGATAAACTGGTCTGTAAATGATCGACGGCGTTCTCGAAATTATCCAATAATTTTGTGGAGCTGGAAAGATCATCCAGGTAGGACCAGTTCTCGAGTCGTGCAATATCATTCATTAAAGATTCACACGCCGAGACTTTAATGTCCATCGACGACAGTTTGATATTGGGCTGTTGCCTATTTATTTGTAATGCGTCATGTTAGTTCAAATCATTTCATGTTAAACAAAAAAAAAAGAACAGACCAGAGGTTCTTGGGTATATATAGCTTTTGAGTGATATGAGCACCCTCTAACATGCTTTTTTCAATGGCCAGCAAAAGTTTGAGATGGCCTGTATCCTCTAGCTCAGCCTCTTCATCTGTCATGTCATAGGTCATTTGATCTTTAAGGATGAACCCATAGGAAGGCGTCTTGCGAGAGACAAAACCATCCATGGACAAACGATTGGCAGCTTTTTTCCGCATGGAACCTAAACTGCCGTTGACAGAGGGACGACTGACGATAGGTCTTGCCATTACCACATTGACGGGCGTATCTTCCTTTTCAACATCCTCGACAGTGGACATGGAAGAGGATCTTTGCATGGAAGGTGGTGATTTAGGTAAACTACTGGTGCGTGCACGAAAGACGGATTTTTTGATGGGTATAGGAGTGTCTTTGAGTGAGGGTAGAGCCATAGAAGGCTGTTCGACAATGGAGGTATCAGAATCAACGGAACTTAGTGAGCTCACAGATGATCTATTACTGTTATTGTTGATGATAATTCTGGAGCCATGTCTGGGAGGTCTTGTAATGATAGGTGTGACGGGTTCTTTGGAATGTTTGGTGGTAGGAGTACTTTTTGAGGTTTGTAATTGTAGGATAGGTGGCGAGGAAGCTATTTTCTCCTTTCCGTTACTAACAAACCTAACTGAAGAGGAAGAAGAAGAAGGGGAAGGAGGTGAGGATTCCCAGTGATGGTCAATAATTGAGGAAGAAGAAGTCATCTTTCGAATCATTTTGGCGGATGAATACTTTGGTTTAGAATTTAACCAATCTTTATCTGTATCTACTTTATGCGTAATTGCACTTAACAGTCGAATCCGTTCAGAATAAGAATCATGCTAAAATATAAAAATTTAGTTTATCTATTTCTCCCCCTCTTTTTTTTTTTTTTTTTTTTTTTCTGTACATGCTAAAAGGTTCTTACTATTTCTTGTAGCCTGTGTCGATCATTTTCCTTATCCACTGTAGACAAGACACGTTCCAGTAATAAGATGGCTTCCTTGTAGGAATTAATCGCTCCCATGACATCGTTAGTGGAATCACACTGCACTGCCACATTGGCCTTCTGTAGTGCTGATCTCAGAATGAGTTTGGATATTTGCTTTGAATCGTTGGCAGATGATGAAGGAAATGGTTCAGTGTTTAAGGTCAATACACTTGCTGGTAACACTGTTTCGTAGCTCATTCCAGTATATAATATAAAAAAAAAAAAAAATAGAAAAGAAAAGAAAATATAAAAAAAAAATGAATTATCCCTTCTTTTTTTTCTTTGGAATTTTTTTTTAACACTCCTCTAATTAAACCAGAGGTATACAAAGAACACGGCATTCCTTTGGGGGTACCTTTTTGTGTCACCTTTTTTTTGGTACAACATCATTTTGGGGAATTTGGTGTATTTCAAATACGGTTATAAACTTCGGTTACAAGCATTTTATATATATGCCGCGTTTTTGTTATGCAGCCACAGTCATTCATTTATATAACAAATCACCTCATAATTCGATTACTTTTTCATTTTCGGTTGGTTTTATTATACACTTTTTCATATCGGGGTCCATTTCGGTTATAACGTCACTTTTCTCTATCTATCCTGCTATAAAACGGACCCTTTTTTTTTCTTTTTTTTTTTTTTAATTTATTAATTATATGTACACAAGTTCAATGCAACCTCATCCTCATCACGATTGGCATAATTGGCAACAGAGAGTCAATACTTCATCTCCATCGTTACCTGCGTTGCCTACGCTACCTCCTGTCCAATCCAATTCGCTTCCTTCTCCACGCTACCATCCCAGCATCGGCAGCAGCAGTAGCAGCAGTAGTACGCATCATCTGTACCAACCTTATGCAAGACCAACACCACGTCCCAAAATGACGAGACCACGATTGACGACGACACTATGGGAAGATGAGAGCACCATGTGTTACCAGGTAGACAGTCGTGGCATATGCGTTGCCCGTCGTCAAGGTAATTGTTTATGATTGTTTGTTTATATAATTGATATTTATGCATTAATACAAAATCTCAGATAATGACATGATCAATGGCACGAAATTACTCAATGTGGCTGGTATGTCCAGAGGTAAACGAGACGGTATTCTTAAGAACGAACGAGGACGTATTGTAGTCAAAGTGGGAGCTATGCATCTTAAGGGCGTATGGTAAAATAGATGTCTAATAATAGCCTCATATTTAGAACAGAACAATAACAATTAAGTTTTTGACAGGATCCCTTTTGTCAGGGCAAAAGCACTAGCGAATCAATTTAAAATCTATGATATATTACATCCGATCTTCTCTGATGATCCAGGCTCCTTCCTATACCCTTCTTCTCAATTCCACCAAATGAATCGACTCAATTCGTCATCTTTCCGTATGCAACATGACGCTGTTAATGGAAGTCGATTCGGATATGAACAGCATCACCCGCATCAAACGCATCACCAGCAGCAACAGCAACAGCACCAGCACCAGCAACAGCAGCAAGAATTACCCGGCACGCGTTCGGTCCATTCATCTCCACCACCACCAGCACTGCCATCAGGCCAGGAAATCGTGAATTTGACTAGACCTGCAACTTATGGCGAGACTTATTATAATTACAATACCAATGATCATCATCATTTAACCATGGATAAATCATTTTGGTGAAAAAATAAATAAAAATTTAGAACTTTTTAATATAAATCATGTGAGGGGCGCGGGTCTTTCAAATATTTTTATATTATTTTATTTCTTCTGATATGTTTGCTTTACGTACCCTTCTAAGATACCCCATGAGTCACCAAAAACGGGATTTCTCTGCAGCATGTTGCATCATTGGCGATGAGATTCTCAATGGCAAAACCAGAGATTCCAATGCCTACTTTCTTGGTAAAGCATGCCACCATTGTCCTCTTTTTTTTGTATTACTAATCTACTTGTACAGCAAAATACTTGTTTGACCTGGGCATTGATTTGAAACGTGTAGAAACCATTCCAGATGAATATGACTCGATTGCAGAGACCATTCAACGTCTTTCTTCACAACATGATCTTGTATTTACCAGTGGAGGTATTGGCCCTACCCATGATGATATTACCTATGCAGCACTGGCCAAGGCCTTCCATTTACCTCTGAAACTAGACGAAGAAACCTGTGTACGCATGGAAAAACGCTCCAAGGAGAAATTTGTGGACTGGACCTTGACAGATGCTCGTAAACGTATGGCCATTTTCCCTGAACCTTCACAGAAACTGCGTACGGGCGAAGACCTTTGGGTACCTGTGGTGGTGGTGAATGAAAATGTCCATGTCTTACCTGGTATCCCTCGATTATTTGAACAGTTATTACAGTCTTTAAAACCCCATTTTCAAACAATGGTAGGCAAGCAATCGCCTTATCATCGTGTGCAAATTGCCACCAAGATGACAGAAGGGGATATTGCCTCGTTTTTATCCGACTTGCAAGACGAGTACACAGAGAAACAAATCAAGATTGGCAGTTACCCTAATTGGGGAGAAAAAGACGGTGCCCGTGTCGTGGTGAGTGTGGTTGGAAAAGATCAAGATCTGGTAGATGTGGTTGGCTCAAAGATTCTTGATGGAATTTCAGGCTGGTTTACAAAGGGGAAAAAAATTATAGATCCTGCCATTTGATTGGCTCTCTTTTGTAAATGATTTTCAATTTTGACATGTAACGCCAAAAAAAAAAAATCTTTTTTTTTATGTGTATATCTACTCCTAAATAAATAAATGTCTTTTACTAATCTACGCAACTTTTCTACAAAAATGGCTTTTACATACAAGGAAGCAGTGGAGAAACTCAACTCATTACAAAGCAATGCTGCTCTTCTCGAGAAACTTCGTCAAGCAGGTCCTCGTATGAACGAAAAGAGTCTACCTGAAATGAGAGACTACTTTAAAAGAATAGGTTATGAGCCCAAAGACTTTGATAAGCTCAACCTGATCCATGTCACTGGTACAAAAGGAAAGGGTTCAACCAGTGCACTCACCCAAGCCACTTTACACCATTACGATACTTCCATCAAGACAGGTTTATTCACTTCTCCTCATCTCGTGGCTGTCCGAGAACGTATTCGTATCAACGGTGTTCCCATCAGTGAAGAACTCTATGCAAAATATACTCAGGATGTGTGGGAACGTTTAGAAGCCACCAAGGAAGAAGCTGTTAGAGCCATGAACCTTTCCGAGCAAGACACCAAGGAAATCCTTAGAAACACAAGAGAGCATCCCGATAAGCCTATCTATTTCAGATTCTTGACTTTGGTCGCACTACACGCATTCATTCAAGAAAAGGTATTTTATATATATATATATAGTTAAATCTCATAACTCATACTCAAGTTGGTAGGTCGACTGTGCGATTTTGGAAGTGGGCGTGGGTGGAGAATACGATTCAACAAATATCATTGAAAGACCCGTGGTATGTGGTATCACTGCGTTGGGATTAGATCATGTGACTGTCTTGGGCAACACCATTGATCAAATTGCATGGCACAAGTCGGGTATCATTAAGCCTAATGTTCCCGTGGTTGCGTTTGAACAAGTTCCTGCAGCCATGGAAGTGGTAGAGAAGAGAGCTCAGGAAAAGAATGCGCCTTTGACTGTTTTGCATGCGCGTGATGTATCCAAGTTAGATGGTGTTGAAATCGGTTTGGCTGGATTACATCAAAAATACAATGCCTTGACCGCCATCGAATTAGTCAAAATCTGGTTAAAGAAAATGCGTGGTGTGGATTTTACTGAAGATGTGCCTGAATCTTTCAAGAAGGGCTTAAAATTAGTGACTTGGCCTGGACGAGGACAGGAATTAAATGTACGGGAAACCAAATACAGTGCATTGTGTGACAATTTGACTTGGTTCTTAGATGGTGCCCATACTGTTGAAAGTCTGTCTACCTGTGCCGATTGGTTTAAAAACGTCCAAAAGAAAGTAACTAGTAATGATGAGGTGTTGCGTGTGTTGGTGTTTAACTGTACGCACGGTCGTGATGCAGCTCGGTTACTGGAAATTATCTCGGGCATTCAATCGGACATCAAGTTTGATCATGTTATTTTCTCTACCAATATCACTTTTAAACAAGGTTATACGGCAGATAATACCAACAAAACCGTGACATTAGAAGAAGTGACGTTGGTACAGCAGGAATTAGCTTCTAGCTGGAAACAACAAGTGCCTCATTTCGATACCGACAACATTCATACCGTTCCTACCATTGAGGATGCTGTGGATTTTGCAGTGGAGCTTGCCAAATCAAACAGTAAACAAGTGCAGGTCTTGACCACAGGTAGTTTGATTATGGTAGGCAATACATTGACTGTATTGGGCATACAACCTCAATAAAAATGTGACATCATCCATTTTTATTTTTATTTTTCTGATAAAATGAAAAAAAAAAAAAAATTAAATAAATTGTATACCTTTTCTTTCCCTCTTTTATTATAAAATGACTGGCATGGCACTTGAATTTACACTCGAAATGGTGAATAATGAAAGAACGCTCCGTTCACTTTAAGAGTTATTGACTTACTTTTTTCTGTATTGTAGATGGCTCTGCCGAGAGATCAAGCCAAGGATGTGCTTCGAGGTAAAAATAAAGTGCCATGGCACTAAAAGAAAATGGAACTCATCTTTTCTTCAATGTAGGACTTTTACATGCCATCTTTTTTCACCGGCTGCTGATTAATGTGGTGCCTCGTGAGCTTCGAGTACTCGAGACAAGTGTTGTAAAGTAATAAAAGAGAAAAGTAGGGCATGAAATCCGTAGTTAAATAATTTAAGCGTAGTCAATCACCGACAGTGAAGAGGTACAAAATTTAATTGAAGAAAAAGTCTCAGACTTTATGCATAATACAAGTCCAACACAAGTCAAGCAAGGAAAGGTACGAGAGAAAAGGTTGAAAAGAGAGAGAAAGAGAGAGGGCTTATGATTAAAAGGCAAAAGTAGGTGGCGCTGTTCTTTTATGAGAAACGCTTGAAAAAGAATTGGTTCCAGTTCTCCAAGACGGAAGAATTTGTGTGCTGGGAACAATGGGTGATCACACTCAACCTGGCACCACCTCCAACATCCGACCAAGGTAATTTGCTTTTTTACTTTTAGGAAAGAAAAGAAGAAGAAAAAAACTTGTCTAAAGCCTTCTTTTCAATATGTAGAAAAGACGAGATCCATCAAATCCGCCGAGAATCAGTTCAGACAGTGTTTGATGAAGATTTTAGAAATCGTGAATGAATCCAAGGAACATATTCCGTCCATCACAACCACAGATGGTAACCCCTTTCCTTATCAGGTACGCTTTTTTTTTCATGTGTACACAAACAAACAAATATTGATAATCCTGCTTAGATTGCAATACAATCTCAGACAGAGAGTTGGAATTCCATCATGAAAAGAATGATTGTCACAGATGCTCCATCCATTGCCACGAATAGTAATAACAATACAGCTATACCCACTAGCAGTCATCCCCCACATAATAATAGTAGTAGACCCAACAGTATAAAATCGGAAAGAAGAATGTCTTAAAACCTGTATATGACTAATTTTTTTTTTTTTTTTTTTATTTCTAAATGTGTGTAATAAAAAAAAAGAATGGTTTCGACTTTTTATAAATTTAAAAAACAACCTCTCAAGAAAGATTCAAACAAGATTAATATAGAATAATTAACAGCAAGTAACTTATTTGGCAATTTCAACACCACCAGTAGCACCCAAAACACGCTTGATATCACCATAGATGGCGCTGTTAAAAAAAAAAGAAAACGGAAATGTTAGTGATTGTACTGACATACAAGATAATATAAAACTTACAATTGACCAGCGGTAAGAGTGGCAACCATGACAACACGAGGACCGAGACCCAAGAAGAGACCCTTAACACCGAGTTGACCGGCCATGGAGATGAGACGAGAAGAGAGAGACTCACCAGCAACACCCTTTTGCTTGTTAATCTTGGACAGCAAGGTATCAGCGGGTTGAGAGACGATGGCAGCAACGGTACCGGCAACAATACCAGAACCGAGGTTGACAGCGGTCATTGTGGAGGGAGCAATTTGGTCCTTGGGCAAACCAATGGAGTTGACGAAAGCCTCACTAAAGAAAGAAAAAAGAATAATGAATATACATACAACACACAAATAACACAAATTAACTTACGAGACACGTTCGAAGACAACGAACTTGGCCATGGTGTAAGGAACTTGCTTCAACAAGATGGGACCGAAACCAGAGTAGAAACCCTTGACGACACCTTCTTCCTTCAAGATTCTGGAGAAACCACCGAGGAGACCAGTGGCGAAAGTGGGTTGAGAGACAAGACGAATACGAGTAGCTTCCAAAGGACAGAGAGCAACATCAGCGAAGAATTCGGCAACGGCAGAAGAACCGAGGTAGATGGCAGTACGGTTCTCGGAGGCCTTTTCGGCACCAATGAAATCAATGGCAGTCTTCTTGAAAAGCTCATAACCACCGAACTTGAAGGCACCTTGCAAGAAGTAACCAGCGGCAGTGGGACCGAGACCGGTCAACAAAGCACCAGCACCTTCAGCCTTGATGACTTGACGGAAACCAGCAACCATACCCTACAATTAATTTTAATAAGTCATCTCCCTATTACTCCTTCCATCTTTTTTTTTTATCTATTCTAACCTTGTTGTAAATCTCGGGAGATAATTGGATTCTGGTCTTGACGACATCAACGGGAGTCTATAATTATCGTTAGTATTTAATTCATCTTTTGATTACTCTAATAGTTCTATTTTTTTTTTTTTTTTTTTACCCTAAATCACAGAAAGGTTTATTAGCAAATAAGCACAAAAATACAAATATTAGTAGACTTACATAGCACCGTGAGTGACACCACAACAGATGGCACCAGCAAGGGCGAAACGGGCATAGAGAGCAGCACCAGTAGGGGCAGCAACATCACCGGCGGGAGAAGGAACAATGAAGTTCTTCTTTAAGGATTCTTGAGAGGGGAACATTCTTAAAAAAAAAGTGTAAAGAGTGGGGTTAAAAAAGAAAAAAAATTTAAACAACAGGGTCACCCAGTAATGAAATATAAAAAAGTCGCTGTTCCAAAAGAGTTTTTAGGCCCGGGCTTTACTCAATCCAAAGTCACGGTTTTAACCTTTTGCATCTCCCATGCATATCTTTTTTTTTTTTTCTAGATAACGTTTTCTTTCCATGATATCATCATTTTGATTTAAAATAAGAAAAGGATTCTCGGTAAAATAGATGTGCCCTTTTCTATAAATTTTTTTATTTTTTTTATTTTTTACCCCTTGATTCCTTTACTATTTTCAATACGTGACACAAGAAAGACATCAATCACATGATAGCTATGCGCACTCTGTTTATTGTAAAGAAAGAGAGGCATCATGTACATGTAAAATAAATTTAATTGGCTGTGTACCTGTATGCAAAACCTGGAAATCTTTTTTTTTTTTTTTCAAATATATTCTAATCGTATCCAGACAATCCGTGTCATTTAGAATACTTAATTTTCAAACAATCTTCCCCTCCCAGCTTCATTCTTAATTCGTAACCACTAAAAAAAAAAAAAAACGCTCGTGCTTTTTTATCTGTGACAATCGTAGCAAATGTGTAACACACATTTCCCCTCACGTATTCATCCGTCTTGTCAGTCCGTAAAAACCATGTGTTCCATCCTTTGATAACAAACTGCGGGTAAATCTATGCCTTGGATGGCCTCTTTTTCTTTTCACCTTTCATAAACTATCCATTCACCCCTCAGCACGGAATTTCTCAGTCGGGATATCTAGACTAGTTAAAAAGATCGAATTACAAATTACTTAAACTGTTTTCATCATGATCCATACATCCATAAGCTATCAATCTTTTTTACGTTTGCCTGGTCAGGTAATTGAGTGGAAACGGGTAAAAAGAAAAGACAAGAGAGATACTTGATGATGCAGTAGTGAAGGATGCAGCTTTTTATTGACATCAGCGCCTTTCTTGAGTCATTAAAAAACATGGGCGCTGTATTCAACACATATTTTATCAGTAATACTGCCCAAACAACTCTAGATATATTAAGGACAAACTACAAGCTCTGTAGCTAAAGTATATCACGTATACAAATGTAAAAAAATTCAACTTAAACAACATATCATTTATCATGGCACATATGCCAGATAGGCACAGTGACCTTTTTTTTATGAGTTCCAAAAAAAAAAAAAAAGTATTGCATAAATCAAAGATTTTACAATTGGGCTTTTTCTCCTCACTTCTTTTTCTTTTTGAGTGATTTGAGTGATTGGAAAAAAAAAAAAGACAATTGGTAAATGCATTCAAACTTTCTAACTTGACGGTCCTGTCCCCCCCCCCCACCCTTTTTTATGTACATGCTGGATTCAGACGATACTTGTCCTCAACTTTCACACTACAATACAAGTTGACACGAAAAAAAAAAAAAAAAAAAAGTAGGTCGACTAATAATTACACGGTAGCCTTTATTATTACCGGTGTCTCAAGGATCGTTATTATGTCTGACTTGCTAATTCTGACAATGTCACTCAGCATGGAGGACCTGTTTTAACCATAAGGAAACGACATTTAGAAATTTCTCTGCGTGTTTTCTCTCAAAGTTCTGACAAAAGTATCATACAAAAAGAAGGCAAATCAATTATAGTTTTAGGAAATCTCTCTAGTAGACTAAACAGTTCAGTCCCATAACTGATATCTTTGTTGCTGAAAGTAAAGCGCGTTGTTTATGCTGCGCAAAAATGGGACAACAATTAACCGGTCACGTGTTTATCACGTGACTTGTTTAAAAATTATTAGCTTAACTAAAAGTGCAAAATAAAATTGACATCTAACAGTCGCTTTGTCGGAGTGGTTAACGAGATAGCCTGCTAAGCTATTGCTCTTTGAGCGCGCAGGTTCGAATCCTGCAGGCGACGCATTTTTTGATGATTTTTCATAAATGCGGTGTATGTAGTCCATCGTTTTTAAATTTTTTGTTGAATAAAAATACATTGTCTCCTGGAGTGTCTGTATGTATTTTATACTAATTTTTATCAACTTCTCATCGTTTAGCTTACGTTAAGATCCAGTAGCTGGTTTTTCAATCGACCACATTTTCTTTTGAAAAAGCTAGAAGATAAGCATTACAGTCCCTTTATGATAGCTAGTAGGTATCCGCTGTTCCTTCCTAATTTTTAACAGCGACTCAGCACCATTTGTTAATACTTCACCGTGGTTTAAAAAACTTTACGCAGTCAATTGGGTGACACTCTGTTTTGCATGGAGAACAAAAACCAAAAGTGATGCTGTTAGAGCTTGGATACCACTTTAAATTTGGACAGAAAAATTAAAAAACGTCTCTGGTAGTCTATGAGAAGAAAATATGGATAATTTTATGAAGAACAAAACAGTTGTACGGAGAACATTAAACGCATTATTGGACATTGAAGTAATAACCTAGCGATAATAAACAATAAACGTACCTTTGATTTTAGCCCTTTTATACTAAGTATATAAATACTAATCAGAGGGATCAACAATTATTAACTCATCAAATGACAAGAGTGATATTTATGCACGGGATATATTAACATTTTATAGAAGTCCATGCCTATCCGATTGTATTGCTTTACACAGAATACATTTTTGCTCGCCACAGGATTTTACCTTGTGAATAGACTTTAAGGGCATGATGACAACGAGCAGGGTAATGCGTAATTCATGCTTAACCTTTAATTTTATTATCATATCTACGATATTTTCAACATAATCATTAGATTTCAAAATCTGTTGAATATGCTATAATCATCGTAAAAGTAGCAGCGGGAATTTGTGAAAAATCAAACGCTTTCTAGTATATTTATAAAGTATTATCAACAAAAGCTTTTTGTTTTATCTGAATGTAATTGATACACGAGCTTAATGGCACGTTTCAGATTAAAGCTAAGATAAAGTAGATTTAAAAGTCGTGTGACAGATAAAACCCGATAAAAAATGTTTGGTTAATTGTAATCCAATCATAAGCAGAGAGAAAGCTTTTCTGCTCGCTTGAGACAGTTTGTGATATAGCCCTGGTCTTGTAGCAGTGACTAAAGAGCTATAGTGACTGATTACACTAACTTAAACGATTTTTTGGCTCATCATCAAAAAGATGAATGATAAGAATCACAAGCGAGCGCATATGCTTAAGATATGATAGGTCATACTCATTCGGTAGGAATGTTGTAGCTGTAATCACAAAAAGATTAATTAAATAACAATTCTCTTATTCTTTTATTCTTCTTTCTATACGACTCTTATTTCATTTAAAAATTTCCGTAGTGTGTTATTCACAACAACCCTATTTTTACGTTAATAACACTACAATAGACACAACAATTGATCATGTAAATATGTATAATGCTTTCTTTTTCAACTGCAGCCAGAAAGATATTTATAGAGGTTAAGTGGAGGTACCAATTGACCTTCTTGTCAAAAAAAGGAACAAAAAAAAAAAGAATCGACAGGTTGAATGCTGACTGCACTGTACTACCATCGGTAACCCAAAACTTCAAAACGTAAAAGCCCATTTTCAAAAGATGATACGCGCATAACACATTTTTATGCCACTGTGCTCATCAAAAAAGAGGAATTTAAGTTTGCCAACCCATTTTAAGTTTAGCCTGCATTTGTGACTTTGAATGAAAATGTTGTCTGGACAGTCCCCCTTTGCAGTGTCATCACCTTCAACACTTCTTTTTTTTACTGGATCCGTAGCTTTCATTCAAATCAGCAATGGACGATAACGAACCTATTAACAGCAACCTATCGTTCTCATTGCACGGAAAACGATCGAGAAGTCTGGATAATGACGAAGAGAATCAACCGGTGCCGCAAATACCTGACGGTGTTAAAAAGCGCGCAATTCAACAGCAACATAACATTTCAGCTATCAAGCAATACGATTTCATTAAACAGTTGCTGGCAAAAGTGCCTGACGGAAAACCTGAGTACATGCTCGCTCGACAATGGTACCAAAATTGGGAAAGGTACTGCATTGATTTATCGCCCGTTTCACCGAGTAAAATAGACAATTCAAGTTTATTACGCGAAGATGGCAGTGTTAGACTCGACCTAGCCTACGATAAAGATTTTATAGTACTACCGGAGAAGGCTTGGCTATATCTAATTCGATGGTACTTGCAACTATGCGTCTACTCATGCTGAATTGAACTAACCCCCTCTTTTATATAGGTACGGCTTATTAGATCCATCTTATACATTATCAAGGAAAAGTAATAAGAAAAAGGCACCGCCTATAACCAGACCACCTATAAAAATTATTCCACCTTCTAAATCAAAACCAGCATCATCGCCACTAACAGTGAGGCATCCTACTTACTATTTTACTGTCTATCAGGCATACGAATCTACGAGGACAAAGTACACATTTACAATACCACCAAAGGCCACTGTTTCTAGATTTCAGAGTGCTCTCCTGAATGCCCTGGATTTACCTTCAGGAACATCCGTTGAATTATGGCTCCTCAATAATAGATTATTTAAGAATAACGCCTCTTTCTCCATATCCTACGAATTATTGAACGATCCAGAATCAGCAGAGTACGTTGATTTCTACAAAATTGATATTGACTCCACAGTTTCCACTTATTTACCAATGTCATCCTCATCATCGATTGGAAGCGAAAAAAGCGACCACCATTATTACCATTTGGCTGTGGACTTTATCAACAAGAAGAAAAATAATATGAATGGAAATACTACCACACCAAGCAGGGGATTGTGTGGTTTACAAAATTTGGGCAACACCTGCTATATGAACTCTGCACTTCAATGCTTGAGTAACACACCACAATTAACAAAATGGTTCCTGAATCGGGATTACAAGAAGGATATTAATGTATCTAATCCACTGGGTTTAAATGGCGATCTGGCAGAATCATTTGCTTCTGTTATGAGCAGACTTTGGCAACCGCATTCGACTTCCAAGCCAAGTATCTCACCTAAAGAATTCAAGGTATATATATATATAAAAGAAGGGAAACCAGAGTTGTGTTTAATTATGATTATAGACTACGTTTGAGGGATTTAACTCTCATTTTAGTGGATACTTACAACACGATTCCCAAGAATTTCTTAGTTTTTTATTGGATGGATTACACGAGGATTTAAACAGAATTTTAAAGAAACCTTATATTGAAATACCCGACTTTGATGACCTTTTAGCCGACAAAGAGATTGCGACCTGCTTTTGGAATTATCACAAAGCAAGAAATGATTCGGTGATCGTGGATTTATTTCAGGGACAGTTTAAGAGCAGATTAACTTGTGACGAATGTAAAAAGGTAAAGTTATGGTAAAGCCAATAAGGCCATTTAAAAATATTTTTATTCTTGGTACTTTCTTTATTTACCATACCTTAATTATTAAAAAAAACTTTTTTTTATTTTTATTGAATAGGTTTCTGTCACTTTCGATCCATTTATGTACTTAACATTACCACTACCCGAGGATACACAATGTAAAATTGATGTGGTCTATGTTCCTTATCAACCATCTCAAAGACAGCTCAAGATGACAATCCACTTGAACAATGATGCCAAGATCAGTCAATTAAAGCAAGAAATTGAGACCAACATCACATCATCATCACTCTCTATTTCAAATAATCACAGTGTAAGTCAGCCCGATATTCAAATTACCATATACTGATAAAATACCATTTTTAGTTGTTAGTAGTAGAGATGCATCAAGGCAAGATATTTAAGGTATTTAACGATACAGAGGAAGTATATAATATAAAGCCTACCGATGTAATCTATGTATACCAATTGCCATGTCCTTCAACCGCTAAATTGAACGAAGACTGGATTATATTCCCTGTTTACTGTGCAACTACTATTGATCCAAAACAACAGACAATTTCGACAAATCAGTTTGGATTTCCTATTATACTAGCTATCGAGACTAAGGAATCGACTGACTTGGATAATTTATATAGTACTATTGCTCATCATATCGAAAGGTATTGTATCGTTAAATTGTTTGAAGAAGATACGTCAGACACAGCCAAAGCAGTAGAAAACGACACGGCTAAAGTAGTTGAAAAAGACACAACCAAAGAATTATTCCCCCTCTTTCAACAACCAATTCATACGACTGCAGCTGTTACGCCTGCTGGTGGTAGACCTATGGTGGCTATGTCGAATTTATTTAATATTCGGTTGTTCGACAGACCCACACCTCCCATCAACAAGTCACGCCTTAATATCCCAACCGGAAGCTCCATCCGCTGGAGTGATCAGACAACAATCAAGCAAGGCCAAGGTATATTAATTGAATGGAGCGTATCCAAGGCACAACAGATATTTGGAAGTTATTCTTCAAAGTCATCCAAATCAATCTACGACCATGATCACCATTCGGAAATCAACACAGAGGCATGGAGGGAATACGAAGAGGTTACTAAAAGCAGTACCAAAAGAAAAACAAGGATGTCAACACGATCTTCAAGCCAATCTTCACTAACCTCTTCAACCCTTGAGGATTGTTTAGATGAGTTTACGGGTGATGAAAAGTTGAGTAGCGATGACTTATGGTATTGCCCAAGATGCAAAAAACATCAAAGAGCATCTAAAAAATTCGATATTTGGAAGTTGCCAGAAATATTAGTGGTTCACTTGAAACGATTTAGCCAGGAGAGAACATACGGGAATAAAATTGATTCTTTCATTGATTTTCCGATCGAAGAGTTAGATATGACAGACCGCGTTCTTTCTAGCACAGGTGAAGACAGTTTAATATATGATTTATATGCGATTGATAACCATTATGGCGGCATGGGTGGTGGGCATTGTAAGTCACGTAATTCTATAATAGGATATGTACTAATTATGTTAAAATAGATACTGCATATGCTCAGAATGCGGAAACAAAAACTTGGTATAACTTTGATGATTCTCATATATCAGAAATATCGGCAGAAGATATCAAGGTAAGAAAGTAAAAAAAAGTTAAAACTGAGATACAACCATCTTACCGGGTAATGGTTTTTTGTTGTTATACAAATAGACAAATGCGGCATATTTATTATTTTACAAACGAAGAAGATAGGCTTCATCATCTTTTATATAAGTTTGGACACATTTGCCGTGCTTTTATTATATCCAGATAAATATGCTTAAGTTAAATAAAATAATGAAAATAGCAGTGTACTTCAAATGGTTATTTTCGTCACTAGCACTTAATGCGAGATTAGAAATGTTTAATAAAAGATCAGGCTGAGAAGCTGTGGCTGAGGTGAAATAATCTGTAACCGATGTCACTTTATCACGGGCCTCAATTTTAAAGTTAAATTCGGTCTTGTAGGTAAATGTATGTGTGATGATGATGATGCTTGCTTGGTTAGTGGGTATTATGTCTGAAGACAGCATCCAATTGTATTTTTCAGAGCTTAGTGACACTGCATCTTCTTGGTTGAAGAGATATATACTTTGATCTGGTGTAATGAGTTCTATGCTATGTATAAGTTCGTTCTTTTCTGAAGCGTATTTCCAAACAATGGCTTCCATTGTGCCTGCTGTCCAGGATGTGTTTGTGTTAGGATCTATCAGCTGAAATGTGAAGCTATGGGCCTTGACAGACATGACTATGACAAGTGTTAAAAATAATGTGATTATAAGTTTCATTTAGTGGAAAGAATAAAGAAAAGAAGAAGAAAAAAGTTTTAAAACTTAACTTTTAAGCCTGTCAAAGTGTTATTTTAGAACAAAGAAAAATATTGCTAAAACGGAGTTTATGTTTAAAAAAAAAAAGGTCAAAACCGCAGAGAACTCCTGTTTTTTTTAGTTCTCCCTCTTTTTGCTCACACATGTTAATTATTTGGAAGGGAGAATAATACACTTTTTTTTTTATCTATCTTTATTTAAAAAAAAAACCGAACCATTACGAGAGACAGAAAAAACTTTTTTTTTTTTTACAGCAAAATTATGTCTATTGATTTATTTAAGCCATCATGCAAGCTAGTGAGTTAAATAAGTCTACGACACCACGTCGAAGAAGAAGACGACCAAGAAACAGAAGAAAGCAAAAGCAACGTGACGAAGAACCTTTAAAGCAAAGTGAAGAATTGCAAGTGACGCAGAAGCAAAACTTGAACTTGACTGATTTATCAAGGTAAAACGACAAAGCTTTTTTTTTTCGGTCATGTCATTAAACTCTTTTCGTATAGTGAGGCTCATGCTTTAGAAAAACAGCTTAATGAACTTCAAACACAATTAAAAATTAATTATTCCAGCATCCCAAGCAAAGAGCAAGGACGTATCGCAAGTGCCATTGCTGCTGAACAAATATTGGCTACGGAGGAAGAGATTGTCTATGTTAGAAACAGGTAAAATTTTTTTGGGAAATATAGTTTAAGACGGATGTACTGAAAACATGATATAGTCTCAAGAGAACATATCGTCAAATATTCTCTGTGGATCTCATGTATGCTACAGCACATCATATCGAAGATAAAATATGGAGATATATTTTTTACGCAGGCATTGAGGAAGTACGTAGTAAATTACGTAAAATGTCATCATCTGAGACTGCCAGCAACGATAACAAGACATTGCAGAAAGAATTATATAACAGAATTGATTCTGCATTCAAGTTTTATCGTGATCTAAACATCCATGTAAAGACAACATACCATATCGACACAAAAGTACTAGGCATTGATTTGTTTAAACAACACAGTTCTGAAGAAAAAGTGGGTGTATTACTTCAGTTCAATTATATTTGTATGGGTGATTTGGCACGTTATCATGCTCAGCAAGCCATGGCTGCTAAAAGTACCAAGAAGACTTCGGAGTACTGGTCATTGGCCAAGTCATGTTATTTAAAGGCAATCGATGTATATAGAAAAAATGGTAAGCCTTACTCACAATTGGCCCTCGTGTCTATGTCAAACGGCAATGCAATGGATGTAGTATGGTACTACTGTATGAGGTAAAGTAGAATATTTTAAGGTATTAACAAACACCTAATATGTTATATATCACACATAGTTTGGCAGTCAAACACCCTTCTAGTGTAGGCAGAGACAACCTTAAATCATTTTATTCCAAGATTAGATTCAATTCTAAGCAAAAGGAAAGTGATAATAATGTCTCAACAATGACCTCTCAATTTGTGGAATCTTTCCTTCATATGCATCGAACAGTCATGTTTAATCAAAAGGATAGCGATGAATTTGCAGCCATGATAAGCGTATCTGGTCAGCTGGGCACAACGCTGTTTTCGCTTATTCAATCGGAAGAAGGGGAAGAGGATGTAAATATATCCAAATCAACTAGTTCTATGTTACACATTATTCGAACCACTCTTACACGTACGATCACTATTCTGATGATTTCAATCTGGATTGCCGGTGAAAGATTAAAAGATAAGGCCAATTACAATATCCGACCTGTTATACTATCGTCCCAGATCCACATGTTTATTTTTGTATTCAACCTGCTGACTGGTGTCTATCGCTCATCCCGTCAAGTGTTGGAACAAGTCAGAGAGTCGCTGGAGCCTGAAAAGTACGACAAATTAGAAGCAATGGTGGATGAAACATTATTGCCTGGTCTGAGTATTTGGGCAAGTTACCTGAATACGAACATGAACACGGTTGCTCAATATTGTATGACTGCTGCAAATGATTCTAGAAATAGAGAGCCTGAAAAGAAAACCTTGGTCAAGGTAATTTATGAATGAAAAAAATGTTATAGATATATATATATACTCACATATTTTCTAGTCGATTCAATCTTTATTGTCGTTGCTAATTAGTCATCCTTCATTCCCTGATCCTGTGCTTAATGTGCTTCCACCAACATATCCTTTATCCGAAGATTTATTACTCTTAGGTATTATTCCATTGGCATCATTTCATAAAAAGATAGATTTCTTCAAGGAGAATGCGTATGAGGTAGATGATGAACACACGTTTGAGGCTCGCAAACAAGTACGATGGGGACGTATTCGTGACATGATTAAAAGTATTGCCGATTCCAATTCATTTGATTTTATTCAATACAACCAAGCAGAGCAGAAGTATATTGTTATTGACGAAAATGCCAAACGTCAACAACAAGGAAGATTTATGAAAGCTTTGGCTACACAGCGTTTGATGGAACAAGTATCTTCTTTAGAAAAGAACGTGAATAGAATGTCGTTAGGTAAAAAACAAGAAGCAACCCCAACTACAAAACGAGAAGTATATACGTGTGTGGTGGATGTTACAGCCTTCCTAGATGGCTTGAATAAGGTGAAGCGATGGGCCACCCAAACCCTAAATGTTGATCGCAGATCTCAAGGAAGCATATTAGAAGTCGTTGTTCCTTTAGAAGTCATTGATTCTTTGGATGACCATAAAAAGGGTACTTCTCATATGAATATGCAAGCTCGTGAATCTATTCGTTTTCTGGATCAAAAACTGTTGGAGAATGGCAATAAAACTGATATGCCAACTAGTTCGTTCCTTCGTACGCAAAAGGTCAGCGAAAAATTAAGTGATTGGGATGAGGCAAAGGCTTTTTGGATTGGCGAAGAAAGTAGATCGAATGCGGTCGACCATCTTTTGTCTGAAGATGAGGAAGATGAGGAAGATGAGGAAGATGAGGAAAAAGAGGCAGCAGAAGAAGAAATTGTATCTGATGCAGAATCTGATGATAGCTCCGACGGTGATTTATTCCATTCTAGAAGAAGAGGGGGTGGTAGTGACTCTGAGGAATCCGATGTGGAAAGTGCGAGTAGCGACGATGAAGAGAGCGAAGAAGAAAACGAAGCTGGCGAGGAATATGATTACACTGAAAATTTCGAGGAAGAAGATCAAGATGAAATACCATATACGTTCGACGATGTACCCAAAGGATATCGCCCAATTTTAAGCTGTTTACTGTATTATCATAGTAAGCAACAGGCGAGAGAAGACAATCAACCAGAGCGCCTTGTTCTGGTAACTAACGACGAAGATTTGGCGTGGTGGGCTGAGTTGTTCGGAGATCCTAAGACTGGAAAGCGTATGCTGATCAAAACTGTAAATGAATGGGACCAAATGGTCGGTAAGCTTGATTTTGAAAAGGTGTATGATTACTCCTGGAAACAACGCTAATTAAATAAACACGAACACTTAAAAATGAAATGCAATTTTTTTTTTTTAAATTATAAAATGTTTTTATTGTTTCGTTGAATTAAAACAATAGTTGTTGAAGCATTGTTATGATTTATTGCTTCTTGGCAGCCTTGATAGCGGAACCGACGGCGAAACGACGCTATTAAGAAGAAACGTATAAGCGTTAGTAAGTGATCTTTTTACTATTCAATCCTCTAACTACTCCATCTCTTAGGAAATTAAAAAATAAAACTTACTTGGTTCTTCAACTTGGAGACCTTGAAACGATCGAAATCAGACAAAGAGGCACGAACCTTACGTTGTTCGAGCTTCTTAGCCCAAGCAGACTTCTCCCAAGAGGCAACAATTTGAGCCTTCTCCAAAGCCTTCTTGAGGGCAGTTTGACCAACGTTACGGGGAAGATCCTTGATGACGAGAGGAGTCAAGACCATACGACGGTAAGAGAAAGCTTGACGGACGACACCGGTGGTAGGACCATCGATAAGAGCCTAATAATAAAAGTTGAGTGTGAATACAATGGTTTCTAAGGGGCAATTGACGTTGAGTGTGACTTACGCGGTTGTGATCAATAATGTCAACGATGGTGGCTAACTTGCCGGAATCGGGACCGTAGTTGATGAGGACAACACGGCCAACTTCAACTTGACGCTTGAAAGTACCTTGCTAATTAAAGAAGAAGAAAAATAAGCATGTTAATTTCATTCTAACATACACCACACACACACACACTCATTTCAGTAAGAAAAAGTCAGAAAATGCGTATCCGTAAATTCTGTCTTAAATCCATCCTTTATCTGTATTTTTTTTCTTCTCTCCCCATCCCCTATCTATTCATCTCTATTCACTTATTATATGATACGTACAACCATTGTTATGGATTATATAGTCAGAGAAAGAGCTTGGAATATTTCAAGTCAATCTACACATTTACAGCCCAAAAAAAAAAAAACTAGAAAAAGGGTGTTCGGTCCGAGTAATAATAGGTTCGGACCGGCACTGATTTACTGTCAGTTTACCAATGAAAAAATAAAATCAACATTGAGTCTCAACCGCCAAATCGAGAGACGTTTATTAAATAAAAAAGTTAAAATAACTTGTGTAATGGAACTGAGAGAAGAACTATGCTGATGTCTTTTTTGATAATGAAAAAAAATAAAATAAAAAGGCTCGACCCCAATTTCTTTAGTTCGTGCACAATAATGAAATATTTATTTAGTCTCATTTTGACTGTAAATAAACATGGGATCTGCAAAATACGGTTTTTTACCTTTTACTTTTATTTTCCCCTTAAACCATGTATGTTAAAATGATGATCTTTTTTAGCTATTTTTAATTAGGAAAGATCCAGATAAAAAAGGAGGTTAGTCTTACAAGAAAGAGACCGGGCTTATTATGATAATTAATATTTGTTATACAGCCTCTCTCTGTTTTAATTATTATTAATGAGGCCTTTTTTTGTGTATGTATATAAAAGAAGGAGAAAAAAGACCCGGTATCCAGACATACAACATTTTTTATCTAGCCAGGTTCTAGTTTTAGTGTCTCTCATGCCAGCTTTTTTTTTTTTTTTTTTTAAGCGGCGGGGGATGAGGGGAACCTTGCCTCACCCAGTATATATACTCCGTTCGATGCCGGGAGACAAAGATAAGGTACTGCAGAATTGAACACAAACATCACTTTATATTCTGCTGTAACATATGATTTGTAGCACGTCATGTCATTTACTACTGTGCTTCCTATTCACCACAAATGACCGAAGCGTATTATGTTGAGCTGAAACCTAATGCCTGGCATTTAAATAGCGATCTCATTTTTTTTGTCTGTGATATGTTTTTGAATTGTTTACAATAACATTTACAAAAGTAGAGGAGAAAAGAAGCAGTGAAATTAAAAAAAATGTAAACATCAAGCATGCAAATGAACAATAAAATGTCTGATGCTGGTAAAAAAATCTATAATTATCTGGCAATACGAGCGTAGGTCATTTATCAGATAATTACCGTCATTTGTACTCCGATAATTCTAGACCTATATATAAAACCTTCATTTTTCTTATTTTTTCTTTTTTTTATCTTTCTTTTTCTGTATCTATTTTTTCTATTCTTTTCAAGAGATATGAAGTATCTCACTTTTACTTTTATCACTTTAATAAGCTGTGCTATTGCTTTACCCATCACAACTTCAACAGAACCAATAACCGCTGTGGAAGAAAAAGAGATATTAGTCCAGCATGACATTTTAGATGAAGTGTTTCCAGTTCAAGTCGATACATTAGCTCAACTTATTGCAACCCATCTCCAGTTCGACCATCTTGATGCAGTGATTAGTCGTACAGATAAGGAGATCGCAACTGAGTTCCAGCACCATATTCAAATTAACGTCGAAGCTAATGAGTTTGATGATGAACTCGTGTCGCACAACGCTAACCAGCATACAATTCAACAGCAATCACCCACATTAGATATGATGGACTTGGAAATTCTTAAATCTCAGATATTTGCTGCTATACAAGCCCATACCGAAGGAAACTTACCTCTCACATGGGACAAGTTGGCTGATAAACTTAGCCGCCAAGCCATAGAATCGTATCTTCGTACGTCATTACTCGAAACATGTGGTGGACAACATGAAGTCGAAGACGTTATATTATCTTCTTGTTTAAACGAGAATGCAATTCAACTTGCCACAAATTTGGATTCCTATTTAACAAGTAGCCTAGAATATGTCTTTGAGGCTCTTGATCAACATGCACTACCCGATTTGCTTCAACATACCGCTCAAGACTTAAAGGGTATCCTCAAGTATTTCAACTCTGCATTCCTTCAAAACGGAAATAGAAAATTCATACTCGAAGTCGTACCTTGGAATAGTGATCCAACTGATATTCATAACTTTAAATCCAGATTGTTGGAAATGGCTGTTCACCCTTCTTTAGTAGACAATGAAGATGTTCATTCAATCGCTTTCTTTGTTGAATATGCTGCCATGGCAAGATTATAAGTCATAAGTAACAACCACATCCATAATATATATATATAAACTGTATAAATCCCCTCAACCTCATTCTAAAAAAAAAAAAATATCATACCCCATTCATTATTCTATTTCTGTTTCTTTTACAAAACAACCCACCTTTGTTTTTATTATTTAAAATAGATTTTTGTAAATAAAAATAATAATTACTTCAGAATAACGCATAAATAGTCCCCGGACCAAAACATAATAAACACGACCCTTTGCGATCCACTTATTGTTCCACGTGTGCACATGTACGTTTCTTTTTTATTTTTATATTTTACAGCAGACGTGTTACAACATACGATGCTTTTGGGTTAAGGAGGAGTTCCGTTATAAAAAAAAAGGAGGTCGGGTACAGAGGAGTCCTAAAAAATGCTTACTATACAAATGTTCAGAATGAACAATGCAAATTTCACCATCGTTATTTATAAATAACGATGTGTCAGCTGAAGGATACGTTGATAAGCCAAATGAAACTATTTCGCTCCGATTAAGCGTGTATAATGCCTGTTCTATCTGCTTGCCGTGTAGGCGCTAGTGGTACTCAGTGTTATATATAACTATGAGTTTATTTTTACACTTTTTGTATCACTTTTTTCCCTTTTTAAGTAGCCGCAAGTTGTGGCAATCACGCATCTTGCTGCACTAGTTAAGAAGGATATCTAATCATGAAATCATTGCGGAAAAAAAAAAAATAAGGGTTATACTTTCTAAATTTCTCGTTTGATTTTAACCACATTTAGAAGAGCCAGGGCTGACGTTTCTTTAGCCTGTGCCAAGATGTACTAAAGTATAGGTCCATATTGTTTTAAAGATGATGATATCTGTGTTACCACGCACCACAACAGGCGGTGAACCTTGTTTCCGAGAGCATCATTTATACAGCTGAGTGAAAAGGGCTTTAAATTTAGAATTTTTTTTTGGGCTTAAAATTTCGACGCGTATCATTTAAATTGATCTAAGACATGACTTTAATCAAAATATTCCCCAAAATAACTCTCAAAGAAAAATTTAATAACATCAAATATGGTAAGCATAGTTGCCCTTGATGAAAAACAGGTTAAATTATCCTTTTTTCAGATTCAGGACCACGAAGTGAACAAGGAAACAGGTTTGAAACAAGTCTCAATCTCAAGTTAAAAATAAGGCTTAGTATGGGTGTAACAAAAACATTACCAAAAGTAAAACAAGACGGTCATTAAAATAAATAAACCATTATAAACATTTTTTTTTTTTTTTTTTCATTTTCATTAAAATATATCAGGGGAGCAAGCGGCGAACCACCCACTCCCCCTAAACAAAAATTATGGCCTCGAGACATCCGAAGATGTTCGCAGCAAAGCTAATCGTCGCTGTGCAATGACAATCGGCCTCACTGTACATCTGGGATTCTTGATACCAGATGCACGACCCAGGTAAGTATGAGTTGCAATCAATTGCGAAAACGTCGCCTTTTTATACTTTTTTCAAATTCAAATTTCAGTTCAACCTGTGACCACTCTTCCGTGAAATTTATTATTAAACAGTCTCTTTTTACCAACTCAGAAGGAATGTGAGGGGTCACGTAAGTTTGTTTTAAGACTAGCGCATAAGCCACAAAGTACGAAGGAACATGTGAGAATAATATCAGTGCCTTGAATTTAAAAATTCGTCCATGCATACTATACATATACATTAAAAATATCATGACCAGAATTATACGTACCTTTCAAAATTTGAGCATTTAACTTAGAGCTTCGTGCTTTCATACTCGAAAAACTCCATTGGCACATAGAAATTCATTTATTTAATGCTGATTTTGACAGAATACTTGTGTATAACTCATGGCAAACATTAGCCACTACTATTACAGGCAATTATAATTTATTGGTTTTAAATACATGTATAGTATTTGGCATGATTTTTTCTAAAACAACGGCTGATTTATTCAAGAGCATCAACATGTTTAAAGTCATACGAAAGCAAGTAAAAAAATGAAAACAAAGATAAAGTATTTAAGAGGTAAAGAAACAAACAAAAAAGCTTTTTATTATAAATCCTTTTTTAAAAAGTTGTGTATTGATTAACATTAAACAAGTAATCAACAGATTTAGTTCATGGATTGAACCAAGTTGTTGATGAATTGCTCACGGTTACCAGTATCACCACCTTCAATGTAGTGAAGGAACTTACGAGATCTCCACATGTTGTTAGGGTTGGAGAGCTTGAAGGGCCAGAGGAAGTTGGAGGCTTGCTTGAAGTGAGGACCAACGGTGGCAATCTCGTGGATAAGATCTTCGACACAGATGATGTCGTACTTACCGAGAGACTTCTCGATGACAGAGTTCTCAGTGATGGGAATTCTTTGCTTGTTGACCTTAGCATAACCACGCTTGTAGATCAAACCACGGATGGTCTTCATGTTGGGGAAACCGTAGGTGACATAAGGTTGGATCAATTGGAGCATCTCGGAGGTAGCCTTGTTAAGACGAACGAAGACACCGTTGTTGATTTGCAAAAGACGGAGCAATTGGAGAACCTTACGGGGCTTGGGGGCAATGTTGTTGATACCACGGATACGGACAACGAAGACGAGCTTCTCTTGAGCGGGAACATAGTAGTTACCTTCAGCCTTGGCTTGACGACGGAGACGGATCTCGTTGAGGGCAGCAGCCTTGTACTCAGCATCGTACTTGGCAGCACGCTTGAAGAGATCACGACGCTTGTTGAGCTTGGCCTGTATTTTGAGATAATGTTAGTTTGATGTTTTTTTATGAGAAAAAAAAAACGACAATAGTAAAAGAAAAAAAAGAGAATCAGCCCCGAAAGATGGTTAACATGAGACATCATCGAGTGCAATCTAGTCCATTGGGTTGTACCCCAATTATCATCATACTTCTTTTTTTCTTTGCTTTTTTGTCGTTTTTTTTCTTGTTGGAGAAAAATACTTGCCTTGCGGAGCTCGGCCTTCTTGGCAACAAGAGCTTCGGCAGCCTTGGCACAAGACTTGTTCTTCTTCAAGAGGGTCTCGGGGACGAGGACGTCGTTGGCAGTAGGAACGTTGCTACGAAAAGAAGCGAATTAATAATTTGGGTCAAAAAAAAAATATAAGCCACCGAAAATATGTTATTGAAACAAAAGAAGTATGTAAAACGTCAATAATTCGATGATACAAGTATTCCTTTCTTTCTACAACAAGACTTTCAAGCAGCTGTCGTTATTGAATCGGTGGTGTGAATACTTACTAAGCAACCATGTTGATACTGTCTGAACTGATAGGAAAAGAGAAGGAACTCTAAGATAAAAATTTTGTTCAATCATAAGAAAAGTTTTTTTTTCTGATTTTTGGGGCTTCCGGTCCGGACTGCTAAAATAGTCACAATATTTAAAAAATTTATGTTCCACCGGAAAGAGAATTTTTAAAAAGCATATTTATTGTTTGTACAACTCCGCACCGAAAATATTCGACACTTTTCACAAAAATTTGAGTTCCTTTAGTCATGCATTTTTTTAAAACCAAAAACTTGTTAATAAAAGGTATCTCAAATTCTACCAAACTTGACAAAATAGCAATATATATATATATTTTGTAAAAAGAAACTTTTTTATTTACGTTAATAAGTGGTATTTGAGCCACGAGCTTTTTTTACTGCCCGGCATCTATCGGGCATACTTTCTACAAGCTTATGACACACTTCATCCCCCAACAACTTCCATTCCTGATGAAGTGCAACCTCCAATTCATTAAGATTTTGAAGCTGGGCTCTTCTTTTAGCAATCCTTTGTCCCAGGAGGCGCCAAAGGTTCTCAATCGGATTCAAATCGGGACTTTGAGCGGGCCATCGCTCAAAGCCTGCAATCCCAGCCTTCTCTTTCCACCACCTCGTATATCCTCCTGTATGGCATGGGGCACCGTCTTCTTGGAAAATAAAGTCATGACCATATTTCTCTGTCAATTGTTCAAGCCAAGGGAGAAAGTTTTGACTTAAACAATTGACATATTTTTCTTGATCGACAGACCCTTTTAGTGTCACCAAAGGGCCCAAACCGCCTGCCCAAAAACATCCCCATACCATCACTGATCCCTTACCAAATTTAAATGTTGGTAAAACAAATCTATCCATATACCTTTCACCCTTCTTTCTAATAACTCTCACACCACCGTCGTTGTGCCTGAGTGCGAATCGCGACTCATCGGACCAGATTACCTTCTTCCAGTCATCTAATGTCCAATTCATCTTGTCGTCGACCCATTCTCTTCGCGTTTTTTTATGTCTAAGACTCAAAAACGGTTTTTTGGAAGGTCTGCAAGAATAAAAACCGTTTTTGCGAAGTGCATTCCTCAATGTCGTCAGGCTGATTGGATCGGTAGCCTTCGCAAGATTTTGCATATGAACACTTAAAGGTTCAAAGGAGTCCCTTCGAACTAAAAGCGTCAGGTGATGCTCAGCTCTTGCTGTCAGCTTTGCTGGTCTTCCTGGACGAGGTTGGACAGTCGTGATCCCTTCAGTTCGATACTTTTTTATAATCGTAACAACGGTTGTTCTAGGAACGCCCAATTCTTTGCTGATTTGGGTACCTGTCCATTTGGCATGCTCTGCCAAACCGCAAATGACTCCACGATCGAAATCTGAAAGTTCCTTGCTTTTTCTAGAGACTTTGTTAGTAATGTCAGTAAGTGGCATGATAAATTGTGTAATAAAATATGAAAGAATCGTTGAACGAAGAAAGAGTAGGTTTATTTATTTTTTTGGCTCAAAACGGAAGTGTCGAATATTTTATGTGCGGAGTTGTATAAAGTGATAAGATAATATAGAGTGTAATTCATAAATAGGTAAATATATAGAAAGAAAGGATAGGAGATATGTAAATTAAAGTCGATCTAAACCAGCACCATGTTATTATTCATTGCAGGCAATAAATCCATAACATTAACAGGCTTCTGACAATCAGTTGAGTTAGTAGTTGAATATACACCAAGTGTTTCATCTGTGCTACTTCTAGGAAAACTGGTACTGTCGTCGAAAAACACTGATGAATTTCTCTGGCTATGGTGATGGAAGTTTCTCTTTTTCAATTGGTATGGATTAGATGGCAATGATTTACTATATTTTAAATTCATAGTGTTGGTATTGATGTTGGTATTGTGTGGTTTTTTGTATAGTTTCGGAAACGCCTTTTTAAAGATACGATTTAAAAAAAAGCTTGATTTTTTGATTTTTTTGTTGGTTGCAGATTCTGCTTCAATAAGGGTAGATGAGGAGAAATATGTGTTGGCTGAGGTGTAAGTTGGCGATCTACGATGACGACGAGTTTGAGTTGCCAAATCCATTTCCTTTGTCGAATGGTGAAAGCTCAACTCCTGTTCAATTGCACGCATTGTAACCTATGAAAATTCCAGTAAGTAGACAGTTAATGCATATAATTATTTGTATATATTTTACCTGGATATTGTCCAATATCGTTTCTGATTTCAACTCAGTGGCTGGTTTATTTTCTACTACAACTAGTCCCTGCTCAGCATCTCTCTGTATAATAATAGGAGTCAGTTTTTAATTAAAAAATTATGAAGAAATAGGAGGTACTGTACATCATAGACGCTATCTCGTTCTTCATCTGCATCTTCAGAATAATCAATTGTTGACACAAATGATTCTGTGTCACCGTCTTCCGCTTCTATAGTAAGTGAGGGCAGGTTAATAAACAGGTGAGGTCATTATTCATCAAGTATAAAAAACTTACGATCTTTCTTGCAAATTAAATAGTCCACTTGATCTCTTAACGTAGAGATAATATCGTCTTTCTCATACAACTTTCTTTGATATCGTGACTCCATCGCTCTCAATTCGTTTTCGTGTTGTAATTCAATTAGCTGCAATTGTTCTACTCCGAAAAAAAAGGGATGTCAACAATAAACAATAGAGTATGGAACTGTAAACAAACCTAAATAGTAAATACGAGCGTTTGATTCAGCATCAAAGGCCCTGTTTCTCCATTTTACAATCACTTCCTTTAAGGCGGCTATCTCAGACTATTTAAATATAAATTAGAATCATGTGTGGCTGCTGCGTAATACACACTCTCCTTTTTCATTACCTCCTTTGTCAATAAAAAGTTATTATTATTCAACACGTTATCAGCAGCAGCATTCATTGAATTATCTTCTTGTTCTTTTTCATCATTCCAACTGATTACCGAGGTATTTGACGGAAGTAAGGCCATTACTGCTGCGACAATTGATGCAGCTTCCTTGTCATTCTGCTGTTCGAAATAAGCTTGCAAACTATCTTCGATATTCATTTTTGCTGATAATACAGTTGTTGCTTTTTTATGTTAAAACAAACCCAAAAGTGGACGACGAAAAGAAAAAGGTAAGAGAAATAAGCAAATGTAATCTGTGCTGAGTGTGTGAATACGTTTTTTTTTCTATTGTATAGTCTTTTTGCTTCAGATTTTCGTAGAGGTTTGAGGATGTTTAAGATCGGAACTGCATTATTTGATGTTAGTAATTAAAATATTATAACGAGAGTTACTTTACGAATTAAAAATTTCTTTGCGGATGGTATCAATAAGAATTAAATAAAAAGGCAAAAAGAAAAACTAAGGTCAAAGGGTGATCCCTTTTATAATGTGAAAGGCGGAGCGAGAATCCCGAAAGCATGTTGAATTTTGAATACCAGTCACTTTGGGAACTTACCAGTTTGATCGGGAAAAATGATAAAATTGTAGTAATGTTGGCACTCAAGCTGTGAATAGTGGTCAATTTTACATATTTTATAAAATAGAAATGAAAGAATAAAAATAAAAAATAATAAAATTCAAGAGGCATAATGTACATATAATTTATTTACTATTTATAATCATACAGCTGTATGGGGGGATTTACGTGCACTAATTATTTGTTAAAAGCTTAATGGTTCATAGATCTGGGTTGAATGGTATGGACATGTTGTTGCTTGACGTTGGAGCCAGCATTCTTAGAGACATCGGGTTGACGAGAGGCAGTATGAGCTTGCATATCTTGAGCTTGTCTTTCTTGAAGAGCACGTTGACGCATACGTTCTTCTTCTTCTTCCTCTCTCTCCTCATCGCTGTCACGGTTTTCTTCGTTATTAGACATGGTAGCTTCCTTCTTGTCACCGGTAAGACTAGTACGACGAGCAGATTGCTTGACTCTCATGCCACCAACCATTTGTGCGGGAGCGTGGTCTAAGTTAGGGGGGGCAGTGGCGTTGTTTGACATTTTAGTGTTTAATAAGTTTATAATGAAGATTAGAAAAAACGAGGACGAAAGACTCCCTTTATATACAAAATCCTAGAGCTGCATAAACGGATGAGGTCACAAAATTAGCAGGAATAATGGGGTGCACAACCGTATCATCATGACATAACTAATTTTTTTTTCGGAGTTGCATGAAAAAGAATGGCAGGAATGAAAAAAGAGAGCTTCTGTAGCTTAACACTGGACCAATGAAAAAGAACATATTCCGCCATCTTCATGGGATATCTTCTACAGCAGCCATTTAAGTGTTAAATTAAATTATACGTGAGATTTTTTTTTGCAGTTCTGTGCGTTGTACCACAATGAGGCTGAAAACTCCTGTTTGTTGTTGCTTTTTAGAGAGAGAGAAAAATGGGCAGGTTTCACTTACGTTTTGTCACTTTGGTTTTTTTACAATAAAGTTAGTGTAGCACCATGATGATCTCTATGACATAATTGTGCAGAGAACTACACTACTGATGAATTTGTGTCAAACTTAAAAAATAAAATGATGCAAAGATGTCACTGGCAATTAACAAAAGTAACGGGAGGCCTTTTTAAATAAAGAAATGCATGGTATCACATGGCGTTGTTTGGTACAGGAAACATAATATTTACTAGCAACAAAACTGCTTAGCATCTATTATCCAACGTACACCAGAGTCCGATAATCCAGTTGAAGAATATGTTGTCAAACACTTAAAGTCGTAAGTTTTACTTTTTAACAGTCAAATTATAAACTCATTTTTTTTTTTTTTTTTAAAAAAAAAAATAACCTGGGCAAAACCCCGTTTAAAAGTTTTATCATTCTGACCACATAATGCTTGATCCTGATAATAAACAACGTCTAAAAGTTTTAACTTGATAGTTTAATTTAATAATGTAGGATGAGTTGAAAACTTTTTTGACTGTTATATTTCCCTATTCAAAACCACCAGCTCGTTTTGAAAGCACCATTTGAAGGCGTCAATATAAATCAAGATATTCATTTCCAGTACCAATGCTGGTAATCTTATATTCGATCAGTGGATAGATTTATACGTAATTTTAGCAAACAAAATTAAGCAGGGTTGATAAGGTCATCATTTCCTAGTAGCTTTAAAATTACGAATCACAAAGAACGGTTTTGAATGATGAACAAGTTTTTAAGAATACCAACGGCAGGATTACCAAAGTTTTTACAACGCAGCCAGCCAAGTAACTTATTTTCACGTGCTTTCTCAGGCAGATTTGGGATGACAAAAGGTCCTGGGAGATTTAACTCCAGTCAACTGAAAGCACCCCTCCGGAAAAGAAAATAAGCTTCTTCTTTCTCACACCTTAAATTTACAATTAATGTCCAAAGATCTTTCTAATAAAAACACCCAACTTCAAGATGATGACTCCGATTTCGATGATTTATTAGATGGTAAGAAACAAATTAACATAAACTTCAAAAAGGTTAACCTCATCTTTTATAAAAGATGTTCTTGACGACATGGTCGCCCCTGAACCCAAAGCTCAGCAAGTTCAGGCCAAGAAAGAAACACAATCTACAGCACCAATCTACGACGACGATCCAGCAGTACCATCCTTAACCGACATGCTGGATAGCGATGACTTTGCTAAGCAATTAGCAGCAAATATGGAGCAGTTGATGGGACAAATGGGTGGCGCTGATATCGGAAAACCTGATGATATGAATAAAGCCTTTGAACAAGTGTGGGCCTCCTTTGATGGCAATACTGCTGCTAATACAAGCGTACCCACTGCAGCCCCTTCCACGCGCGAAGTTCCCAAGGTACCACAGTCCTTCCAAGATACAATTGGTCAGACTATGAATAAACTCAAGGATAGTTCAAAGGAAATCAAGGTAGGTGAAAATGGGTAAAATGTTTCTGACTTGTTAAACAAAAATATATTCTTTTAGACTTCTATCAACGAGGAATCAGAAGACGCATTTATGGCTGAATTAATGAAACAAATGGAGTCTTTGGCCGACAATGGTGAATTTGAAGGAGTTTTAGAAGGAATGATGAGTCAATTAATGTCAAAGGAGTTACTCTATGAGCCTATGAAAGATTTATCCCAAAAATACCCTGCTTGGTTAAAGGAGCACAAAGACACTGCAGATAAAGCAGATTATGAGAAATACACACAACAACATGCCATTTGCCAACAAATTGTTGCAAAATACGAAGCACCTGATTTTGATGAGAAGAATGAGGTCCAGGGTAAGAAGATTATGGACTTGATGACAAAGATGCAAGATTTAGGTCAACCTCCTGCTGAGCTTTTAGATGAAATGGCCCCTGGTATGAATTTCGGTAATCCCGAGGGTATGCCCGATATGAAGGATATGGAGAACTGTAATATTATGTAAAACAAATAAAGACCTCAAGAATAGTCATATATATTTATTGTTATACAAGCTACAACTGGATCAGGGCCAATTGTAATTAGTCATTATATCGTGGGTAATATCGAGTGTTTGAGTTGGTATTTATTTGAAAAAATGAGTGATACATAAATATGGTAAGGGTTGGAATATGATTATGACTGGTGAAGCTTAAACTGTTCTGAGTTATTCTCTGGAAATATCACGACCCAATGCAGTCTTTTTTAACCAATCTGTAATAACCAAAGCCCGGTTACGGGTAGAAAAGAGACTTGAAATATATGCAGATCTCCAGAAAGCGAACGTAGCAACACCGCCTGAAGCAAGGTTACCACCCGGACCGAAAGGCAAATCAGCAACAGCCTTGTCAGAACCAATATAGCTATAAAATTATTAGTATTAATTATATTTTCACTTTGTTACACTTACCAAAGGGAGCCTTGATGTGAATACTGGAAAGGCCTGATATCTTTAATCTTTCGTAATTTACGTTCTTTTTTAACTTTTTCTTCATCAGAAGCATCTTCAAGCTCAAGCTCAAGTGCATCGCGGTTGGCCAATTGCTTAAAAAGACGAGCAAGATATTTACCTTGCTGAGCAGCAACTTGAGCAGTTGGGGCATATCTCGTAGCAGTGGCATCACCTAACGCATATATGTCTTGAGAACCATCAAGGCGCAACCATTCATCTACGGCAAGACCACGACGGACTAGTTGTGTTTCAGGGAACTTTTGCATTAAATCGCGAATTAAGGGTCGAGCTGTATTACCCGTTGCCCAGACTAAGAGACCATAAGGAATATTATCCACAGTACCATCAGGGCGCTTGACTTCAATATCTTTTTCACGAACCTCTCTGACCATTGTTTGTGTATGAATAGAAATGTTTTGTTCCTTAAAAGTAGATTCGGTATAGTCGATCAATTTTTTGGAAAAAGCAGGTAGCACGTTCGGAAGAGCTTCAATTAAAGTAATCTTCACCTTCCCAGCCAACTCGGGATACCACGCAGTTAAATCATCTACGAGAAAATCATGAAGCTCGGCAGCATATTCTATACCCGTAGGACCGCCACCCACCACAACCATGTGTAATAGACGATCGATTTCTTCTGGGGTTTGGTTAGGAAATGCAGCAGTCTCAATACAATCCATTAATTTTGTTCTAATCTTTTGAGCATCCCAAACCTCCTTTAGAAAACAACCATATTCTTCTACACCCTTTACACCGAATGTTGCACTCATAGCACCAATTCCAACAACTAAGTAATCGTAGGACAATGTACTTGTGGCATGATTCCCTTTGACATCAGAATTATCTAAAAATGACCATAAGTCTCCTATCCAGTTGTTTATCAAATATTTGTATCACCTGCAATGGTAATAAGCTTTTTTTCAGGATCAATCTGTGTGCACTCGGCTTCAATAACATTAACTGTTCTAGACTTGTGACGAGCAATGAAACGTGTTGGTTCAATCACTGATCGGATATCAATAGTACCGACTGTAGTTTCAGGAAGTAAGGGAGTAAAAAGAAAGTAATTACGAGGGGAAACAACAACCTGTCACATGTAGAAAGATGTTAAATAATAAAGACTACATATATATTTAGTAAATAGATTACCACATTGTAATCATCAGTGTCGATATCCTTCAAAAACGAAGTGCTTGCCCAACCACTACCTAAAATTACAATTGTCTTTTTTTCCGGATCCATTTCATTTTGCACGTGTGGATGACGCTGAACATACATTTCTATTATAATTTTATTTAGCAAGAATCCCATGACCTATTACACAAAATCAAACTACCATAGCATCCATAAGCAATACCAGCTACGAGACCCAATTTAGCACTATTTTTCAATATCGACCATTTTGTTAATTTCTTTACAGCAACAGTGGTCGTGGAAGGTTCTGACACGTAACAACGTCTTTGGGGAACCCGAGATTGTCTGTAAGATAATCTCGTACTATTACGAACAATAGCACCTTTACCAATGAAAATGCTGCTTAATTTACCCCGCACTTTACTTTGTTTCAACTAATTTACAATTACCTCCTAAAGTTTTTGAGAGAGACTGCATCTGGCTTATAGAAAAGAGATATTTTTGGTGTTTTTTTGTAAACTAAGTAAAACAGGAAGAAAGAAAAAACGAAACAGATACTTTATGTAGCAGATAATTTATCATACAGCAATCTTGAAATAACTTCTGATTTCAGGTGGGTTGTTGAATACACTCGTGTTAGCACTTTTAGCGTATTCCGATTGGGTGAGCATTCTATTTTCTATACCCCGTATCTATTTTTTTTTTAATTTGGTATTAAGCTGACTGATAAAGAAGGCACAATCATTGACAAGTAACACCAAAATAAAAATAATTCTTTTTTAAGAGTAAGTTTATTTAAGGTTATGTAGAAGGTCACAAAAAAAAGAGCTTTGTGATTAATATGATAATAAGGTTAGGTTATAATGCTAAAATGAAATAATAATGAAGTGTGTTGTATAATGAAGTTTTTTTTTACAATATCTTTCTTTTTTCCGGTTCAAGAGAATTGTCATATTCAACACATTTTTCATTGGAGGTCTCAGTCTTAGAATAGTTGCGACCAAGATCAATAGAGTCTTTAAGGACACCAACACGCATACTAGAAAGCAAGTTTCGAGCACCATTGGAATGGTTATAGATACCACCATTAAAAGATTTTGTCATATCTTTACCGATACCGGCAAAAAGATATTTCGCTCCGCCAGGATGATCGAAGTTTTCAACATCGTACATAATTCCGTCCATAAGAATCCATTTCTTGTCCTTTGTATTTACCATTGACTTGAATTCTTCCATAGTATAGACTGGTAAATCGAAAATAGGAACACCGAATTTGAGGTTTCTTTTAAGTTCATCGACCCTTTTCTCCATCATTTGAGCTTGTCCCTTTTGAATTTCGTTGGCAGAGAAGGTTTTCAAGTTGTAAGTTTGACCTATAAGACTCAATCCCTTGATAAGCCATTTAGTAGGGTCGTATTGGTGCCAGAGAATAGCATTGCGGTAATCTTGAGGGAATTCATGATGGAAGTTATGGTAACCTTCTCCACAGGTAACGATTGCGGTGATCCAAGAATCTTTAGGAGTATGGTAATCGTCAAAAGAAGTTTCTCCAATATAATGTGCGAGACTGTTTACACAAAAGGTAGCATGATGGATGCACACAAGACGACAAAGACCGGAGTAAACAAAACCACCCTTCCAATCTCCCCAGAAAATACCGGCAACCAGCATTGGAAAAATAAAGGTCATAAAGACAGCAAAATAAATATAGTGCTTATGTTGGAAACGAACAAGAGGATCTTTCTTTAAGTCGGCAGTATCTGCATATCCGATTCTGTTACTCGGCCTGTTAATCAGCATCCATCCAATATGTGAGAAAAAAAATCCACGGGTAGCTGCGTAAGGATCTTTATCAGAATCAGTCCAGCGATGATGGGCACGATGACCACGAGACCACCAATGAATAGAACCTTGGAAAGCACCTGAACCAGCCAAAGCAAGACCAACACGAGTAATACTCGTAGCATCATAGGATTTGTGTGCCCAGTAACGGTGATAACCTGCAGTAATACCCAAACCAGTTATCAAATAATATATAAGGGACCAATAGAGTGTTTTAGTTTGTAACTCGGTTTGCGAAGCCAAGTAGGCACCCAAGATAGGCGTAGAGAACAACAGGATACTTTGGAACCAGTTTACGTGACTGACAAAATTTTGAAGGGTAGTCGGTTCATCAAACAGTGGAGGCATAGCAGGGTTGGCTAAAGGAAGCTGACGATCCTCTGTTGGCGTGTAAGCGTAAGGAGGGTACTTATCCACCTTTACGGGAGATGTCATTGTAGTAGTTGTAGACATTTAAAGGGATGTCTATTAGAGTGCAAGTAAAGTAAGTTCAAAAAGTATAATTCGATATTTATGGCCGCCTATTTAAAGGTTTTTTTTTTGCATTTCCAAACGAGAAAGTCTTGGACAAAGCACTTCGTGATTTCAAATTTGTTGGGCCTGGGGGAGGACGATTTGGGGGAAAGCAGCCAATGAAATTCTTTTATTTTTTTAAAGGGGATTTTAAAAAAACTACTCACTTTCATCCAACTTGATTACGAGCAGACTGAAAAGGACTATCCAAGTACGTTACTTGAAGCCAGATTGATATACAATTCTTCATCAATAATGACATACACAAATCGAAGGAGTGGGATCTCATTAGAGTGTTATCATTGAACATTTATTTATTTTCCCCTTTTTTTGGATCAAAAATGGGTTTAATTTTAAGAAGTGTGGTGTGATTTTTTAGTAGATTTTTTCATGCGTGGTAAGGTTTCATCCGCAATGACAATTCAAGTAATAGTCCTTCTATACTTGGGGGTATTTGTACTTACTCCAGACTTTTTTGCGCAACTGTACCTGTTACTACGCCGTACAATTTATAACATGTGCGGTTCTCGAAGGGCCTTTAAGACTTTTTTGTAAACCATCGAGTTTACAATGCGGCATGAGACCTTTAACATTTATAGAAAAAATTAACAGAATTTAGATGTGTTGGAATAAAGTAGTATCCATGGCATGATGAATTGAGCTTCAAACATTTGTCAAGTTTCAAACAAGTTTTTAGAGGTATAGAGCCGGGGGATAAAACCAAAAATCAGAGAAATTGTATATGTTTTCTTGTGTAGAAGTGTAAAGTTACTAGCTATGTCAAAAGTTAGGATCCGTGCTCTAGTTTTTAGGTTTACATAAAAAATGGGCTTGTAAAATTTAGATTTGACCCCAATATTTTATATTTTATAAAGTGGGCCGATATTAATTTCTTGTCAAAAAAAATCAAGGTCCGTGATTTGGTTTAACGCAAATGGACATGTAGATCATTTGTACACTATTCTTTTCTTATTAAAAACTAGATTTTTGTAGTCCATCATATGCCGATTTAATTGAGGCCGTATTTGTACCATGATTGAATAGTAGACTTAGATTTAACAAGCTGGAGAAAGAACAAAGCCATTACATAAATTCTTGTTATAAAATTTAGAGAACTCTGAATACAGGGCTATTTCGATCAGTGCATTGGTTTTCCCAATTTATGCATGAAAATATAAACATCTTAAATCACAAAGATAATTATTTTTATCATTATGTCCATGCTGTCCTTAGCACTCTTCCCAAACTAAGTAAGGAAGCAGTACTTTAGAGGTGACTTCTTCACGTTAAATCTTTATTACGACTTTTAAAAATAATTTCGCATATAATTTATATTAGCTATCATGGAAATCTTTACCAGTTACAGTCCTCTTGACATAACCAGCTCTTATCACCCAATCACCAAACGGTTCACTATCGCTTCTTTCTAATGCATATCTTTTTATCATTGGCCTCATAACATTCAAAATATCTTTTTCCTTCAAATTTTCCAAATAGAGCTTATTAAGTCGTTCGCCTTTAGGGCTACCACCTAAGTACATGTTGTAAGTTTCGGGAGCCTTTCCGACAAAAGCCAATTCGGCCAAGTAGGGACGAGAACATCCGTTAGGACAACCAGTCATACGAATCACTATCGAGTCATCACGGATACCAGACTCTTCCATGATTTCCTCCAGTAAAGTGATTAACCTAGGCAAATATCGCTCTGATTCAGCCATTGCCAAACCACAAGTAGGAAGAGCAACACATGCTGAAGATGTTTTTCGAATGCCGGTAAAAGAGAGATTATCGAGTTTATATTTTGTTAAATGCGCTTTAGTTCTTTCCAAATCCGTCTCCGAAATATTGCATACAACTAAATGCTGATTAGATGTCAACCTGAATTCACCTTTATGAAATTTAGCCAACTCCCGCAGTCCAGTCTTGCATAGAAAATCCGGAGTATCTTTTACACGGCCGTTTTCTATGAACATACCAAAATTCCAAGTGCCTCCCGACCCTTTTGTCCAACCATAACGATCAATATTATCATCAAAAGAAAAAGGTTTCGCCTCTTCAAGTCTTACACCACTATGTTCTTCAATAAGTTTCTTGATGCAGTCTATACCAAGATTATCAACTGTGTACTTGAATCGTGCATGCTTACGATTGACACGATCACCATGATCACGCTGTATGAGGACGACAGCTTTGGTGACTTCAATGACCGCTTTAGCGGATATATACCCAATCAATGAGGCAGACCGAGGATACGTTTTCTTGTTGCCGTGGGTCATTCCCATACCTCCACCAACCAAAACATTGTAACCGATGACTTGGTTGGAATTAGGGTCTACAATAGCAACATAACCAAGATCATGGGCATATACATCAACATCATTATTAGGGGGTACAGCAATAACAATTTTAAACTTGCGAGGTAAATACGAGGGCCCATAAATTGGTTCAAAGTCTTGAACTGCATGACCAGCAACCATACTATTGTCAAGCCAAATTTCATGATATGCACTTGTCTTCGGGGCCAATAGATCAACAAGCTCCAAAACTAAAGACTGAACTTGCTCACGAACTTCAGGAATTTCGGTAACAGACGTGCACATAATGTTTCTATTTACATCGCCACAAGCAGCAAGTGTAGATAGTAAAGATTTGTTGATAGCACGGATAGACGACCGTAAATTTTTCTTGAGTACACCATGTAGCTGGTAGGCTTGACGTGTTGTTATTTTCAATGTTTTGTTGCCAAATCGATCTGCAAGACGATCTAATGCAAGCCATTGTTTTGGGGTCGATACACCGCCTGGTGTACGAACCCGAATTAAGAAACTGTAAGCCTTTTCAAGGCCTAAAGACTTTCGTTCTTCACGTAAATCACGATCATCTTGAACATAAGCACCATGAAATTTTAGTAGCTTTTGACTTATTTCGGAGACTGTGCCAGTAGTATTATCAACCATATCTTGAGATATATTGCCACGAAGGAAATTAGAGTCGATCTTCATTTGATCATCAGTATAAACAGGTTCTTCATCAATGCCAGTATCTTTTATACCAAGTGATTTCCAGAGCTCCGGTAGCCATAATGCCAAACCAGTTTGATAACCATCAGTATCTTGGTCGTCAGCTAAGCCAGTATGTATTAATCTTGAGGCGCCCAACACCTCAAACTTTGCATCCAATAGTTTTGCCGGCCGGTTATAAAATTGAGCATCCTCTTGACGAGGCCAATAATGACTATCGCCTAAGCCGAAAATACCAATATTGACCTGGGATAAATTAATATCTCCAACGATCAATTTGTTTAAGCTTTTCCAAAATTCACGAGCATTGTACGGCATTTCTCCTTGGCCAGCCGTCGAACAAATTATAACAAGATTGGTTTCATTGGCAAGTTCTGTTATATCACTGTAATCATCCATCGCCATAAGCTTCACCGGAAGACCTCTCCACTTGGCTCTAGTAGCTATTTTTTTAGCAATACTTTCACCATTACCATTATCTGATCCGAAAAGCACTGTAAGGGGAGTACCAGCGCTGGATCCTAGCCCAGACAACAGGCGGGTATAATCTTCACGGGCCTTACGTTTTATTTCAGCATGTCGTTTACCGAAATCCTATGTAGTTTTTAGCATCTCTTTTTATAAACTAATATATTTACACTTACACTTTCCAAAGAGCTGACAAGAATGTTCGATATATCAGGTTGATTTGAAACCAGCTGTGTCAAATGATTCTCACGAGACAAAAAGGATTCAAGATCTTTTTTGATACGAGAAGAGTCTAAAGTAAACATTTCTTCTAAATCGGGATTCCAGCGGTAAAGTGGCCAAGTCCCATTATCGACACTTATTTTAGTTTCCTTGAGCGTGGCAAGGGTATTAGGTTCAGTCGTTAGTTGAGGCAAAAATGCAAGGACAATTGACGGCCCTTTAAAGCTGTCAGCTTCCATCATAGCTTGTAGAACACCAGTATATGAGTAGTATACAGCTACAGAGGCAACATAAACAGTACCGAAATTCATAGCATAAAGACCGATATCCTTTTTTCTTTGTTCGCGTTCAACCTGGTTTGCGTAAGGGGTAGTATCCACAATCAAGATATTTATATTTTCACCGCTGGTCATGACATGGTGAAGTCCTGATTGACCCAGGTCATAAGCCCAATTATCTGAACCGATTAGCCAGTTAGAGGTATCGTATAGGTAACCAATTTTGTCTGAGATAGAAGGTAAAGTTTTTAAAACACACACAGCCTTATCAGCAGCTTCATTGATTATTTTCGACGAAGGTTGAGGCGAGATTACTGACAGTAACCATTGTGAAAGAATTCGCTGTTCATTGCCGGAAATTGATGAATTCCGGATCAGTTCAATAACAATATCCACCAGTCGACGACGTTCTTGCATATGATTGATAAAGCGACCATACCCAAATTCAGGCGCGGAGGCATTACAACTACTGGGAGACCAGATAGAAGCAGCCTGATAAGCGTTATATATTTTTAGTCGGGATCCAAAGATTTGATCGAGCATTTTTAAATATGGAGTTTCGACAGGTAAGTTTTCTTTTGATTTTTCTATTGTTGCTATTGATGCATTGGGAGTTGCTGGGATATCATGACCGCATAAATCTGGCAAAGAATTCCATATAGATTTATCTAAAATTTCTTGGAAAGAAATTGCCTTCTTGAAGGTGACTTGTATATCATTAATATAACCAATATTGCATTGTTTGCCGTAGGCAACTTTTTTGATAGCAGAAGGCAGAGAGGATTTTAAGTCAGAGGCTATAATAAGACATCCACCATGTTTTAGAGAAGTGACAGCATCAAGAATATGCTGACTGTGTTGGGAGGGGAGAACATCTATGATTACCGCATCAGCAAACTTGATCAAAAATGGCGACAGTATGCTGGAATTAGCAGCTAACCGGACGTGTGTAATTGGGGCTTCATCTAAAGTATAAGCTTGAGAATTTTCCTTTGTGTTTTTGGCAAATGATATAGCAAGAGAGGGAGTCCCAATAAATATGATTTGTTTAGACAAAGACACTGGTACGACATCGATATACATCGTAGGTAAATCAGCGACCGTAAATTGCCGATTTAAGCTATTTGAGACTAAGCCATTGTAGACAGCATGGACCATTTCTTGAGAAAAATCCTGGTCGTTGACACCATACTGTCCACTGAAAATATCGACATGGTTCTTTTCGACGGTTTGAAGAGTGGATGCAATGTCTAGAAAAAGGGGATTCCAAGTTGAATCATTGGTGGGTTCAAGGACCGCGATACGTTGAACAGTATCAGGTAAAACTTTTAGGAAGTGTTTGCTATACCAAGGTCGGTATAAACGAACTTTGATAATGCCCATCTTGTGCGGGTATTTATTAGTAGATTTCAACGTTTCTTCAACAACGGTAGCACCAGCACCCATAGCTACGATAACAACATCAGCTTCAGCATCACCAGTGTATTCGAAAGGATAGTATGACCTTGCAGTAATACGACCAAATTGATCCATAACATCTTTGACGGTATTATATAATTGCATATTATCATTTGAATTCTCTTGTTTGTAATTGTATTTTAGATAAGCGGTCTGTGGCAAAGGTACTGGCCTACTATTCCAATACTGCTTAATAAGATCCTCAGGTACCAATGAAAGTAGCGTTTTGTTATCAAGCAATTGAATTGAATTTAATTCATTTGATATGCGCTTGCTGTCAAAAAAATGCAAAAATGGCGTCTGGGTCAATAGTGAGACTAAGTGGGCTATCAGAGATAAGTCGTGAGCCTCTTGCACAGTGGAAGAACATAGGAGAGCTAAACCACTTTCTCTAACTGCCATGACTTGTGTAAAATCAGCAAATGAAGATTGTTCCACGTTCTCAGCTGGAACATGAACAACAACGCTTGAGTTTTCAGACGCCAGCTTGTAAAATTGTGGTATTGCGTATAATAACGAGCGAGTGGAAAGCATTGCACTTGTAAGCTGATTTCTCGAAATGGCCTGAATAACATGAGACAAGGGATCTTGCAAAGGATCTAGTTGACTGGTCGTTGTTGGCTGGTCATAAATGTTCGTCTGTATGAATGTTGGGCTATGTGCGGATGAATACACAAACACGCGTTCGTTGAGTAATTGTGCAATAGCGATGGAAGCATCCCTTCCATTAACAAAATTTGACATGTCAAAAAAAAAAAAAAAACTGGAAAAAGGAATGATTTATTAATTTGTCATATAAGATTCTCTAAAATGGAATTTTTATATCTAATCTATTATACTAGTGTAAGGGTATTAAAGTAATGGTATATATGTTTTATGATTTCCACGTAACAGCATTTGGATTTAATTTATTCTTGGTTGATTCTCGCTTATTCTTTGCTGGTTGTTCATATCCCTTGGGAAGTTTAATTGAATACTTGGATAATTGTCCATTGATTTCGGTAGTAAAGGTCAAATACCCATCCTCAGTAACATAGTCAGGTTCACTCGCTGGTGCTGACGTTGACGCCTTGGGTGCCTGCGTTGGCTTTAACGATTGTGATGATCTGGCTTGAGATGATTTGGCTGCTTGAACAGGTTTAGATAATTGATTAGCTTTGGGCGATTGATTAGGTTTGGATGCTTGGGTGGGCTTGACTGCTTGTGATGGCTTAGGCGACTGATCGGATTTGGTTGATTGAGCAGGTTTGGGTGATTGTACAGCTTTGGGCAATTGAGCAGATTTGGGCGGCTGAATTGGCTTGGTTAACTGATCAGGTTTGGGTGATTGAGCAGGTTTGGGTGACTGAGCAGGTTTGGGTGACTGAGCAGGTTTGGGTGACTGAGCAGGTTTGGGTGACTGAGCGGGTTGAGTGGACTGAGCGGGTTGAGTTGATTGAGTGGGCTGAGTGGATTGATTGGGTTGATTGGGTTGAGTGGATTGAATGGGTTGAGTGGGTTGATTAGGTAGAGGAGTTTGAGAAGTTTGATTAGGCTGGGGTGGGAGAGAAGGCAAAGTTGGCTGAGGTGTGTGGGGAGGTTGGGGAGAAGAAGAAATATTTCTATTCATCATGGAGCCTGTTGATTTTCTATGCTGAGTCTTGCGTTTTGAGCGATACAAGGATGCTCTCTTTTGTTTAGCAGTGAGAGCTTCAATATCGTTAGACAATGGTGAGGCAGATCTTTGATATTTGTTCAGTTCTAATTGCATGTAATCCATTTGAATTCGGCTAACATTCTCAGCTTGTTTTAAATGACGAATTTCTTCATCTTTTTTAAGGATAGATTGTCCCAACTCGAAAATCCTCTTTTCATCTTCCACAGAGATTCCTTCTTTTTTCGACGTCTCCAACTTCATGCAAATATCAAAGTAATTTTTTTGTAACTCTCTGTATCGTGTTGCCCATTCTTCAGCACTCTTCTTTGCTTCATCTTCAGACTCCATAATATCAGCCCAATTTTCGGATTTCTTATCCTTGGATACTTTTTTACCAAAATCTTCGCTACAGTCCAAAACACCCGTTGCAGTGGTTGTCGAGCTTTCAGTGGCTACCATTTTCTGCTTGTAACTCAAGACTTTTAACTCAGCCTCAGATAATTGCTGCTTTGTCTTAGATATTTCGCTTTCGCGGCCCTTCAAGCTTGATTCAAAAGAGGAAACGTCTTCCAGCAGCTGTCTATTCACCTGCTTCATCTGTTTGATTTGATTCTTTAGCTGCCTATTTTCAGTTTCCAGGTTGAACACTTGCACCTCTTTCTTGGTACTACTACGCATCTGCTGTTGACTTTTTTGTTGTAACTCTAATTGGTTTAATTTTTTTAAGGTTGCAGCCTTATCTTCCCATTGTTTTGCCATTGAAATAGTATCGATTTCATGTTGCTTCTCTAATTCAGCATTTCTTGTCTTCAGCACTTCTATGTCAAACGTTTGTCGTTGTGCTTTTGATCGATACATGTGTAATTCTTTTCGGAGGATCTCCAAGTCTGTTTCTTCTGATGAGGATGCTTGTGATGCTGGGTCCAACGAACTTAATGTCATTCTTCTGGACATATCTACATGGCTTTCCATACGATCTACTAAAGTGGAAGCAAATCCAAACATCTCTTTCTTTTGTTCTTCCCAAAATCTACGTGCCTCAAGATGACTTTCTGATGCTCTCCAAACAACCTGTCCCAAATGAAATTGCAATTGGGTCTCAATGATGTCGTCAATACGAGAAAGGACTCTATTTTCGTTTTCGTTGTTGCTATTACTGGATACGCTTTTCTGATGAGTGTCTCTAGCAGTAGCATGATCACCGGTTGGTGCGTTGTACAAAGAGGGTATTTGTGGTACAGGTGGTACAGCCGAAGACGATATAGAATGTGAAGGTAACTGAGTTGGGGAATGAAAAATGAATAAGAATATATTAATATTACTCTTTATGGAACATACCGTAGTTACTTCGCTGAGTTTCCTTAAGGCCATGAATCTAGGACTAACGGCACTATTATTACCAAAGTCTTTTGAATAGTTGTCTACAATAGAGGGCTTGCGTTTATCTCTACCAGATGTAGAAGAGAGTGATTTTACAGGTGTAATTGGGGTGGAAGAGGATGAATTCATTGGGGTTTTAGATAATCTACGAGCTTTTAAAACATGGGAAGGTGGGCCTAGAGCGTTTAATGTATTCATTTCGTGTTGTAATTGTGAAGGACGTCGATTGAAAGAAGCTCTTTCATAAATCGTACTGTTATCGTGTAAAAAAACTTCTTCAGATGTTGAAAATCGAGGAGACAAGAAAGATTTTGCATCGCCACCGTTATATAACCCTATCGAAAATAAAAAAATTATAAGTGGAGTTTAGAAAGTCAAGTATGACAAGTTTCATTACCATTCTTATTGCTATTGTCCTTGTCTTCAAACATGGAAGAAGTTGGGTGGTAAGAGGTATCATCATGATGCGAACAGATATAGGCATTAAATTCATAATTACTGCCTGCATCCTTGTTTTTTTCTTTATTCTGTTTGAGTAAATTTGGTACGTCATTGGCCTATTGTTATGTTGTCAAATTAATATAAACAATAAGATCTAGTATAATTAGTCATTAAAGACGATATGATGTTTTGTGTACCTCGTGTGTCAATCCCAAGAAAAGTTCTTCTTCTTCAATATCTGTGTCATCTTCTGTCATTACTTCGTCATTAGCCTTTTTAAAATTGACCTCGTCATCATCACTACTGCTACTGCTGTCATCATGAGGGTGCTTATTCTATCAATTAAATTAGGATGTATAAGTTAATAAGGCTAAATCGGCAATAATGGTTTATCTTTATTTGTTTACAATCAGATTATTTATGCCATTATCATAAATGCTTAATTCGACACGTGGCGTTTGCAGAGGAGAAGAGTTTACTTTGTCCATTTTCTTTATTTGTAAATGAAAGATTTCAAGAAAAAGAAAGAGGAAAAAGAAGAAAAAATAAATTAATTGGAAAAAAAAAGTTATTTATATTTTTTATATACATTTTACAACAATATAATTCTTAGTTTTAATGTAGGTAAAAAAGCACACCACCATCCAAACAATCTATCAAAAAAGTGTTGTGATAAAATCCCAAGTGACACTTGCCAAAAATAGATAATTTACAACGAGTCCTTTATTTTTTAATAAAAATGATGTAAAAACGTGGGTGGTTTTGGAAAAAAGAATAAAACAACGCAGTTACACAAATACAGTAAAATTCGATTCTGTCGATGAAGAACCAATCACCTTGAGATGGACCACTCCCTTAGCTGGCAGATCATGGATTTCTCCATCTAAACATAGCTCAGCTTTATGTTTCACGCGTAATAATAAATCAGTAGTTTTATAATATTCGACTGGCTCGGAGTTCACGTGGATCCCACCTTGAAAAGCCCCCATACTTGCTGTTGTTAATGTTTCTGCATCCACTCTTCTTAATAGCACAACGTCCATTTCTTTCTTTAAAGGCGAGGAAAAAGGTGCAATTTTAAACCCTTTTTCTAATGAATGCTGCTTGCTGGCGATGAAATAAGTAAATTCATCATTCAATACGACATCTTGCTCCATGTCAATAAATCTTTCTAGTTCCGCATTATATTTCATTGCGTTCTTTAAAACTAGCTCTCCAGGATATTGTTGCAAGAATTTCAATAAGAACATGGCCACTAAAGAGAACCGTTTATTGCCCATAAAATATCGTAGATATCTTGACTTGGACACGATCTGTGCATGAAATCCCCAGCTCATAACAACGAGTAACCGGGTTGGTTGTTTAGTTTCATCATATTCGATATTTTCTTGCCAATTGGCTGTGGCATGACTATGGCCTAATTTGACATCCATCATGTAAAACGGTTCTTCTTTTTTCCCTTGAATAATCCTTAATGTTGCTTGCTCAACGTTATCAATGTTCAGACCTAATGCGAAAGCGTTTCCGGAACCTACTGGTATAACACCTAGACGAATACGACAATGAGGGGACGCATCCAAAAGACCATTCACAATTTCATGAAGTGTGCCATCACCTCCCATACTAATGATGATGGCATGATCGGTTAACTCTTGAGCAACACCCTGAACCAAAGCACGCGTCTTACCGTCAGATTCAGTAATAATTTTCGTGATATTTGACTCGCTAAAGCCACCCATGACGAGCATGGGTTGTACAACGGTTTTCCAATAGTTTGTAGCAAGCTGGAGACCTGATGTGGGGTTCAAAACAACAATGACTCTAGTTTTAGGTAATTCATCTCGGTGCGGCAACGCCTCCTGCTGGAATTGAATAGCAAATTCGGATAATGATTGCTTATCATCGCCCGTCACTGATATAAATTGTAGAGTGCGCAAATGCCATTTTACATCTTGTGGCCGAATATTAGTTAATGTCTTTTGTGCTTCCCCTATGACTTTGGTATCCTCCTTTTCTTTTTCAATCAGATGGACGGATAATATTTCATCGTCATATTCAATGCCATAGATAAACTCGAGGTCAAATATCTCTTTTGTTGCAGCTGTGCTACTATTCTTGTGCTCTACCATCAGCTGACTATTATCAACGAGTAATTGTACACCTTCATTTGTTATATTATTTTTAGCTGGTGTTGAGTATACCATCTTTTATTTGACCAAAAATAAAATAAAAATTAAAAAAGGACAAAAAGCAAAGAAGACCCGATAAGAGAATAAGTATCTGTGCCACACGAGCCGGGCATTCAATATTACGGGATCATCTGTCCTGCGCAATTTAGTTTAAGTATGGGCTCATTACGCTATTCTTCGGTAAACGTCTACCCGTACACTTTATCAAAAGAGGGAATCGGCGTAGTCATGTTTACTGTATATATGCGCAGCTAGTAACCTCGGAGAGCGGTAAATATTGTTTAATCACTGTGAAAGTATAAATAAAATAGCTACGGGTCCGTGCATAAGACGGTTACTTATATGTTGAAGGTTATAAATATGGGCAAAAATTCCGGCCAACAAAAAGCTATTTAACGTACATATTTGATATGAGTAATTTTTTCTCCGTTAGTAGATGGTACAATTTAGTATTTAGATATGTAAATTGTGTAAGAAGTATGCTTTACATGTAGCCCCTTTGTTTAAAGTCAGCAAAAATAACAATTTTATGTGTCGGCTATAATCTACCGTGTTATTTCAATCAATATAGTTCTTACAAACAGCCAGAGTGCACGTAGCCCCAAAGTAAGATCGGGGATGTTTTTAAAACTTGGAACGAAAAGTATTCGATCAGAGATAACGCTTAAGTTAGTTCTTCGGTAAACTCAATGGTTGCTCTTTCGCCCTTGTGATTATTTAATATTAGCCTTGAGCAGGAATACTAGGTTCAAGTCCAAACAAGATATTAAAAGTAAGCTAGATTACACGCATCTATGATTATCATATGCGTCCAATCCTATATTACGACTACACGCACCCTGGCTGTCCCTAGGGAAAATTGGGTATCCCTTATTCGTATTTGCTAGTTATGTATGAATTTAGAACAATTGCAATTTTACATAATTCATCACTTGATTATTTGTATTCAATTATATTGTTTTGTCTAGATTCAGTAAACAAATCGAGTATACTGTCCATGCTTTCTTATGTTTTCATATTCTTAGAGTATCCCAACGGTCTAAATTTGATTGGAAAATAGAATTGTTTTCTTATTGCAAAAAGATAAGAAAAAAGGAAGTTATTCCCAAGGGTGATATTGCTCAAAATTCATCATCGTTTGAGATTTTGACAAATGATAAGCACAGTTGTTCGTCTTTACATCGTTTAGCGGATGAATTTGATAAGTTTCGGACCCCATTTTCTGGTTATTGTATCCTGCAAAGATATTTTAGCAGAGCGTATATGCTATCAAAAGAGTGAAACTCATGTCTTTCTTTCTGTAAAGTTATCTTCGATTCGTTCTGTATCCATGTATTGAGGGCTAAAATACTTTTTAATTGCTGCATTTTGATTATGTGCATGATCTTCTTGTCTTATTAGCCACGGTATCGGGCCCTTCCTTTTAAGCACTGATTATGCGAAAATCACTCAAATGTACTACATATAAACCGACTGAATCATCATTCTCATAAATATCATGATTTATTATAAGTTTGCCCCATTATATAACTGCTTGATCGATTACAGGCTCGTCATTGTTTACATGCATGACGGTCAATCTTGATTGTAAAGTCGATAAAGGAGGAGATCTGTGTACGAGTGTTTTTTTTTCTAGATTGATTCAGATCTTTTTAGAAAAAACAAGACGATAAACAAAATGGCTGCTAATATAGACCATGGTGTACTCTCTGCTCTTTTCGGTGACTCATCCGGTTTAACATTTGTAAAGAACATGCAGAATATTAATATTAAGGTTTTCACATGTATTTATTACTTAGATGCGTACACCGTACACCTTGGCAACTTTTGTCAATTTATCCGTGGGAACAGAGTTATTAGCCTTGATTGTCTCAAACAACCCACTAATAGCTGTTACATAAAAAGAGTGAAAGGAAGCGTGTTAAATAAAATGAGATTTTTTTTTAGGTTTTTTTTGTATGATGTTTACCTTGTTGATGGTGCTTGCTCAAGAACATGACCAACATGTCTATACGTTTCACTAGAGATAAACCTTCCAAGACGTCAAAAGCGTCTTTTGGAGGCATATTTTGTGCAACCATGAGGTCAACCATTTTTTCAAACTGATCCGATTCCAGCGACGTTTTAAACAAGGTAGCATAAGATGATGGTGGGATGCACTAAGAGAGTGATTAGTTGGAGTCGTGTACGAAAGAGAATAAAGAGTAATTACCTGCAAGTACTGGTATAAAATATCATCGCCTCTACTCTTGTAGGTCTTCCAATCCCTTTCAAACTCAAAGTTGGTACGAGGACATTTCAATGGTGATGTAATTTTTGTTGGTACCTGCATCAATACTGGCGGTGCTAGTGATGCTGGTGCGGGTGCAGGTTGTGTAGGTTGTGTAGGTGCAGAAGGCGTGTGGATAATCTTGGATGGTAATTCTGCAATTTTTGATTTCTGAATGGGTGCAGACTTTACGGATTTGTTTACGGGTTTTGTATTAAGCACAGATGGAACTTGATCTACTAATTTGGGTTCCGAATAAGAAGCATCAATGACGTTGATGGATAAGCGGCGTTTTTCTTTTCCGGTTTGTTGATTTATCTTGGGTAAATTCTTTAATTCGTCCAGAATAGACTTATTATTAGGTTCAATGGCTAACCCCATTTCAAAATCTGTGTTCCATCGATATAAAATAAGATGAGTTCTCGGGACTTTTCATTTTTTTTTTTTAAAAAAAGGACACTAAACCTCTTTTAGCTTCATTGAATCGACCGAGTTCCCTTAATGCAATACCACGTCGCCAAAAAGCCTTTACATTTCTTGGTGCCAATTGAATACCTCTCGTACAATCCTTTTCTGCTTCCAAAAACCTACACAGATTAAACAATTAGAGTCACTCTCATCTTGTGTGTGTGTGTGTCTGTGTGTGTGTGTGTGTGTGTGCATGCGCATATCTTACTTGTTGAGTTTGAGATAGGCCATGGCACGGTTCACAAAATAGACAGGTACGGTTGGATCCAAATCAATTGCCTTTCCATAATACACAATGGCATTTTTAAAATCCTTCTTTCCAAAGTATTCGTTTCCCTATTAATCATTCATGTTGTCAGTGAACCGTTCTCTACAGTGTCTGTATGATGCTTTACCTTTGCCTTTTCCGCTTCAGCTGTAACCTTATTATTGCTGGTGCTTTTCACAGGTGCTGACTAAATGTCAAAAAAAAAAAAAAGTTAACAAGAGTTAACAGGATAGAAGTTCAATGTACCTTTTTCAAGGAGTCTAAACCAACAGGTTTTAAATTATCCAATACAAGTTCTGTTGTTTGACGTATTGCTGGTAAAGTCTAAATAAAATAAAAAAAAGAGGGGGTTTGTTATCATTCTGAGGGGTGAAGGGCCAAAGGTTACTTACTTTATTATGGACAGGTTTATTTCTTAAAAGTGCTTCATCCTTTTTGTTAATGTCCTTTTGCCAATCCGACAAGTCTTTCCATATAGCATCCATCTTTTTTTTTTCTGACAAAACAGAAATAAGCCACGTAACAAAGTTAAAGAAAAAAAAAATGTTATCAATGCTAAATGCGGTCCTTCAAAGATGTCAAAAAATCGCCGCTTTTACGAACTAAATAGTGTGTGTGTGTTGTTGCTCATGACGCACCCTTTATATAGAACCGGATTTTTTTTTTTATATATACAAACACCTTTTTTCTTTTTCTTTTCTTTACTTTTTTTTTAAAAAATAAAAAAGACTCATGACAACACCCACTTTTGAAAACGACCCAAATATTGATGTCCATGCTCCTGCATCGACATATTATACAACGGGTGAAAATGCTAGACAACGAACAAGAACTTACACGGTAGTTATTTCTAGTTGTAACAAGTGAAAAAAAAAAACAGAATACTGACACTTGGACTTTTTTAATAGAAAAGTCATCTCGAAAACACCCCTAGTGGAGGTGGACTTGAAGGAACGCACCGACGTCGAGCTTCTCACGGTAAGTTTTAGTTTTTAAAAGAAGAGGTGGCATCGGATGTTAATAAGGCTGTAGACGACAAGAATAAAGCACGTCGATTTTTGATTGACGTTGAAGAAACACAACGCAAGATTTTGGAACAAGAAGATACGGACGGTGATTTTCAAATTACGATTAACGATTTGGGACCCAAGACCATGTCGCTGGGTACTGCAGATTCAGGTGGCTATCGAAAGATTGATATCCGAGGCACTTACATGCTTTCGAATCTATTACAGGAACTCGCATTAGCGCATGATTATGGCAGAAAACATATTGTCTTGGATGAAGCTCGTCTCAATGAAAACCCCGTTGATAGACTCTCGCGCATGATTCGTTTTAACTTTTGGGACGGTCTTACTCGTTGCATCGATTCTGACTCCTTGGAAGTTATCTGTCCAGACCCAAAGAATAGGTCTTCCAATGTTCACCCTCGTATTTATGTCCCCTGTGATGATACAGAAGCATTTGAATTCTATACCAAAGTAGGCGAACTTCGTAAACATATGAATCTCGAAGTCGAATATTTGCCCAAGAAAATTACAGCAGAATACGTCAAGAGTATCAATGATCGTCCTGGTCTCTTGACGTTGGCTATGCGCAAGACAACCGATAGTCAAGGCAATGAAACTCATGTAGGAGAACCCTTTGTTGTTCCCGGTGGTCGTTTCAATGAAATGTATGGTTGGGATTCTTATTTTGCTTCTTTGGGTCTGTTAGAAGATGGTCGACTAGAATTAGTCCGTAGTATGGTGGAGAATTTCGCTTATCAAATCAAACATTATGGCAAGATCTTGAACGCCAATCGATCTTATTATCTCTCTCGTTCTCAGCCTCCCTTTTTAACTGATATGGCGCTTAAAGTATACGAAAAACTTCACCCAGATGATGCCGAGAAGAACAAGGCATGGCTGAGACGTGTATTGAAATCTGCTATCAAGGAGTATTGGGAGGTTTGGATGTCCGAACCTAGATTGGATCCAATCTCCATGTTATCAAGATATCGTCCCGATGGTTCTGGTATCCCTCCCGAGACAGAGGCCTCTCATTTTGTACACATCATTGAACCTTTTGCTCATAAACACAATCTATCAGTGGATGATTTTAACGAGAAATACAATGCAGGCGAATTAATCGAGCCTGACTTGGATGAATACTTTATGCATGATCGTGCTGTCCGAGAATCCGGTCATGATACTACCTATCGTTTTGAAAAGGTCTGTGCTAACTTGGCTACCATTGATCTTAACTCGCTCTTGTACAAGTATGAAATGGATATTGCCGATGCTATTCGGGATCATCTGGACGACGATATGCAGGATTTTGACGGTGTGCAACAGGATGCCGAAGAATGGTTAGAGCGCGCTAAACAACGTCGTGCTCGCATTGACAAGTACTTGTGGAACGAAGAAAAATCGCTCTATTTTGATTATGATACTGTTAAACAGGAGCAAACCACCTATGAAAGTGTCACTACCTTTTTTGCCTTGTGGGCAGGTTGCTCTAGTCAGGAACAAGCTCAAAGTATGGTCAAACACTCACTTTCCAAGTTCGAGGTGTTGGGAGGTCTTGTGTCTGGTACAGAGGAATCACGTGGCGTGACTTCACTTGAAAGGCCCAATCGTCAATGGGATTTCCCATTTGGATGGGCTCCGCATCAAATGTTGACTTGGGTTGGTTTAGATAAATATGGCATGCGCGACACAGCCGCTCGATTAAGTTACCGCTGGTTATTTACGTGAGTATTTTTTTTATAGATGTGGCGTGTTTAAAAAGAACCGGGAAAACTTAATTTTTTTTTTGTCTGAAAAAATAGGATCACAAAAGGGTTTGTTGACTTTAATGGAGTTGTACCCGAAAAATTCGATGTGGTTAGTTTATCACATAAAGTCGAGGTAGAATACGGTAATGTGGGTACAGATTTCAAGTGTGTGCCTCGTGAAGGATTTGGTTGGATGAACGCTTCTTATCAAGTGGGATTGAGTTATTTAACTACGCAGATGCGTCGTGCTTTAGGCGCTTGTACTTTACCCGACTTGTTATTTGAAAAGGCCATGATTCGTGAACATCGTATGCTGGGTCTTACTCCCGAGGAAGAAGAAATGGTCATGTTGCGTCGTCGTAAATCCACTATTGCTGCACGCGATATTACTCGTAATGGTAGTATCAGTGCTGCCGTCACTCGTATCTCTATGGCAGATGCTGCACCACCTCATTTATAAAAGAAGAAGAAAGACAAACTTTTTTTTTATTATTATTATTATTAAACATATATATATATTTTTTTTACAACTTGGAAAGACGTTCGTTCTTGACTAATTCAACTAACTTGGCACTAGATCCCCAACTAGATTGATAACCGTGAGAACTGTGACCATAGTTGTGGCACACCTTCACCTTGTCACCGTTGGAACGACCTTAGATAAAAAAAAAGAATGAGTACAAATGATGGATAGATAATTTATAAATACTTACGACGAGTCTCCTTTTCTAAACGGATACCACCGGTACGTCCAGGACGGAAACCAACATTGATGGACACAATGTCAAAGGCAGACACACCTTTACCGTGAGTGATCTCGGGACATAACTTGTAGCAACGTTCCAAGATATCAGCAGTGATAGCATCATCGGGTGCTGTGTTTCTATTTTCACGATCTAAAGTACCACCACAAATGACTGTACCATCAGATCTAGGAATAATATAAGTCCATTGATTGTTGCCTATAAACGTATAAAATATAAGTAATTGATTTTTACAGAAAAAGATATGCTGAGTTTTAAAAAATGGTTACCGTCGATATAGTGTTGAGTCTAATAATAAAGAAAGTTTTTTAGATAAGATATGTGTAAAGTCTATGTGTGTAACCTTACCTTGATATGGGGAGCACGAACAACAACAGTTTGCCCACGAGCGGGATACATGGTATGATCTTGTACATCCTTAAGATAGTAAGAACCCAAGCCAGTACAGTTAACAATAGTATCAGCCTCCTTGTAATGTTCGATAGCATCAGCGATACTTTCAAAGGTACCACGTTCGATACGACCACCTAATTCTTGGATGGTCTTGACCAACCAAGCCAAGTAATAAGGTACATTGGCTGTGACTAATATGGGTGTAACTAGATTAGGAAATTGTGTAAAATATCGTGGGGAAAGTTTTCCTTACAGGTCTCAAAAGTATAACCGTAGGCGGTACCAGGAACTAATTCATTGTCGGAAATCTTTTTAACCTATCAAATTTTATATTATAGTTTAGAGATAAGGTTTCTGGGTAGATCATCTAAATTTGCACAAGGAAAAAAAAAAAAAAGAAACTTACATCCTTGTAAATGCTGCGAACCCAATAAACGTCTTGACCAGGTACACCGGGTTCTTGACAGTATTGAATACCGGGACATGCCATGACATGAGCTTCAGGGACTTCCTCACAAAGACGCTTGAATTCCTTCATGGTATACATGTCAATTTCTATTTTAAGGGGGTGGAAATTGTTGAGTGATTTGTCAAGAAGAGAGAGAAAAAAAAATTACCTTGGAGACGGAGATCATCGTGCTTAGCAACGGTAAGAATAGAAGCACCGGCCCAGGGAGAGGTATATTCGGAGGAGAGATCTCCAGGCACATGCTTGGCAACAATAGTGACATTTTTGTAACCTTCTCTCAAAAGACTGACAGCGGTGGTCAATCCACTAACACCAGCACCTACACGCTTGTGTCAGACGAGTTCAATTCAGTTTTGAACAATGATAAATTCACTTACCAAGAATCACAATATTGTTGGACATTTTTTTTTTTTTTTTTTTCAGAAAAAAAGGAAGAATAAAGAGGATTCATCCATGGGACGATCCTCACCCCACCATTTATAGCAGAAAAAAAAAAAGATATATTAGGAAGTGAGAGTTGAGTTATATTTCAATGTCAGACACGTCACGTGACTAGGTCGAAAACAATTGGGTGGCAGGGGGTTGGGCAAAAAAAAAAAAACTCATTACGTATTCCCTTTTTGTTTTTCCTTTGTTCGTCTAAAAAAAAAATCTTTCCCCGTTTTTTTTTTTTTTTTTATTCCACTAAACCTTTACTACTTTACAACAAAAGGTATGTCGCAGTCTACTACTACTACTTTGGAAAGCAACTTGGCTTTTTTTTCTTCTTGTTTTCAACTTCTCCGATACTCTCTCTCTCTTTGATGTCATTATAACAACTAGTGGAAAAAAAAAAGTTTTTTTTTTTTTTATTTATTTGAAAATCTCATCTTGAACAACAAAAACAAGCCTCACTTTTTTTTTTTTTTTTTTTTTTTTTTTTTTTGACCGTAAAAAAAAAAGTTGTTGTTGTTGTTGTTACGATTATGAAGAAAGAAGAAGAAGAAAAAAAAAAAAACTTAAAAATCGGAGGGAAGGGCCTGGTTGATTTTCCATTGAAGAAGCAAAAAAAAAAAAAATAATCATTTATAATAATTTAATAACTTAATCTACATTCAGTCTAAAATGTCTGCTGCCGACCACGCTGATGATCTCATCGATTATGAGGAGGAAGATGAACAAACCATCCAACAAGAAGCCGCTGCCGCTCAACAAGCCGAAGCCTTAAACGCTGATGATGATGACAAGAAAGATAAGAAGGGTTCTTACGTTGGTATTCATTCTACTGGTTTCCGTGATTTCCTCTTGAAGCCTGAATTATTAAGAAGTATTGTTGACTGTGGTTTCGAGCATCCCTCTGAAGGTAAGAAAGCCTCTCTCTCTCGCTTCTAGTGTGTTTTTTTTTTGTATTTGTTAAAATCTAATGACGCGTCAAATCAGTTCAACAAGAGTGTATTCCCCAATCCATCCTTGGTATGGATGTCTTGTGTCAAGCCAAGTCTGGTATGGGTAAGACAGCTGTGTTTGTGCTTGCCACCCTTCAACAACTTGAGCCTGTCAACGGAGAAGTCTCTGTGATTGTCCTCTGTCATACCCGTGAATTAGCTTTCCAGATCAAGAACGAATATGCGCGTTTCTCTAAATACTTACCTGATATTCGTACCGAAGTCTTTTATGGTGGTGTTCCCATGACTAAAGATGTAGAGATTCTCAAGGATAAGAGCAAATGTCCTCATATTCTTGTAGGTACACCTGGTCGTGTTCTTGCCTTGATTCGTGAAAAGCATCTCAAGTTAGCCAATGTAAAGCATTTTGTGTTGGATGAGTGTGATAAAATGTTAGAACAATTAGATATGCGTCGTGATGTTCAAGATATTTTCCGTGCTACTCCTCATCATAAGCAAGTGATGATGTTCTCTGCCACTTTAGCCAAAGAGATGCGTCCTGTGTGTAAAAAGTTTATGCAAAACCCTTTGGAAATCTATGTTGATGATGAAGCTAAATTAACACTTCATGGTCTTCAACAATTTTATATCAAGATGGAAGAAAAGGAAAAGAACCGTAAATTAAACGATCTTTTGGATACCCTCGAATTCAATCAAGTCTGTATCTTTGTGCGTTCTGTCTCTCGTGCTAATGAATTAAACCGTATTCTCTCCGACTGTAATTTCCCCAGTATCTGTATTCACTCTCAAATGAGCCAAGATGAACGTATCAAGCGTTACAAATCTTTCAAGGACTTTGAAAAGCGTATTATGGTCGCTACAGATATCTTTGGTCGTGGTATTGATATTGAACGTGTCAATATCGTCATCAACTATGATATGCCCGATGGTGCTGATACTTACTTGCACAGAGTCGGTCGTGCTGGTCGTTTCGGTACTAAAGGTCTTGGTATCACCTTTGTCTCTGATGAAAAGGATACTCAAGTCCTTAACGATGTTCAAAGCAGATTCGAAGTCAACATCGTTCCTCTTCCTGAGGAAGTTGATATCAACACTTACATGACTTCATAAATTTTTTTCCTTTTTTTTTTTCTTTATAGTTCAATCTCAATCACCCAAAAATGACGAAATAATAAAAAATGGTGTTTTTTTTTAAAAAAAACGTTTTTTTTCTTTTTCTCTTTCTATTTCTTTTTTTCTCTATTATGCTTCGTCTACCTAGAGTCCTAAACGGAAACACCATCAAGGCGTGTACACGTCCTGCCTTTCAACACCAACCTAAGCGTAAGCATTTTTTTTTCCTTTTTGTGTTTGAGAGCTTTATTTTTTTTTTAAAATTAAAATTCCACCCTGTTAAAAGGTCTCTTGCAAACTACACAGGTAAAGTCACTGCAGGTAAGACCATACTCGTTTGGCACTTCCAAGATTCTAGCCTTGACTGCTTTCAGCGGTACCATGGCAACGCCCTTGATGTTCAACAAGAAGACAGTCCACTGTGAAGGTAAGATGGAAACAAGACACATAAAAAAAAAAAATCTCCTAACATGATTATTAGCTGCATTTGCCACGGAACCATTGTTTGAAAAGAAATTGAGTAAGCCGCTCTTGAATAAGGGAGAACTCACATTTGGTACGTTTCTTGGTGTTTGTACGGGATTCTTGATCAAGAAGGTAGGCAAGATCTTTGCTGCCTTTGTAGGAACAGGCTTTGTGTTTTTACAGGTAACTTGCAACTGGAAAAAAGAAAAAGGAAAAAAAAAAACTCATATATATCACTAGTACTTGGCGCAACAAGGTTATGTCACAGTGCATTGGGATCGTATGGAAGGAGGTTATAAAAACACACTAGGTGTAGACAAAGATGGTAGAGTCTCCACCAAAGTACTTCAATCCAAGTGGCAAAAGTTTATGAATATCTTGACAAGTAACATTCAATTTAAATCTACCTTTTTAATCGGTTTTTATGCTGGTATGCGTTACGGATAAATAAAATTTCCTTTTCCTCCCCTCTCTTTAGTGATGCGGGGTATTTTTTTTTTTTTTTTTAGTAGTGCCTTTTTTCTTTTTTCTATTTTTCTATTTTACACCATGTCGAATCCTTTTACTGAATCCAGTATCCAAATATTAAAAGAAGCCTTTCCAAAAGTGCAAGAGTCTGTCATTGACGACATGTTATGGACGGCTAAAGGCAATGTGCAAGACGCATTTGAAATGTTACTTAGCATGACCAACGGTCCCGTAACGTATTTTCTCGACCTTTATTTTCTTACAAGTGTGTGTTTCCTTATTAAAACTTATTTTATATGTGTGTGTGTGTATATATATAGGATACTTTTAAACCCTTACCTAAAGTAAGAAAGAACACACAAGCCAGTGGAATCACACTAAAGACTAATGAACCAAAATATATAGGTGAATGCCAAGCCTTTGTCTGTTCGGGAAGAATTAGATCAATGGCGTCAAGATCTAAGAAAAGAAAGTAAGCAACGAGCCACCGTCACTCGTAACGTTCAATCCACACCCAGTTTCTCTAGTAAGTTCCTTTTTTTTTTCTTGCCTGTTTTTAAGAAACTAAGTAAATTTCATCAGATATGTTCAGATCAAGCAGACATGGTAACACACACACACACCGAAAAAAGATGATAATAAAATTTTATAAACTAAACCCAAAAAAAAAAAAAAAAACTCACTAGAATCAACTAGCAGCTTTCAAAGGTAAAATGATGATGATGATGATGACGAAGGAGGAGGAGGGGGATGCACGCACTCTTGCGACTAACATGCTTTATGATAGACCATTACCATCTAGGCCTTTACCACCCAGACCGTATACCAACAGTACACCCAATGTACCTCTTCACAGTAAGTTTGCAAAAAAAAAAAAAAAAAAAAGTATTGTAGTTGACATCCAATCTAGACCGACCAGCGCCCGCATTACCTAACCGTAGCACATCAAACACAAATAACCCGTTTCTAAATCCCAACCTAACAAATAGCAACACGACAACAGGTATTAAAAAAAAAAAAAGAGATACATGTGAAAAAGGCTAAGATATTGATGTGATATGTTATTAGAGCCACAAGCGTCATTTAATCCATTTGAGGAACAAGAGGTCCCACCTCCTGCGTATCATGAAATTAATCGCGATACACTTATTCATAATAAGTGAAAAAAAAAAGTTTGATGAATAAAGTACGTCATGTTGATTTCCAAAAAAGGGGTGTGAATCTCAACCCCCAAACAGGAAAAAAAAAAAAAAAATTGTGACTTAATTTTTTGTTCATGGTGACCTCATTTTTGCATAAATCATGTTTCTAAAGTTAAACTCTTTGTATAAAAAGCAATGCGAAAAAAAAAGTTTTTTAAGAATTTTAACTCTTTTTTTTTCCTTACTCTTTTTTAAAAGCTTTTAAAAAAAAAAACTATATATATAATATGAAACTCTCTCCTCTTACTCTCTCTGTCTGTGCCGCTGTAGTCTTACTTACACAACAAGCTGACGCCAAAGGTAAATATTAAAAATAAATAAAACACGTCTTTTCTTTTTTTTGGATGGGGGACAACATTTTCTGACATGCCTCTGTAATAAAATAGCTGCCACTACTGCTATTCAAGAGAATGCTGATTGGACAAAAGACCAGGTGCAAGCATACCTTGACAAGTATCAAATCACGTATGACAAGAATGACGAAGGTCTCTTTGACACGGTGCAAAAATACCGTGACGCCGCTATGGTGAATGCCGGACTTTTTATCAATGATAAATCCAACACGGTGCAAAGATTAATCGAAGGTCTCAAGAACAAACTCGAGACCAAGTACAAGTTAAAGGCTGATGATGTTCAAGCCTTCACCGATGACGTGCAACATGAATTGAGACAATTGGAATTAAGTGGTAGCTTAACTCAAGACAAGGTAAAGCAATCTTTGGACAAGTTACAACACAAGGCCATCAAACAAAAATACCTCACTGCTGCTCAATACAAGGAAATCTCCAAGGATTTACAATCTTCTTTTGCTACTCCCACTTGGTTCCAAAAATTATTCGGTCCTTCTACCTCAGGTTACTTTACAGATGATGCCTTCCATAACTGGATCTCTAATACCATTACTCATCGCTTACAAGAGAACAAGGACTTGACCAAGGAACAAATTCAATCTATTGTCGATACCTTGAAATCTGCTATTGCCTCTACTTCCTCTTCTGTACAAGATCTTTCCAAGTTAGCTTCGGCTGCTTGGTGGAAACAATTATCAACCGATATTGAAAAAAATGCTAAACTTAAGCAAGGTCAAGTCACAGGTATTGTAGACTCCTTAAAAGATGAGGTGAACGCCTACAAGATCTTTGCTATGGATTATGCTGGTGAAGCTTCAGATAAGACTCAAAGTGTCTTGGGTTCTGCTACTCAATACCTTGTAAACACCGGTAGTTATCTCCTCTCATTTATTCAACCTGTCAAGTCTGCTGAGGAACGTGCTGCTGCCTCTGCTTCTTCTGCCGCTGCTTCTGCTACCGACGCTGCTGCTGCCTCTGCCTCTTCTGCACGTTATGCTGCTGCTGCTTCTGCCTCTTCTGCCGCCGGTGCTGCTACCGATGCTGCTTATGGTGCTGCCTATGGAGCTGGTAACAGTGTATCCTCTGCCGCTGCTGCTGCTACCGATGCTGCTGCCAGTGCTCGAGATGCTGCCGCTGCCTCTGCTGCCTCTATCCATTCTCAAGCTTCACAAAGTGTCAATGATGCCAAGAACAGCTTTGGTCATTTCTGGAAGCAAAAGGAGTTGGAGACTTACAAAAAGATTGGATATACAGAAGCACATATTGATTGGGTCGAGAATTATTTGAGCAAGACATTCCAGGATAAGCGTAACTTTGCCAAGGAGACTGTACAAAGTGCCATGCATACCATTCGTGATTATCTTGTTTCTGCCAAGGTCCAAACTGCTGCTCATGTGGATCATCAATTAAAATCGATTGAAAACTTGATTGAGTCTTGGAGAAAGACGGTTGTTCATAATGAGTTGTAAATTTGCATAAAAAACACACACACAAAAATCCATTCCCCCCTTACCACTACCTATTTTTTTAAACATTTTGAAAACAATAACAATATCAATAAAACATAGTTAAAAAAAAAAACGTTTTTATTATAATTATAATTTTTTTTTTTTTTTTTTTTTTTTGAGGAGTAAGATAAAAGGGTATGGGGAAAAGAGAGAGATATGTGTGTGTGTGTGTGTATTTGTTCTAGACGGTAATTTCTTCTCCGTGTGAGGTATCATGTTTGATGGTATCACTTTGTTTGGCAGCGAGTGTGGAATCATCCAAGAGGACACTACTACTTCCAGCTCCACTACTTGCGGTACTCATACGATGATTACTTAATGTCTTATTAGGTTGTGTCTCTTCTTCAGCAGTCATTACCAAACCTGAGGTATTCAAGTAACCACTTTTACCTCCCAAATTCAAGGTATCCAATAAAGTACGATAAATAAACTTGTAAGCCCAAACATTACCACGCATTCTTCTCATATCCACAATATAAAGTCCCGGTAAGTTCTTGATCTTGCATAATTCAACACTGAACCGCACTTCATCTCCAGGATCCACATTAGGATCACCGTAAATGGTGGTAGCCACACTTTCATTGGGTGTTGTAGGGGTAGGGTTGGTGGTATTTGTGGCACTGGGACGACGTAACAACATACGAAAGGGTGGAGGTTGGATCTTTTTCACAGGTTTCTTGGGTCGTGCACATTTTAATTTGAATTCACCTCCATCACGTTTGAACTCTAATCCTAACGATTTTAAGGTTTGTTTCACTTGTTGGAAAATTTGTGCAGGTGGTCGACTGGTTAATGCTTCACCATCTACAGCGCCATGATGTGTACGTAATTTGATATCGTCCATGCATGTTTCGCTAGCTGTGGTGGTTGTGCTGCTAGGTGGGAGAGGTGGGACAGGGCATCCATGTTCTCCTGATGCATTGGAAGATCGATTCACTGTGCCTATTGTTTAAAAAAAAATTAAGGTTAGACATCCAAGGCACACACACACACACACACACAAAACTTACTTTGAGGTTTCTTTTTGAACCAATCCATGAGTTTTTTACCTGCACTACGATGCTTCTCTTTATCAGATACAGTTTGTTCTGATACGGATGGCATCATCTCTGGGGTGGGTGGAGTCATTGTACTTTGACGTCTACTCGACATTTTTGTATTGTCCGTCATGGAATTCACAAGTAGACTAAGGGTCTTCTTGCGAGTACCTCTTGTGACGGGTGGATTGACAGAAAGTCGAACGTTCTTTTTATGAGGCGTACTGGCACTGGTATTGGGTACGACACCCATATTCTTTTGTGGATCTGTAGTAGAGACACTCGAGAGGAACTTTTGTTGGAGAATGGAGGTGCCTTCTGTGACAGGCGCTAAAGACATGTGTCGCGTACGGTTGGTTGTCACACGTTGTTTGGGCGTGGTATTATGACCAGAAAGGAAATGAAGAACCTTTTCGGTCGATGTGGATTTAGGTCGTACTACTGGCGGTAATGGTGCAGCAGCAGCAGCAGCAGCAGTTGCTACTGCTACTGTTGGTGGTGGTGATGCTGGTGATGGAGATGGAGTTGGTAGAGGTGCCACTTCGTCCTCTGCGGGTGTTGTGATTGGTGTTGGTGGTGGTGGTGATGAAGGTGCTGGTGAAGGGGGTGCCTGAAGATCAGGTACAGTGTCGTTATCATTATCAGACATCGGTGTGTCTCCATTGGTGAGGGGAGATTCTGTGGGTGTAATGGTGATATCTGGCATGGGTGTATCCGCTTCTTTCACGTGTGTTTCTTCCTCAGAGACATGTGCTTCTTCTTCAAAGACTGGTATCTTTTCTTCAACCTCTTCTTTTAGAGGTGTTGATAATTGGGGTACAACAGCCTCCTCGTCGTCGTCCTCTTCCATGACAACTGCTTCGTCCTGCCCTCTTTCTGTCGGTTTTTGTGAGACGGGTGTAGAATTTCTGCTGTTGCTGTGTGTGTCGGGTAAAACTTGTTCTTCTGACGTAGTAAACAGGTGCTGATGTGGACTTAACCATGAATGAGACATGATGGTGTCCATGGTGCATCGCTTTTCAGGATCGGGTACCAACATGAGACTGAGTAAATCGCAAGCTTCATCGGATATGTAGTCTGGAAAGATGAGAGGTGTGTTCAGAATGTACTTGTAGAGTAAATTGATATTGTAAGACTCTGGGTTGGCTGGATCATCGTCGTAAGGTAAATAACCACAAAGCATGGCAAACAAGATGACACCACAGGACCAAATATCTACAGCAGGGCCAACATAGACACCTTGATTCATGACGAGTTCTGGAGCGGCGTAACAAGGTGATCCACAAGAAGTTGACATTAAATCATCCTGTGAGGAAGAGAACTGGTTTGCGAAACCAAAATCTGTGATGAGGACATTGCGGTGTCTATCCAACAGCAAATTTTCCTAAGATAGATGATTGATTTATAAGTATTTTAAGATTGAGGAGGAAACATGTTTTTTGTTTTTGTTTTACCAGCTTGAGGTCTCTATGGACAATGTGTTTCTGGTGCATGTAATGTACGCCACTAATCAGCTGTGCAAATAATCGACTAGCGTCTCGTTCTTTAAGATAACGATGAGCGAGGATATAATCAAACAATTCCCCTCCTGTGGCGCACTGTAATATGATGCCAATGTATTTTTCTGTTTCTATTACATCAAACAATTCAACGATGTTGGGATGATGCAGGATCTATTACAGAAGAAAAAAAAAAAGATGATGATCAACAAACAATAAAATAAGAGTATATATATATATATATATAAAAGAAAATTGGTATTACCCGTAACACAGATATTTCTCTCTCTACTTTGGTCATACGTGATGTAGAATCCATACTATCTTTTCTGATCAACTTGATGGCTACTTCCTGGCCTGTCTTGACCTCGATACCGAATTTAACTTTACCAAATTCCCCTTCACCCAGTGTTTGGAGAAGGAGATAAGGGCCAAAGACAGTGGGTTTTCTGCCTGGAGGTAAGTGATAATGGTACAGTTGATAATAATATTGCCACCAAGGTTGGTTGTGACGAAGCTTTTCCTGATGTTCTGCTTCTTGGTGTCTCTGCACTGACTTTTGTAACTCACTGGGCATGGCCGTGACGGAGTGTGCTCGTTGTTGTTGATGACGACCTGGTGGATTGCCCGTAGCTGCACTATGTGTGGTGGCAGCATGAGAAGACATGATGATGTTTATTTTAAATTAGTTTTTTGTAAAGAATAAAAAAAAAAAGGTAGAGTCATTTATTTTTATTTTTTTTATTTTTTTTTTTTTCTTCTTTCAATAATAATCAAAAAAAAAATAATGAAAAACGTGACGAGTGTCCTTTTTAAGGTAAAAGGGAGGGAAAAAAGGTGTAAACAGTAAAAAAAAAAAAAAAGAAAAAAAAAAAAAAGCAAAAAAGAACGAAAAAAAAAAAAAAAAAAAAAAAAAAAACGTGAAATGTACAATAAGTTTTTTTTTTTTCGCTTTAAACTTTTTTTTTTAAACCCAATTATTCCAATCTTCATCATCACTCATTTCTACTTCAACTGTTTCATAGCGACAGTTGGGACTATCAAAAACGGCATCATCGTCTTCTTCAACACTATCTTCTTCTTCTGTAAAGGAATCAGGGAAATAACAATACCGCAGTGGACTAGTGGGTTTAGGGAATTGAGCAATGATATCACGCCAATTCATCATACGATGAATATTCTTGGATATTTCATGAGGGGTATGTTGACCATATAATCTTTTGGAGGTGGATGTCAAGGTGGGTGGACAATGCTTCTTTTTGGGTACACACTCCTCATGATTCCAACTGTACTTGCCCTTATGGTCATACAACAGAATATCTATCCCCAGATTAGAACAATCAAAAGCATGTTCCAGGCTGTCATCAATTAATACATCTACACCAATCTCTTGACAAATCACAGACTTGGGTTTAGAAATATACTCCATTTGCTCTGTATCAGACAGATTCAAGTTACAGAAATAGATGCTTTCAAAAATGCCTAGATACATAAAAATATTTTTTTTTTATACACAGCGTGTGGACACAAATGGTAAGAAAAACTATAAAGTTGTATCACACTGAAAATAGATATTTTTTTTTTTTCTGTTTTACCTGGATAATGTCTATCTACAAATCGCTTTGTCTTTTCTGCTACAAACTGTTGTCTGGAGGTAATAATAACGAGGGTAAAATTTCGTCTCTTGAGCATCTTGAGTGCTTCCAATGCAAAGTCCCTGATGGGTTGGATTTGTTCAAAATGTACAGAGTCATAGAACTCTCTCACTTTCATACAACTCTCTTCTTTCGTACCTCCCCAAATCTTCCAGTAATCCAAACTATTAAAATCCGTAACCTTCAATTGAGTCCCATAGCTATCATTATGCCACTCTGTCAAACTCTCTAATGTATGTGCAAGTGTTTGATCAAGATCAACTCCAATGATTTTACGAGGTTCTTTAAGAAACATTTTTTTAAAAAAAAAAGTGAGAAAGAAAAAGAAGAAAAAAAGGGAAAAAGAAAAGGTGGACTAACCACCTAAATGGAAAAAAAAAAGGAGTTGCCCCCCCCCCCTCGCTCTCCCTTCCACTCTTCTCTCTTCCCTTCTTCTCCGAAACAAATTTACTTTTTACCGCATTTAAACTCCATTGACAAAAAAAAAAAAAAAAGGAGAGTAAATGGAAAAAGGGAATAAAATAAACGCACTGACCTTTTATTTAATTGATAGTTATTATTAAAGAATACCAAATCTGTATTCACAATTGAAATTAACACAAGCGTATTCTTGTAATGAACAGGACCATTTAATTTCTTACACTCACGACGAATGAGACTGGCATTTTTACCGGAGGCTGTCCACACATGCAAGATATGACGATCGAACTTTGTATTAACAATATTTTCACTCGATCGAACTATATTCTTTAATTTCTTTCGTAAAAGTTTATTCGCATCTTGACTTGTGTAAGCTCTAGCATAAGCTACTGCCCGTGTCACTGAAACACCCACTGTCAGCACAGGAGACTGCTGACTATAATAATGACATGCATAATCCATCAACGGTCCGCTCCCTCCATTATCGCTCGTATTCGGATACCCATACTTTAGTTCCATCTCCGTCTTATACAGTCCAACTCCCAATAACCGAGATAACACCTCAATCGAAAGTGCTTCACTGAAAACACTCGAGCCTCCTCCATTTTTACTGCTGAGCAGTGTTTGAAACCCTTTCTTTCCCTCCACATGAGAGCGTGTCAGATTCACATTGGTCTCAATCACTCTAAATTGTCCACTCTCGTATAGTCCATTGAAGAGTCGTAGCATATTGCCTTGCGACGTATAGATCGTCATGTCTGGGTATTGAAAACGTAACCTTGTCTTGAACAGCCATTGCAGCAACGCATGCTTCTTTTGACCCCATTGACTCTTCAACCCTCCAAACATTTTCGGGGAGCACAAACAAAAATGTTACAGACAAAAAAAAAAAAAAAATTATCCCACCTGTTTGTGATCGGGGGTGAACTTGTTTTTGACATTTTTTATTAATAGATTTTTAGGTAGGACTCACTCATGAAAAAAAAATGCAATAGAGATGAAACCTTCGGTCGGTCCAATGTCTCCTTTTATATATATACACACATCTATCTAAAAACAGAATCCACCTTTTTGTTTATCACCTTTTTTCATCTGTGTGTGTTTCTAAGGGTTAAGGGGGGAAATGTATTACCCCAGATCTTTCTGGGGCTACCATGGATACCATCATCCGTGTGTGTGTGTGTGTGTGAAAACAACAACTATATATATAAAAAAAAAAAAAAGTCGATACTGTTGTTCTTTTAGATTCCATAAATTCACGGTTTATTTGTTGGTGTGGCCCAAAGTAGAATGGAGGACAATGAGAAAGCATGTGTATGAAGAAAACAAAAACAGAAACATTTGCATGTGCTGTAAGCGTTACACGATTCCTTTCCTTTTTACATATATATACATATTTTCTATACTTTTTGTAGCATCACATGGCTTTTATCAGTAAGAAAAGAAAGCAGAAAGGCGGGGGGGGGGATTAGATTACTTTAATTCAGTAGAAATAAAAAAAAAAAAAAGAAGCTCCATGTTCATACAGACAGGCGTAACTATCAAAAAAAAAAAGTCGATCTTTTTTTTTTCTAATGCGACCCTAGCCCCTTCTTTTAACAACAACGAATGGGCTACACCGTTGTCTCACTTTGTTTCTCTTTCAGATACTTACTTATTTCAAACAGTATGGATTATCCTTCGTCGTCATGATTGATGCGATAGTGAGACTTCCACAGGGGGAGGGCCTAATGACCTACACAGCAGACCTCTTACTTTAAGAGTACCAAAGTTTAATTTCTCCTATATATATACGATCGCCACTGATTTCCTATTCCCACATGATCCTATGGGGGATAAGTGCATCGTACATATTTATAGTCTAATCAAAAAAGGGGTGTGAGTAGTTTCTTACAAGCTGTCATTTTTTTTTTTTTTTTTTGGGAGGCAAGCTCACAACTCGTTCTAAATTCTAATTTGAGTTATGATATTTAAAATCGATTGCTGATGATCCAAGTAAATCGATTTATAACAGTGAAAAAAAAAGATAATGAAAAAAAGAAAAAGAGCAAATCGAAATTTTCCTTTGTAGAAAGGTTTCACTCATTTGAAGCAGCGAAAAAAATAAAATAATGCATGCGTGCTACTTTAGTGATTTAGAACTCCTTCCAGAAACAACGATTATTCAGGCAATGACAGGAAAGAAGAGAGAGATATACTAACCCACAGTTTGTGTCCCATCCAGAATACTTAAAACCAAGGCTAATAATAGGTAGTTCTGGCCCCCCCCTTTTTTTTTGTGGCGCGAGTATATACATATACAGTGTGATAATCCATAATGCTTTTAATGAAAATGTCGCAGAACTCATCTGCCAGTCGTATTTTTTTTCGGCATGTTTCCGTGACAGCTCTTAATCTAAAAACTATCAATACACCCCCCCTCCTCATAAAATGTGTTAACGTCTGCACAGTGTGCCTAAAAAAAAAGTTTATGCCTGCACATGGGATATGTTATTGTAACTTCTTTAGTGATGTATACCCTTCTTACTTTTGAAGTAAGTGGATATTCTCTTCATAAAATATGCTTGAGAAAACACTGATAAAACATCACACGTATGAAAGCATAAAGAAAATTGAGATTTGATTGGATGAATGAATGATTAAATAATCAATTGATTACATCATCCTGACATAAACTTGCTTTCTTGTTTATCATTAAAACGCGTTTTTTTTTTTTTTCACCTCCCTTTTTTTCTTTCCTTATCTTTATCAAACAAAACAAGAGATGTAATCCAGCTTTTTTTACGTGGTGATATTACGGCTGCGGCTAGTTAATCGTGTCTATACAATGGGGGATTACTGTAAGTCAAATAATCTCAAAAAGATATAAGAAAAAAGATACTAAAAAACCCATGTTATTTTAACTTTCACTTTAGATGCTTGCGTGATAGTATAGGGTCGCTGGCAGAAGTATTAACGGAAAAAAAGACTTCTTGGCACAGAAACTTGGCGCATAGCTTCGTGGTTTGGAGATTGATAGACTTCACCTTGGCTTCCATAGGTTCCTTGGTCTTGCTTTTTCTACAGTATCCAATAATGCATATAGTGGAAGCGATGGCTCTAACATTTTTCCTATACTGTTGTACATTGGTGATATCTTCCCAGGTGAAATTACGTAGTTCTGATTTTACAACATTGTAAAATCTTCCCCGCTTCCTTTTGTTGTTCATTTGTCGCGCTTTGTAGGTCCCCAAGACCCATCCTTACCCATCCATTCCATCAGATCTGTGATAGCCAAAGCACTTCCAGCGAATAAGATTTGATGATGTCATAAACTTCCTCCTTCCCCAAGAACAGGCTCTCAGTTATGTGAGGTATCTCATTCAATGTCAGGATGTATTTACATAAATCAAGGATACCAGGTGCTTTTTTTTTTGGTGCATCTGGGGTTTAGTAGTCCATGGAGCAAAAATCACATACTCTGTGCTTATTGCCTCACCTCGGTCAGGACAGTCCCATCACAAGCTTCTCGTGCAAGTTGCCCTTTTACAACTTGTGTTATCATAAAAGGTATGCTTATCACTGATAAAATTGTATTTCAACATCACATCAATATAAATTTACTTATTGTTCTTATATCATCAGATAATTTATTTTACTAAATGCCTCGGTCAGGTGCTTATGCTCTTTTACAGCATGTAGTTCCCTGATAGTGTCTTGTAAGACTGTCAAGGAAGACTCTCAAGTCTCAACGTAGGAAGGCGGTTATTCAGGGAGGTTTAAACGCCTTATCTCACTTAACAACACCACGCCAGAAAAATCATCACCTTCTGCTTGTAATAAAATCGCACTATTTAACATATAAAATTGCATATAAAATCATTCCATCGATCCTTGATCGACAGGTACATAATACCATAACACTCATAAAAAATAATAGCATATAAAATATCCTGAGTTATACAGTTAGATATTCCAATAGAAGATCCCATTTCGAATAATAGATTGGCTACACTGATAAGGCTCATCAGCCAATAATACCATGTGAACACAAACTAGCCCATAATTTTACCCACGCTTTAAATAACTATATAACTATACCCCATACCCCCTTTTCTTTCAGAGATGAAAGAGGGATTCACTTTTAATAAGAATAAAAAAGCCTACAAGCAATATTAATCTTATTCTTCCTGTTTTTTTATCTTTTATTTTTCCGTGTCAAACAAACCGTTTTTCCACATTTTTTAAGATTACCTCCTTGTAAACTTTTTACTTCCGACTACTATCCACTACTATAACTAATTCTGATTCTCCTTCCGGCCCTGGTGGCTATAATCAACTCGCTTCTGGTTCATCCAACAAGGAAATGTCTGCTGGTACTCCTGACGCTACTTTAAACACTCCCTTGAATGAGCAAGCCTCTGCTGAATGGCAAGTTGCACAAGATGAACATGTACATAGGGATATAGATGAAGACATCGCCCGTATTTCATTTGAGCAGGATAATCAAAAAGTCGATTTAGACACTGACATGCCTTTAGCTGATCCTATTACGGCTGTAGCTTTACAAAGCCCCACTAGTATCATCGATAATTTACTGAAGCAACGTGAAGCTACTACGGAAGCCATGGTAGCTATTCTTTCTAGCGGTTATGTATCTAAAGAGGATCATGATTGTGCCTATGAAATGTCCCTTGAGATTGAGAAAAAGAATTCCATCATCCAATCTTTAGCCTCTACTTCAAGGTCTGTACCATCCATCGGGATTAAAGGTACCGAAGCATCAAAGTACGCCACTAACCCAGCCTCAAATGAAGGTTTATCATTGAATCGTACAGATCTGCCTCGTCTCCAAATTACTGGAAAGACGTATTCACAATATCGTGGTGAGAGAGTTTTTAAGTCCATTGATGATTTCATCAAGACTTTTGAGGACGTCGTATTGTCAGCGAATCAAAACGTCATTAGTGGTTTAAAACTCCTTCTGGAATTAAAAAAAAGGGGAGAGATGCCATAGTATTTATTATGTAAGTAACCAATTGAAGATAACATTAAAGAAGAGAAAAAAAGAAAAGAAACGAAAAGAAACGAAAAGAAACGAAAAGAACAGAAAATAAAGTAGGGAATACTTCAATGAGAAAGGGGAATAAATGTTCAAGCATTCCTTGACCTCTTTACTAAACCTCGTCGACAGTTAAACTTATTGATAATGTCATCATTATGCAATAATTCATGTCGCGTAAACACAGTTATCTTGTGACCTTCATCCACTACCAGTTCCTTAATCGCCTTGCTGGACTTTATGAAACATCTTAAATCATCGACGTTTGTTGACATACCCGCAAAATCGATCGCCACTAAGCGTACCTTTTGACTTGTTGTTGCCAGAAATTTGATCATGTCTTGTGTGTTTCCACTACATTTAACTTGATCAGAGCAAAGATTGGGCATATCGTAATCACGGGAATTGATAGGATCGTTGGCAGACGTATCAATGGAAACAAAGACTTCTTGACACAGAAACTTGGTGCGTAACTTCATGGTTTGAAGATCAATAGACTTCACCTTAGCTTGCATTGGTTCCTTGGTCTTGCTTTTTCTACAGTATCCAATTGTACATATAGTAGAAGCGGTGGCTCTGACATTTTTCCTATACTGTTGTACATTGGTGATATCTGCCCAGGTAAAATTACGTAATTCTGATTTTACAACATTGTAAAATCTTCCTCGTTTCCTTTCTTTATTTATTTGACGTCGCTTCGTAGGTCCCCAAGACCCATCCTTTCCTATCCATTCCACCAAATCTGTTGTTTTTAAATCATCTTCAGGAAAATATGCCTTGATGATGTTATAAACTTCCTCCTCCCCCAAGAACAGGCTCTCAGTTATGTAAGGTATGGCATTCAATGTCAGGATTTGTTTACACAAATCAAGGACACCTGAGCGCGAAAGCGCGATTGAACTTACATCATTGATGCTGCTTGTCGTTCTACTGTCGGTGGAAGGGGATACTTTTGCTGGCGTGGTGTTGAGTGAGATCAGGCGATTAAACCTCCAAGGCTCCATATTGATTTTTGTCGTCGAAATAGCAACAGCTAGTGTAGGGTCGCCATTGACAATTGTAACTGGCTCTAGACCAGCATCATGTAATAATTTCATTGCTAATGTACAGTTCTCAGTGGAGACTTCGAAACCGTATATTAAACACGCTGCGTGCTCAGCTGCCATACGCATTTTACATTTAAAAATCAAATACAGGAAGACCAACAACATTTTTTTTTTTTTCTATTTTTTTTATTATTGGCGATAAAGTCAAGTCACATTATATTTTTTATTTTGATTTGAAGTGACGTGCGCGCACATCGGGAAATTTTGGTGTACTTTGGTGTACTTTGGTGTAATTTGGTGTTAACACCATTTCGGTGTAAAATCCGCTCCCAGGGACAGTCTGATGTTAACACCTAAACCAATCTTATGACACTTGAATCATGCTAACACGTATATACAACTAATCCCACCCTAATGGTGTAAACATCAGCTGGATGTAAATTGGTGTAAAGTAATGATGCTTTTTAAACCTTATTATATTTATTACAAAAATTGGATAACTAAAAATATGATTTTTATTTAAGCTGTCATTTGATAATGATATTCATCTATGATCTTCTTTGCTTCTGCGATTTGCCTACGTAAATAAGTATCTAGGTTAGTACCGGAAGACTTTTATTTCTTTCATGTTGCTCTTTACCTTTCTGTTCGGAAATTCTTGGACATTTGTGTCCATTTGGGCTGCAAAATAAATTCGCATGGCCAAAGACGAGCACAATCCTTAAGGAAACCAAACCTTGGATCGATTTCCACTACTTCCTCTTGTATTGATTTAAGCATTGTCCATTGCTCAGTGCCATTCGAGGATCCCCATCCTCTGTACTTACCCATGTGATTCCGGAAAGCGAAAGCAAGACAAACAGAAAGGGCAGAACGATTTAAATTCTCCATCATAGCTTCCTTGTCAGTTTCAGACAAGCCTTCTACTTGTTTCAATAGCAAAATTCCTATTTCCAGTTTCTTGTCCTTGTATGAAACTGCCTTCGGTACAGTAATAGAAGGAACAGACCAGAAGAAACAGTAGACTCACCTTGTTGGACACCTCTTTCAGTCAAACTTTGTAACGCTTCCTGTAAAGTGTCGATTTTATCTTCAAGGCAAATGATGTTCCTTTCCAACGTTGAGCAGGCTTCATCCACCTTTGCCGTAATCATATCATCCATCGATTTCTTTTGAGCTAACAAGGCTCTTTCTACTATTGCTTCTATAAACGAGAGCAAATCGGATGTAGGTTCGATGGGTTGTTTTCTTTCATTATCTATTTCCGTCAAAAACAATAAAACGACAGACTCGTCGTCCAATCTTCTTTTCACACTTTCTGACACTTTAAAAAAAAATTGTTATACATTACTGCCCTACTTGTCAAGAAAAAGTTAAGTTGAAAGATTTATCAAGTTACCTTAATAATCATAAGATTCAACAATCATTAAAATCTACAGTCGAGTATCAAAAAATATTAGGATTAGTCCTTCATTAAGTGGAAATACCGCAATGGGCCAACAAATCTTACAAAATTTGCAGAACACTGGCACCGCGTTCGAGAATGTGTCTACAGAAACCGAAACGTGCGAAGACGAATCTATGGATTGCGATTATGAACAAAGAAAATGTTGCGTTCGCTGAGGAATCACAAGGCATGCTTGCAGACGAAGAATTCCAAGATCAGAACATGAATCCTGAAGAAGAATGTTTGACTCAGGAAAAAAAAAGATGTTACGAAAAAATAGAAATTTTTAAGAAAACCGTTCAAACACCGATTTGTATTGACACGCAAGGCTGCACGAGACCTCTTGATTTGACTGAAAAAGCCAGTTTGAAGATAAGAGACATCATGAGAAAGCGGGCAGTATCAAAAACTGCCTCAGAAGAGTTAATTTCAGCATTTAATGAGTATATGTCAGATCTTGAGCTCGGTAAATTGATAAATGTTATATCACTAAATATTTGTTTATTTATGACGTTTTTTTCAATAGAACAACACCTCCATTTGCTTTCACCCTACAAATGCGATGCAATCTCCAGCAAGAACATATACAGAGTAGACTCAGATACGTACGACATGTTTCGTAACGGCTGTTACATGTTTGTGGATGATGAACAAGAGAGAGGACAAACTGAGTGTCCAAATGTTTCTTGTAAAGCTGCTAGATACACCGATAATGCCACAGGTGTACCTGTAGAAACTCATACGCAGTTATCTCTCGCAAAGCAACTCGGAAATTTTCTGACTCAACAAAGAAATGTCAACAACATCAACGCATATAGAGAAGAGAGACAATCTTCGTCTGGATCTTACAAAGTTGTTTTTGATGGTAGTGCCTGGAAGAACAGCCAAGATTTAGAAGGTGATAAAATGATCTCATTGGCTTTACATGCCGATGCATTTTCACCTTTTAAAAGAGGTGCTGCTGGTCAAAGTATGACGCTGTTGATGGTGACACTTCTAGATTTATCTCCAGAATTCAGGTATTGTACTGATAACATTTAAATTTGAAATGAAATACTGATTTTTTGTACATATATTTACTTGAAAAAGATTCAAAAAACTTATTCCACGCCCGTAATTTTTCTTTTTTGGGATCACCACGCCCGTAACCCGACTTTGCCATCGCACTATGAAATATACGGGCGTTGCAAACTGACTGCCTACCAAAAATTTAATCCTCACCCCGTAATCCACTATCTAGTAGAATTCCAAATCTAAATTTTCTCAAAATAAAAAGATATACAAAGTTCTAACAGTATTTTCTTTTGTTACCCTAATTTATAATTTATCTCCATCCCAAACACCAGCCATTCTCCCGTTACCAAACTGCCATTTTGTTGTATTCGAGCAGTATATGCACCACATTTGCGGTAACATACTTGCACTCCGACGATTGAAGTAATTTATCATCTTTCACCTTTTGGCATATGTCAGATGATATTTGTCGTATTTGGGTACGATTCACTTAAGAATAAATAAGCAAATCGTTCAAATAATTAAATTATGAAATAAAAAAGAACCTTCAATGTTGCATACCAGCATACACATGTATACTGCTACACAACTTCTCCTACTTCGAGTACATATTTCTATATTAAAGATTACATGATTGGCCTAAACACGATATACGAATGACAGTTGGATACAGAAAGCTATACCGCTGAGTTACGATATCACCGATCGAGAAGAGAATCTTCTCAGATCAAATCAAGAATTATAAGAAAGAGAAACTTAATATTAATAGTTCTCTCAATGGCTTAGCTACCCATAGAGAGAATAGAACAGCTATTAGTATAAATGGTTCATTTACTTATATGTTGATATAATTATACTGCCTATAAAGAGTATAAAGAAATAGTGTATGAATTAATGGATACCTATCTTCTACAACCAAATATACAAATTTCGATAAGATATTCTATATTTGGGATCGTATTTTATGCATTAGAAAATTAAAGCATAAATGATCAGTTACAACTATTATGTTCTATTGCCAATTACACTTGACAAACAAGTATGTATCTTTTAACAGTATCCGTTACACGATCTTACAAAGAAGTGTGCCACTGCACCAAGTATTTGTCAGAATACTCGTGTTCCCGTTTCACACATCTGGGACAACGTTACCTTTAATCAATTCTAACGAGTAGAGTTTAGATAACACAAGATGGAAGACTAAAATATAGATTTATTCCAAAACCAGAAAGGTTGACTCATCATAAATCCAGGAGATGTTGGCAATATAAAAAGGATTGATTATTTCATAGCAGCAGAGTTCTTTTAGTCTATTTTTACCCTAATAAAAATATTCGTTTTATCTCATTATTTTTTACGTGCATTTTATCAAATATCACAATATTTCATAATTCACGTAACACTAATATATTTATTTCAGTTACGGACTGTTATTTTATTATCCTTGATGTACCTTGCGGGATATTGACAGTTTAGACAATATGTCAATATAATCTACCCACGGTAATTATCTTCCCGTTTGCTGTAAATAGTTGTGTTCGTTGTGTATAAAAGAAATCCACAAATTTTATGTTTAATAACGTTCAGTTCCTTTTTGCAATCTGGTTAATACTCTGTCTTATTTTCTTTTTTGTCTTTGAATTTTTCACATTTCCCACTTACCACTGGCCTATTTTTCAATAGCCACTGGTGTATCACTTAAGACTATCTCACCATAATAACAACTACTCTAATGTAAATCTGGAACATATAAGAATCACCGATACAACAAATACGAATCACCGACTTTACAAACATGAACATATAATATATATACAAGAGCAAATTAAGTATTTAATAAAGGATTATCTTATATTTGATTGAAATTATTGTCTCTTAGACATCGGATATCACAGCCACTTCCCCAATTTCCACTGGCCAGTGGGAAAAAGGCCAGTGGGAAAATGGCCAGTGGGAAAATGGCCAGTGGGAAAATGGCCAGTGGGAAAATGGCCAGTGGGAAAATGGCCAGTGGGAAAATGGCCAGTGGGAAAATGGCCAGTGGGAAAATGGCCAGTGGGAAAATGGCCAGTGGAAAATGGTCAGTGGCCAGTGGAAAATGGCCAGTGGCCAGTGGAAAAAGGTCAGTGGCCAGTGGAAATAGGCCAGTGGCCAGTGGGAAAATGGCCAGTGGCCAGTGGAAATAGGCCAGTGGCCAGTGGAAAAAGGTCAGTGGCCAGTGGAAAAAGGCCAGTGGCCAGTGGAAAAAGGTCAGTGGCCAGTGGAAATAGGCCAGTGGCCAGTGGAAAATGGCCAGTGGCCAGTGGAAAAAGGTCAGTGGCCAGTGGAAAAAGGTCAGTGGCCAGTGGAAAAAGGTCAGTGGCCAGTGGAAATAGGCCAGTGGCCAGTGGAAAATGGCCAGTGGAAATAGGCCAGTGGCCAGTGGGAAAATGGCCAGTGGCCAGTGGAAATAGGCCAGTGGCCAGTGGAAAAAGGTCAGTGGCCAGTGGAAAAAGGCCAGTGGCCAGTGGAAAATGGCCAGTGGCCAGTGGAAAAAGGTCAGTGGCCAGTGGAAATAGGCCAGTGGCCAGTGGGAAAATGGCCAGTGGCCAGTGGAAATAGGCCAGTGGCCAGTGGAAAAAGGTCAGTGGCCAGTGGAAATAGGCCAGTGGCCAGTGGAAAATGGCCAGTGGGAAAATGGCCAGTGGCCAGTGGAAATAGGCCAGTGGCCAGTGGAAAATGGCCAGTGGAAATAGGCCAGTGGCCAGTGGAAAAAGGTCAGTGGCCAGTGGAAATAGGCCAGTGGCCAGTGGAAAATGGCCAGTGGCCAGTGGAAAATGGCCAGTGGGAAAATGGCCAGTGGCCAGTGGAAAATGGCAGTGGAAATAGGCCAGTGGCCAGTGGGAAAATGGCCAGTGGCCAGTGGGAAAATGGCCAGTGGCCAGTGGAAAAAGGTCAGTGGCCAGTGGAAATAGGCCAGTGGCCAGTGGGAAAATGGCCAGTGGCCAGTGGGAAAATGGCCAGTGGCCAGTGGAAAAAGGTCAGTGGCCAGTGGAAATAGGCCAGTGGCCAGTGGAAAATGGCCAGTGGCCAGTGGAAAAAGGTCAGTGGCCAGTGGAAAAAGGTCAGTGGCCAGTGGAAAATGGCCAGTGGCCAGTGGAAAAAAGGTCAGTGGCCAGTGGAAATAGGCCAGTGGCCAGTGGGAAAATGGCCAGTGGCCAGTGGAAATAGGCCAGTGGCCAGTGGAAAAAGGTCAGTGGCCAGTGGAAAAAGGCCAGTGGCCAGTGGAAAATGGCCAGTGGCCAGTGGAAAAAGGTCAGTGGCCAGTGGAAAATGGCAGTGGAAATAGGCCAGTGGCCAGTGGACAATGGCCAGTGGCCAGTGGAAATAGGCAGTGGCCAGTGGAAAAAGGTCAGTGGCCAGTGGAAATAGGCCAGTGGCCAGTGGAAAATGGCCAGTGGAAATAGGCCAGTGGCCAGTGGGAAAAATGGCCAGTGGCCAGTGGAAATAGGCAGTGGCCAGTGGAAAAAGGTCAGTGGCCAGTGGAAAAAGGCCAGTGGCCAGTGGAAAATGGCCAGTGGCCAGTGGAAAATGGCCAGTGGCCAGTGGAAAAAGGTCAGTGGCCAGTGGAAATAGGCCAGTGGCCAGTGGAAAAAAGGTCAGTGGCCAGTGGAAAATGGCCAGTGGCCAGTGGAAAAAGGTCAGTGGCCAGTGGAAATAGGCCAGTGGCCAGTGGGAAAATGGCCAGTGGCCAGTGGAAATAGGCCAGTGGCAGTGGAAAAAAGGTCAGTGGGCCAGTGGAAATAGGCCAGTGGCCAGTGGAAAATGGCCAGTGGGAAAATGGCCAGTGGCCAGTGGAAATAGGCCAGGGCCAGTGGAAAATGGCAGTGGAAATAGGCCAGTGGCCAGTGGAAAAGGTCAGTGGCCAGTGGAAATAGGCCAGTGGCCAGTGGAAAATGGCCAGTGGAAAAGGCCAGTGGCCAGTGGAAAATGGCCAGTGGAATAGGCCAGTGGCCAGTGGGAAAATGGCCAGTGGCCAGTGGGAAAATGGCCAGTGGCCAGTTGGAAAAAGGTCAGTGGCCAGTGGAATAGGCCAGTGGCCAGTGGGGAAAATGGCCAGTGGCCAGTGAAAAAGGTCAGTGGCCAGTGGAAAAGGTCAGTGGCCAGTGAAAATGGCCAGTGGCCAGTGGAAAAAGGTCAGTGGCCAGTGGAAATAGGCCAGTGGCCAGTGGAAAATGGCCAGTGGCCAGTGGAAATAGGCCAGTGGCCAGTGGAAAAAGGTCAGTGGCCAGTGGAAAAAGGCCAGTGGCCAGTGGAAAATGGCCAGTGGCCAGTGGAAAAAGGTCCAAGTGGCCAGTGGAAAATGGCAGTGGAAAAAGGTCAGTGGTCCAGTGGAAAAAGGTCCCGTGGCAGTGGAAATAGGCCAGTGGCCAGTGGGAAAATGGCCCCAGTGGCCCGTGGAAATAGGCCATGGGCCAGTGGAAAAAGGTCAGTGGCCAGTTGGAAATAGGCCAGTGGCAGTGGACAATAGGGCCATGGCCAGTGGGAAACTGGCCAGTGGCCAGTGGAAATAGGCCAGTGGCCAGTGGAAAAGTTTTCATGGCCGTGGAAAAGGCAGTGGCCAGTGGAAAATGGCCCCGTGGCCAGTGGAAAAAGGTCCAGTGGCAAGTGGAAAATAGGCCAGTGGCCAAGTGGAAAAAGGTCAGTGGCCAGTGGGAAATAGGGCCAGTGGCCAGTGGAAAAGGTCAGTGGCCAGTGGAAATCGGCCAGTGGCCAGTGGAAAAATGGTCCAGTGGCCAGTGGAAATAGGCAGTGGCCAGTGGAAAACTGGTACCAGTGGCCAGGAAATAGGCCAGTGGCCAGTGGAAAAAAGGGTCAGTGGCCAGTGGAAATAGGCCAGTGGCCAGTGGAAAATGACCAGTGGGAAAATGGCCAGTGGCCAGTGGAAATAGGCCAGGGCCAGGGAAAATGGCCAGTGGAAATAGGCCAGTGGCCAGTGGAAAAAGTGGCCATGGAAATAGGGCCAGTGGCCAGTGGAAAATGGCCAGTGGCCAGTGGAAAATGGCCAGTGGAAATGGCCAGTGGCCAGTGGAAAATGGCCAGTGGGAATATCCAGTGCCGTGGGAAAATGGCCATGGCCAGTGGGAAAATGCAGTGCCAGTGGAAAAGGTCAGTGGCCATTGAAATAGGCCAGTGGCCAGTGGAAAATGGCCAGTGGAAATAGGCCAGTGGCCAGTGGGAAAATGGCCAGTTGGGAAAATGGCCATGGGAAAATGGCATGGAAATGGCCATGGGAAATGGCCAGTGGAAAATGGTCAGTGGCCATGGAAAATGCCATGGCCAGTGGAAAAAGGTCAGTGGCCAGTGGAAATAGGCCTTGGCCAGTGGGAAAATGGCCATGGCCAGTGGAAATAGGCCAGTGGCCAGTGGAAAAGGTCAGTGGCCAGTGGAAAAAGGCCAGTGGCCAGTGGAAAATGGCCAGTGGCCAGTGGAAAAAGGTCAGTGGCCAGTGGAAATAGGCCAGTGGCCAGTGGAAAAAGGCCAGTGGCCAGTGGAAAATGGCCAGTGGCCAGTGGAAAAAGCTCAGTGGCCAGTGGAAAATGGCCAGTGGAAAAAGGTCAGTGGCCAGTGGAAAAAGGTCAGTGGCCAGTGGAAATAGGCCAGTGGCCAGTGGAAAATGGCCAGTGGCCAGTGGAAATAGGCCAGTGGCCAGTGGAAAAAGGTCAGTGGCCAGTGGAAAAAGGTCAGTGGCCAGTGGAAATAGGCCAGTGGCCAGTGGGAAAATGGCCAGTGGCCAGTGGAAATAGGCCAGTGGCCAGTGGAAAAAGGTCAGTGGCCAGTGGAAATAGGCCAGTGGCCAGTGGAAAATGGCCAGTGGGAAAATGGCCAGTGGAAAATGGCCAGTGGCCAGTGGAAAAGGTCAGTGGCCAGTGGAAATAGGCCAGTGGCCAGTGGAAAATGGCCAGTGGCCAGTGGAAAATGGCCAGTGGGAAAATGGCCAGTGGCCAGTGGAAAATGGCCAGTGGAAATAGGCCAGTGGCCAGTGGAAAAAGGTCAGTGGCCAGTGGAAATAGGCCAGTGGCCAGTGGAAAATGGCCAGTGGGAAAATGGCCAGTGGGAAAATGGCCAGTGGAAAATGGCCAGTGGAAATAGGCCAGTGGCCAGTGGGAAAATGGCCAGTGGCCAGTGGAAATTTACCAAGGCTATAATTTTTCGCCTGATCCGTAAGTGTTTACCCATTCAAAGCCATTAACGCGCACCCGGTAATTTTTCCTTATTGGGATATCCGCACCCGGCACTCGACTCTGGCAGCTGAGACTCAAATATTTGGGTGTGGATATTTTGTTTTCCACACCCGTATTTTTTTAGCGTTGATTGCACGCCCATATACACTTGAGTTTTGTATCCGAGCCAAATAACGTACACTAAAAAGCTCCAAATATCAGGAATTAAATGGGATAGAAGTGCTTGTCTTTTTTTTCTGCTTTGGGAATCGAAAAGTCTTAAGAATTAAGTGGGTGTCTGACTAACGGGGAAGCGAAAAATCTTAAAAATTAAGTGGGCTCGACTGTGAATCGAAAAGTCTTACAGCTTAAGTAGAAATTAACTTAGTAAAAAAAGATAGGAACTAAAGTTTCACCCAAGAGGCTAAGAAAAGAGATACAATTTGATCTGACACTGGCGTATATGTAATCATTCGCAGCAAAACAACGGTGAAGAAGCTCCATAGTCAGCTTAACCATTATGATTCTACGGCATGTTCCGAGGCTGTTACTTTTAGATAGCATTTATAACTTCTTCTGCAGTCTTGTATCTATTGATAGGAATACAGGAATAGGTTCCTGGACAGCATAGGTCATGTCATTTAAATCAAACTCGTTTCGATTGTCGGTGTTCATTTCTAAATCTGATAATATCCGTACCAATATGGGCTTTTTTTTCGTATAAAGCTTCATATAATTACACGTAAAACTTATAAAGTAAGCAGATTTCGTCAATGTTTATTTTATGGATTTGGAAAAGGAATTTGTTTTATGTCAATTGAATTACTGGGTGTGGATAAAACTTTTGGGTGTGGAAACAGCCAGAGTCGGGAGCCGGGTGTGGATATCCCAAAAAGAAAACTTTACGGGTGTGGAATAAGTTTTTTGATCTACTTATATACCCGAATTTTTGAGCGGTTTTTAAAAGTAGAGGACTGCTTTGCTTTTGATTTTCAGGCAGAGGGAAGGGACACACGTTTATTATTAATTTTTTTATTTTTAGAATCGGAAGGAATGTTTGTGGAATCTATACGAGAGAGACACCAGTGACGGAAGCTGGTCAATTCTTCGAGCTCATTTTTGTTAAGAGTATATTGCTGCCGTTTAAGTTTATGATTGTTGGAAAGCAGAGTGTCAAATTCTGTTGAAGAATTGCTTGAAGCGATGGGAGAAGCTTGTTCTGTCAAATTAGGAAGGCTTGAACTATCGGCAGAGGGCTGGTGAATATTTGAGAAAGTGGGGTCGAAAGAAGCTATTTAATTTAAGGTTAGTAAAAAAAAATGAAGCCGTAAAGATTCAATAGTATTTATATTTACCTTCAAATACAGACAACCAGGACATATAACGCTTCAATAAACGCATATGTTTGCATGCGATATTGTTAAAGCGGAAGTCAGGGCAGCTGCAAGAGATCATTTGGAAATCGTCCACCACAACGTTATAATTCACACCTGAAGTCGAGAAAGAAGAAACAACATAAACACTTCTACCATCAGAATTTGTAATAGCAGTTTAGATCATATGCTCCAAAGCATCAGCACTGATGACCTCTGCCTGAATCTCTCTTGTGCGATGTCGTCTTTCCTCGGGACCCATTCTTTCAACTTTCAAAAAGATACGACTGATGTTATTATTGTACTCAGGCAGAACATCCTTCACCAAAACAAACACCAGTCGATCAACCCTTCTATTTCTTTTTCTACCAAGATATGTTGTCTTTAACTGATTATGCCAACTCTCCACATAGTTGTTCGTCTCCATATTAGTGTACATGGCCGGTTGGTATGCGGCGGATTGTGGCATGAACGCATCGTCTTCCAGGTACCGACTTTAAAGTACTGCAAAAAATCGCGATACACGGAGTACTCGGTCAGTTTTCTTGTAAGGACAGATTTGTCACGCTCCCACATCATTGCCTTTAGATCAGCAATGATCTTGTTCTGGACGGTGTTATTGCGGAGTGTATCATCAGGCTTGACCAATTGCCGGATTTTCCCTGTCCAAGCTCTTGCCACATGGAACAAACACCATTGGACACTTGCCGAAGGGTATACTGCTTGAATCGCACCCAACTCGGTACTACTGACATCGATGGTGATCTTCTCGATGTTCAAGATCCCAACATTTTTTCTCAGGAACCTCAAGAAGTTGGCCAATGGGCTTATGGATTGATCGATGGTTAAAAAGAAAGCAACAGGACAACCAGTGCCGGTCAAGGGATGGCGCGTGACAATCGTATAGAGGATTCCGTTGGAAAAACCTGGTAGTGCTGTGGTTAGCGTCAAGACATACACTACGATCTTGCAGTAACCATTGATGGACTACCTGGCAAACAGATGACCTTCCAAGTGGCTGGGCAGTTGATCTTCTTGCTTCTCTCTTGCAATCCGCGTACATGGCCGGAAGCACCACCTCGGACAACACCAGCATGTACTCTTTTAGGTCCTGAACGATGGCATACATAGTACTCTCTGAAGACATATGTTTGCTGTTTTTGTCTACCATTTAAGTATCCAGTAGGGGCATCTTGATGTTTGTTAAAATTCCATTTTACACCTTTTTTGGAAACAGATCTTGAATCACAGTTTTGTATGCCTCGATAGGAACTGTTACAGTAACAGGAATAGGACAATAAGGTTGGATGTCCATTGATATTTTATACAAATAATAGGAAAGGTAAGTTGAAAAAGGAGACATGCAGGATAAAGGAAGTTTTATAAATTCTGTTACTGGGCCCGATTGGGTATTAAAACATGTACAATGCAATAAAAAGTATAAATTTTAAATATCCATTATGTTAATCAAAACTTTGCTTTAAAAAGTAAACAACATCAAAGGCTTATATCGTACCAAGTTAAATTATCGATGCCATACAATGTTCTTTGCTACATTTCAAGAGTACTTACTTTGGCTTAAGATCGAGATACCGGGTTCTTTTTTTTTATCAATATAGAATACCTCTTTATGTATCCATAAAAATATGACATTTAAAAGAAGAACAAGAGGGGACTAAGCTACAGATTTTTGATGGGCAAGGCAACCATGGAGTTTCTGCACCGGTGTCTTGAGGCCAATGGCTACGTATATTCAAGCGTTAGAACGCCATCTTTTTTCTAAGTCTTTTGGATGAGCATTTGGTCCCTAATTAAACTTAAATATCCAATAAAACTTTACATATGCTATTGCTTCTTTTTTTTCAGTCAGTCCCTCACAATTTTTCGATTCTCAGTCAGCTACACAGCCAAAAAAAAAATTCGGGCGTTTTTCTCCTTAATTTGTAAGATTTAAAATTCTTGCTGTAGTTTTTGTGGCTTGGTGAAAGTATTCGGGTATTTAAGGGCGGATTGATGACATAATGGACTTACGACAGCATAAAGTGACGTAACATAAATCACAATTTATATGACGTTGAATAAAATTTATCACATCTTTTGTGTTCTTGTTTATCAGCCTACAAATAAAGCTGGTTCACACACTTTATTGTTCACCTTTTCTTTTCTCTTAACATATTTCTTCTATCTTATAACATATGTTGAAAAAAGGCAGCGGTTTGTGATATGATTGCCCTCATGGAGGTGAGACAACAAGCACAGAGTATGTAATTCTTGTTCCATGAGCTACTAAACTCCAGATGCACCAAAAAAAAGCACCTGGTATCCTTGATTTGTGCAAATAAATCCTGACAATGAATGCGATACCTTACATAACTGAGAGCCTGTTCTTGGGGAAGGAGGAAGTTTATGACATCATCAAGGCGTATTTTCCAGAAGATGATTTAAGAACAACAGATTTGGTGGAATGGATGGGAAAGGATGGGTCTTGGGGACCTACAAAGCGTCGGCAAATGAACAAAGAAAGGAAGCGCGGAAGATTTTACAATGTTGTTAAATTAGAATTACGTAATTTTACTTGGGAAGATATCATCAATGTCCAACAGTATAGGAAGAATGCTAGAGCCACCGCTTCCACTATATGCCCCATTGGATACTGTAGAAAAAGCAAGACCAAGGAACCTATGGAAGCCAAGGTAAAGTCCATTGGGTACTGTCGCAAAAGCAAGACCAAGGAACCCATAGAAGCCAAGGTAAAGTCCATCGGGTGCTGACTCAAAAGCAAGACCAAGGAACCCATAGAAGCCAAGGTAAAGTCCATCGGGTGCTGACTCAAAAGCAAGACTAAGGAACCCATAGAAGCCAAGGTAAAGTCCATCGGGTGCTGACTCAAAAGCAAGACCAAGGAACCCATAGAAGCCAAGGTAAAGTCCATCGGGTGCTGACTCAAAAGCAAGACCAAGGAACCCATAGAAGCCAAGGTAAAGTCCATCGGGTGCTGACTCAAAAGCAAGACTAAGGAACCCATAGAAGCCAAGGTAAAGTCCATCGGGTGCTGACTCAAAAGCAAGACCAAGGAACCCATAGAAGCCAAGGTAAAGTCCATCGGGTGCTGACTCAAAAGCAAGACTAAGGAACCCATAGAAGCCAAGGTAAAGTCCATTGGGTACTGTCGCAAAAGCAAGACCAAGGAACCCATAGAAGCCAAGGTAAAGTCCATCGGGTGCTGACTCAAAAGCAAGACCAAGGAACCCATAGAAGCCAAGGTAAAGTCCATCGGGTGCTGACTCAAAAGCAAGACCAAGGAACCCATAGAAGCCAAGGTAAAGTCCATCGGGTGCTGACTCAAAAGCAAGACCAAGGAACCCATAGAAGCCAAGGTAAAGTCCATCGGGTGCTGACTCAAAAGCAAGACCAAGGAACCCATAGAAGCCAAGGTAAAGTCCATCGGGTGCTGACTCAAAAGCAAGACCAAGGAACCCATAGAAGCCAAGGTAAAGTCCATCGGGTGCTGACTCAAAAGCAAGACCAAGGAACCCATGTAAGCCAAGGTAAAGTCCATCGATCTCCATGACGCAAAAGTAAGACCAAGGAACCTATGCAAGCTAAGGTGAAGTCTATTGATCTCCAAACCATGAAGCTACGCACCAAGTATCTGTACCAAGAAGTCTTTGTTTCCATTGATATGTCTGCCAACGATCCTACCAATTCACGTGATTATGATATGCGCTCCCTAATCTTTGCTCGGACCAAGTCAAGTGTAGTGGAAACACACAAGACACGATTAAATGTTTTGGCAGCAACAGGTCGAAAAGGTACGCTTAGTGGCGATTGATTTTGCGGGTACGTCCACAAAACGTTGACGATTTGAGACGTTTCATAAAATCCAGCAAGGCAATCAAGGAACTGACAGTGGATGAAAGAACATAGGGTCACTGTGTTTATTGTCACTATGAATTGCTGTCGACGGTGACATTATCAACAAGTTTAAGTGTCGATGAGGTCCAGTAAAGAGATCAAGAAATTGACTTGAGTCCCACTGCAAAGATGTCTTTTTTCTGTGTACAAGCAACCTGTAGCAGTATAAAAATCCTATATTTACATATGTTTCTGCTCTTCTTTTTGTTAAAATCTATCTCTTTGATAAATAAAACCTTTTTATTCATGAATCATTAAAGGACACGGTGAAACTTAATTTTGTTAAAAAAGAAATAAAAACTATCCACTTGTTAGCATGTGAGGACACACTTTTTTGAACTTGCACTTTTATTTGTACATTTTCAAAGACAAGTTGCACAAGATTTGCTTGAGATAGTAGCCTGTGTAAGATGATTACTACTTGAAGGTGTGTGAGGCGCATAAGAAAGAGATGGATAGGTAATGCAAGGCATATGAATAAAGCAGCAGGAATAAGATGAAACCCGGTCAACTCAAATAATATCTCCTTTCAAACAACTCTTTTCAGTACCTATTTGTTTATGGCATTTTCAGTGTGTGTGTGTATGTGTGTGTGTGTGTGAGCCCGCTCTCCAGATCTTTCCCAAGCGACCATGATACCATTGTCCGTGTGAGTGAAAAAAAAAAAGTATAAATCTTGACACTCTATAAAAAAAAAAAATTACGGTTTTTATTTGTTGATACAGCCCTAAAAGTAGAATAGCTGTTGGACAATGAGGAAGAAAAGAAGGTGGCATGTGCTTTGGATGTTACACGGACATCTTTTTTTTCTTTTTATAACATTTCTAAACTTTTGCAGTCTAAAAGTATCGTGTCACATGGTAAGCGATGCTTTATTAGTAAATAAGAAGAGGGGGGAGCGGGATTAGATCAGATCAGATCTCATACTTTATCTTTAGCTGGAGAAAAAAAAAACTCTTTTACTAATTAGAGTGATATCAAGTCGATCTTCCCAGTGGAGGCCTAGCCCCCCCCCACCTTTTTATATTATAATGCAACCAATGGTCATAGCGCAAAGCGTTTCCTCATTTGGGGAAGGGGGATTTTTTTGTTTTGTTTAGCTAGTGTATACAATTATCTTTATATATATATATCTATCTATATACACACATGAAAGAGATAGCGAAGAAGAAATATTATTAATTTGACTTTTCGGGGGAGGGGGATGAATCATGACCTGAACAGCAGACCTTTTTAGAGTATCAAAACTTAATTCCTCCTATATAAGATCGCCACTGATTTCTTACTTCTAAAGCACATGATCACTTACAGCAGGATAAGGTACGTGAGAAACACTGGTCAAAGTAGTCTCATGTTTCCAATCATAAGAAAGGGTGTGTGTGTGTGTGTGTGAAAATAATATTACTTTTTTATAGCTGTCATTTTTGGGGGCTTTTTTTTTTTATTGATATAGAGTTGAAGCTAAAAAAAAAAAAGATGAAATGATTGCGGGTAAAAAGAAAGTAAAACCAACATTTGGGGGGTGCGGTAGAAAGATAAATGATAGAAAAAAAGAACGGAAAATTTCCCTTTTACGAATTCAATTGAAATAGCGAATTAATGCAGATGAAAGAGAGTAGTGCCACCTCAGAACGGAAAATAGAGATTGAAACTCCTTCCAGAAAAAAAAAGGGGGGGGGAGAGGGAGGGGAGTAAGGGGAAAGTGATTTGCACTGACTTGGAAAGAGAAAGACAGATTGAAAATAGAAAAGTGACATTTATGTCAACTGTCACCTCGGGGAAAGAGAGAAAATGAATGAATGAATAAAAAGAAAGAGAGAGATGATGTAGTAGAAAAAAATGGGCACATGAAAATATATAAAGCTTTACTTTTCCCCCTTTTTTTACAAGCCCCTTGCATGGGGGTTCCGTTATTTTACAACTTTCTTTTATTTTGCTTTCTCTCCGTCTTCGCCGAAACGCCCATGAACATGAAGAGGAAAACGGATTCTTTATTATAAAAGTGAGTAAGAAGGATGAAACGTGTCGGGGATAGTATTGACTTGGATAAATATAATGATTTTTAGGGAGAGAAAGATGACAACAAGTCATCATGCAACATGAAAAGGTCACGCAGGAGAGAGCAGCAGAAATCAGCAGCAGCAGCAACAACAACAGGATATAAAGCAGCATAAGAATAACCACCACCACCATCATCATCATCATCATCGAAATCATGACCATCCTTTTGTACGACACACATTCCTTTTCTTTTTTGTAGACCAACAAGAAAAAAGTTTTAATCATTCCTTATGAAGTTTGATTTTTTAATTTGCAATAAATAAAAAAAAAGGGCGGGTAAAATGTCAAAACGTTACATCTACAACTTATAAGACATCTTCTTTTTTACAAGAGAGTTTGACAAGGGGCAAAGATAAATAAAAATGTCAAGAGAAGATCACAAGGAGAAAGAAAAGAAAATAGCCACTCAAAATATGACACTCCCTTTTTTTTTTACCCCTATATTATATATCTTTTTTTTTTTTTTTCGTGGGCGCTGTCAAAAAAAAAAAAAATAACAGTTTGAGGGATATCCTTGTAGGATGGATTAAATTCGGTTTTCAACTTTATTTGGACAACATACCATAATAAGAATGTCTTTTTCTTTGACAGGCTGGGTTCTCTCACTTCCCACCCCGTATATTGAAAACGCAGCCAAGCTTGTTTATGAACCTGTCACGTACGTACCTTTTTTTTTTTTTGTTTTTTTTGCCGATCAATCCCCCATAACCATATGCACGTCCCTTGAATTGATATAAATAGTTCCTTCTTTTATATTATTTCCCCCTTTTTTTTATATATATATATATATATTTATTTGATTATTTCTTGTATTCTCGTTTTTACGACCTTTCTTTCTTTTTTTCTTTTTTTCTCTCTCTTTTGTATGTATCAACAATCCGTTTCTTCTATGGACTCCACGGTAATATATACATATATATACACACATGTAGAATGTAAACAAAGAGAGACTCATGCCCAGAAAGCTTCGTATATTCAGTCCTATTATTCTATTCCACGATGCAAGTAGTTGCAGCAGTGATCATCAGGTGATCCAACTCAAGAAACAAAAGGTCAATGCCATGTTAAAAAGTAACGGACAATTCTGGAGTAATGTGATTTGGAGTACCCGAAATAGTGCATTTTCCAGTCCACCTCAAACACCACCACCTACTACCGCATTATTTACGTCTTGTAATTCATCTGTGTCCTCATGTCCAGAAGAGGGAGGTCAAACTCGACAGAAATGGTACGGCACTCCCTCGGATGAAGAAGAATTAGAAGAAGAAGAAGAGGAAGAAGAAGAAGAAGAGGATGTGGATGTGGAAGAAGATGATACAAGAAATATCCAAACAGTAAAGAAACGTGTAAAATCCACCAATGGTCGAAAGCGACGAGGCAACTTACCCAAAAGTGTGACTGCCATATTAAAACAATGGTTGATTGATCATTGTCGACATCCATACCCAACTGAAGAAGAAAAGCGGTCCCTAAGGATAAAGACCAATTTAACTTTGAACCAAATTAGTAATTGGTTTATTAATGCACGTAGAAGAATATTACCCTTGATTCTGTCATCACCAAATACAATCGCATCTCCAGAGACCACTTCAGAAAAGAAGACCAGAAGAAAGCGAGGCTGGATGTCTGATTCCACCCGTAAGTTTAACCTTTTTATTCGTTTCTCGTTACTAACTCTCTTTTACTTGATAGAGCCAAAGCAGACTAGTCCTAAAGGGCGTCGTCAGCAATTAGTCTAATTAGCCCATTTTATATATTTATATATATATATATATATCTTTTATCCCACATATATAAAAAAAAAAGAAAAAAAAAAAGAAAAAAAATTTAATAAAATATAACCCCACCCCCCAAATGTACATTTTAAAAAAAAAAAAAAAAAAAAAAAAAAAAACGGTTATCTCGGTTTGATCCGATACCTTTTTTTCTCTCTTTTTGATTATGTAAGATGTGGCAGTTTTAAAAGTAGGGGGGAAAGGGGGGGACTTATGTGTGAACAATCAAATTTTGTTCTGTAATCTATTGGTCATACGGACGGGAAAAAACGCAAATTAGAACGGCGATCGAACTCGGTACCATTGGTAGCAATCTTTTGATTTTATCGGGATAGTCAGGAACACACAACAATATGTTTCGCATTGTTGGTGTGAGTAAGGTTTCAACTCCAATTGTAAAATACCCCAAAAAGATAAAGTAAAAAAAAAGGCGAATGTAAACAAACAATTATGAGCACAAGATCGATTCGCATGATATATACAATGCGCCCTTGTATCAAACAGAACGAAAATAAAAAAAAAAAAAAAGGGCGGGAAAAAAAAAGAGAGATAAGTGTAGAATGTGTTATATGATAGGGCATGCAGATAATAAGAGAAAAAAAAAAAGCCTTTTTGTTTCTGTTTTGATGCAAAAAAGGTTATAAATAACACTCGGACCATCTTTTTTTTTTTTTTTTTCTGTTCAATTGACGCCATTTTAAATATTTTGATAGAATATATATAACACTATCTATCTATAAAGTAAATTTCTTATGGGGTTAAAATTGTACCACTTGTAGAACCATCGAAAAAAAGAAAAATAAAAAAAAAATGAGGTCCAGAATGTCGGAGATTGGAGAGTTGAAGTTTATCTTCTATAAAGGATGAGCCTTTTTTTTTTTTTTCTATTTTATTTCTTTCTTTCCTTTTTATAACTTTTTTTCTTAACATGAATTGCACATTACCAACACATAGTTCTTTACATCAACCACCGTCATGTGGAAGACGAGTGCTACTAAAGCGTCCTACACATGCGGTTATCCAACCCAAAAAAAAGAAATCAGTACGATTTGAAGGAGATCAAGTACGTTATTTTTACAAGAATCAAACACCATTAGCTGTCAAGACAGACCCACCTTTTATGGACAGATCGGTAGATGATTATAAACTATCCTTGCCCAATTGGCCTACAAGAAATACCATCTTTTATAATACGGAACAAAAAATTCGTATGGAGTCTGTCACACTTGTCAATGGAGATACAGACCTCATGTCACAAAATATGTTTATGATTGAAGGTCGTTGTAGAGCACTCAACCTTTCATTTCATAAAATTGTCTCTATCCGCTATTCCTTTGACCTCTGGCGATCCTTTAGTGAGACCACGGGTGAATTCCGTGAATCTATTGCTTCTACTTCAAATACATGGGACCGTTTTATCTTTCATATTCCCATCCAACCTAAAGAAGAGACACAGACACTCTATCTTGCTCTTCGTTATACTGTGGATGAAGGTGAATTCTGGGATAACAACAATGGTATGAACTATCAAGTCATCATCACTCCCAACGAGCCTATTGCTACTACTACTGTTGTTGCTACCCCTCCCAAGGAGAAACATCTTACACAAGAGGATGAGGAAGAATTGGCAATTATTCGAAACAATACAAAGGTATTGGGTAGACGCTATGACTTTAGTACTTCCCTTACAGAGGCATCCCGCAAGCCATTTGGATTTGCATCACCCCCACCTTCACCTCCTGGAACTCCTGTTGAAAATGAAAACCTTAGCTATACCCCACCCGTCTTTTTTGGTAACGATGTCGAAACTACTACCACTACTACTCCTCCTGCTTCTCCTCCCATTTCATCTGCTGAGGGATTTGGTATGAGTTATTCAGACTTTGTTGACAAGTATTGTTTCTACAATTCCAACCCCATTTACAGTTCATTCTCTCCATCCGCCGTGCTTTCTTAAACAACAACAACAAAAAAAAAGTTTACCTCTTTTATTCCTTACCCCCTTCATTTCTCTGTATATATATTTTTTGCATTTTTCCCCTTTCTTTCTCTCTCTTATATTCCTCCTTAAAATAAAAATATCTTTTTTTTCTTTTTTAATAACATCACGTCCCATTAAAAAAAGACCGATCCGGAATATAACACTCTCAGACCATTATTGATAGAGATCGCTGCCGATAAAAAGAGGCGAGCTTGGGAATTCCTTGTATTACCCTATTGGTTTATCTGTACGCGATATTTCATTGGAACATCGGTATGAAACTTGTTTTTTTTTTCTTGCACAAAACAAATAAAAATAGTTTTAATTTGTGGGGTAAAAAAAAAAAAAAAAACTCAACAACAGCTCACAAACAACTTATACTATAAATCCGGGGAAGAACGGGAAATTATTATGTCTGTGAGTAAACTTGTATTACCCTTTATTATTCATTATGGCTATTTGTTTGTTATGATACTTTTTTTTTTTCGCTTTTCATTATGGCTAATTCTTGTCCCACGGCTTTTCATGAAAAATAAAATTATATATATAAATTTTTTTTTTTTTTTTTTGTGTTCTTCTATAATCATGACGTGTTATCTCTCCCATTCTTCCCGTCCTTTTCTATCAGGGTCAATTGTTACACGCCTTATTTTTTTCCCGTAAACTATTTTTTTTTTTATCTGCAAGGAGGTGGCTAACTTTATTTTCCAGTGACCAACATTGGAGCCTGAACCAAGTAAGATACACTCTCCGCCCCACGACTCTTTTTCATTGTGTGAAGAGAGAGAGAGAGAGGGGGGAGGGCAATTAGTATAATTAAAGGTTGGATTTACATCTTGGCCAAGCTAAAATGGCATAAACATTTATATACCCCGAAGAACCCATTCTGGAGCCGAAACTCTTTTTTTTCTCCTTTATTATTTTTGACAGATAGTCTAACTACTTTTTTGACATTATTACATCTTTGACCTTCTATTTGTATAAAAATAAGGGATAACAAAAAAAAAGGTTCGGCATTTTTGCTAAAACATATATACATATTTTTACTAGTTTAGATAAGGGTAATCTTATTGTTTTCCCTTTTTAGTGGGGTTATCGTATCATTTTTTAATAAGTTTAAATCATCGAATGATGCTTGAATAATAAACATTCATCCTTTTTATTTTTGACGGCTAGTTCGGATATCGGGGTAAAAAAAAAGCTTCTGTCATGTTCCTTTACCCGTTAAAAAAATAATAATTCTGCACCATGATGATTTGTAAAAATCAGAACGGACCCGTTACAGCACGTTTTTTTATTTTTTTTTATCTGTTTATCCATCAATGGCATGTGTTTATCGCCTAATATGTTTAAGCCTTTTTTATTGTTATTGTTCTCCTCCCCCCTTCCCTTTCTCTCCGTAACATATATATTCTGTCAAGTGGAAACGGAGAATTATTGGCTTGCTGATACAAGTGACAAACAGAGAGGGGGGAGGGGGGCTTAAAAGAGATGTTGACCTTAAAAACGCATTGGTAATTTATTACTGACATCTATCTATTACCCAAAAAAAAAAACTCTATTTACAAATCCCCATCAGATAATCCCAACGATAAAAATCACACTATAAACATGGAGTGTCATTAGACTCTTTTGGAAACGCTTATCTTTTATAGACTAGTAAAATCATGAGATGGAATCTCAACCTGATCAAACAATAACAATTTGGCTTTTTGAGATCGATAAATTAAAAAAAAAAAAAACGTAATTGAAAACTGTGTGATCAAAAAAAGACCCAACGTGTTGGTTGGAATAATTTCATGTGTCAACCGACTGTACTGGATATTGTGTGAAAGAACTAGCAACTTGCTTACACACGTAGATTACAAATTTTTTTGATCTGTGACCTGTTTTTTGAGACTCCATCAAGATTTTCCCCTAATATATCCCTTTTTTGTTTTTTCAGCATTACAAATCAATTTAATACCTCCCGCGCCCCCCCTTATTTTGTACTATTATCAAACAACAAATGAACGAACAGGAATTAGAAAAACAACCCACCAGCATGTCCATTCCAAAAAAGAGACTCTACATGATAATTTCCTCGTAAGTCATTGCCCATTATAAAAAGTGGAAGGTTCTTTTTATTTTTTGACATGCGTTTTCTTTTTTTTTTTTTAGTTTGTGTGTAGTTTCTTTTTTAGCTGCGTTTGATAATATTATTGTAGCAAGTAATACTCCCTTAATAGCAGCAGGTAACTTTCACAAACAACAATTAAGAAACTTGTTTTATTAAAACAAACAAATCCACCCCCCCCTTTTAAGAGTTTAACGGCTTTGCTCTTTACGGCTGGGTGAATACAGTAAGGATCTCCTATCTATTCCAATCAAAACAAAAAACAAAAAAAAACTAATCCTACAAGCTAGGCGTTTCTATTAACAGCGTCCACCTCACAACCCATGTATGGTAAATGCGCAGACATGTTTGGTAGAAGAATCTGTTTCCTGTTTGCAACCGGGAGTTATCTTATTGGTGCTGTATTATGTGGTGCTGCACAGTCCATGATCATGTTGATTGTTGCAAGAGCCTTATGTGGTTTAGGCATCGGTGCATTTGATACCCTGATGAAAATCGTTGTTGCCGGTAAAAATTGTTGAATCCAACTCCTACTACCCTTTCGTTATCTAAAAACATTATCATTTAGATTATATCCCCGTGCGATTCATCGGCATGTACCAGTCCTTATTAGGCATATCGTGGGGATTAGGTTATGTCGTGGGAGCCCTTGTTGGTAAAGCAAGATATATGCACAAACAGATCTAAAAAAAGGCACAACCCTAATAATTTTATCTTTCAATCAAAAAAAAAAATATAGGTGGCGTAGCAGCTACCAATTCGGGTTGGAGATCCGTGTTTTGGATGGCAGTAAGTTGATCTAGCATATTTTTATTATTGTTATACTCATTTATTTTTTATTTTTTAGCTTGGCTTGTAAGTACAAAAAAGAGATAGAAAGGAGATGAGATAGACTGATGGTTACACATAGCTGCATTGTTGCCTTGGTACTCGTCTTTTTTGCAATTGAAGGCCCTGGATCGGACATGACAATGTCTGCTGGTTTCTCCAACGTGGATTTCATTGGCATGTTTCTCTGGACCTCGGGTGTTGTATGTCTTGTACTTGCCCTGAGTTGGGGAGGTACCACCTATGCCTGGAAATCCACACCCATCATCACTCTCCTGTGTGTAGCCGGTGTCCTCTTATTGGCTTTCACAGTCTTTGAATCCAAGTTTGCAAAGGATCCCATCATCCCTCGTGGTATATTTGCCAATCGTAGTACCGTCTTGATTCTCATTGCAGCCTTTTGTTATGGTGGATGTTTTCAATCTTTAATGACCTATGTTCCACTCTATCTGTCCGTCATTCGACAAGAAGAAGCCATGGCATCGAATCTGGAATTGTTGTGCTTAGTCTTGTTGGCTTGTATCTTTAATGTTCTGACAGGCTTAGTAATTGTCAAGACGGGTAAATATACATGGGCTTCCAAGGCTTCACTTTCAGTTTTGGTGTTGGCTTGTGGACTCTTGAATTTATTGGATGTACATTCGAGTCGTGGTGTGATTGTAGGATTAATGGTAGTGACAGGTATAGGAAGTGGTGGGATGATCAATAGTGAAATTATCACTGCACAAGCATCGGTTGCCCTGAAACAGTAAGTACACTTGGAGGGATAAGAAAAAAAAAAAAAAAAAAAAAAAAGGGGAAAAAGGGAAAAGCTTAAACTCGCTTTTTTGTTTATTTTATGTTTTAGTGTCCCATCAATTGTAGCGTTCATGACATTTTGTGATCAAGTGGGTGGTATTACGGGTATTACAGCGCAAGGTAGTATTTTATCCAATACATTGAGTTCAAGATTGCATGCATTGGCATTACCAGGTGTGACGCCCGAATTAGTGCGGTCCAGCTCTACTTACTTGTGGAATTTACCCGAGCCTACCCAATCCATTGTGATGGATGTCTATATGGATGCCATTCGTATGTCTTTTTGGGGATCATTTGCCTTTGCCGCACTGGGTTTAATTGCTTCCTTGGGATTAAAATCCTATGTCATGCGAACTGATATGAGTCATGATCTGATTGAAGTGGATGAAAAAACCACCTTTCCTATTGAAGAAAAGCACTCGTAAAATTATAGACACACACTCTTTTACCCCATCCCAATTTTTTTTTTTTTTTTTTTTTATGACAAATAATTGTTTTTTTTTAATATTATTATGACACAAAAAAAAGTTTAAGGGTTGGTTTTCTTCCATTGGGTATGGATGGCCATGGCAGAAGTAATCATACCGGCTAAACCAATAGCTCCTTCATCCAAATTTAACCATTTCAACCCGCCCAAAGGAATCATCATGTCCACGATATCTTGAGTTAATTGATAACGAGCCGCTTCACTAAAAAAATGTGATGATGATAAATTAAAACTCCATTCTAATTTTTCGCTTTTTACCCAAGACTTACTTTGTGGATTTTTTGGCTGATGGAGCGATATATAATTGATATAGACTTGAAAGGATAGAAGCGGATAAAGCCATCAGCCAACATTTTTGACCGAATTCTGTCACTCGCTTTGGATTATCTAATTTATGGAATTTGATAGTATCCAACTAATTTAAAGTTTTTGACATGTGAGTTCATACGACTTTTAATTTTTTTTTTTTTTTTCTAGGCTAAAAAACTTACCAAGCTCATAGCTTCCGAAGTATAATACAAAAAGTTGCTAGTGAATTTGATACATTGAGTAGCACGCAAGAAAGGATCGGGTAAGGATAGACTCTTGATACCTGATTGAGCGAGTTCAACGGGTTTCAATAAACGAAAGAATTTTCGACCGATACCCAAATGATTCTTTAATTCAATCCAGCGTTGTGGGTTGCTGCCTCCTTGACGTAATAAATAAAATGCATAGAATCTTGCAAAGTATTGCACAAATCGACACGCTTTCTCTCGTCCGTTGGTAACATTTAAAAATCGATTGAATGCAGTGATTTGCGCTTCTGTGATGGCCATTTCTGATAGTAAAGGGGTGGTTTAATAATCTTGATAAAATAAAATAAAAAGTTATCTAAACATTTATAGTTTTTTTTTTTTTTTTTTTTTTTGTAGCTCCACTACAAAAGAGTGACTGTGGAATTGAATTTATGCAAATTTATAAGAGGATTTAGGCTTCCCTTGTGCAAAATTAAGAAACATCCTTTCATTTGTAAAATGTATATAAAAAAAACGTGTTTAGCAACATTGGCCTCTGTCTCACCTAATTTTTTTTAGTAAGAGATCTTCCTTCTCTCTACAAAAAATAAAATCATGAGTGTGTTGATTTTTAACACGCAAACAAAATGACACACACACACACACACACATGTATGCTATTTTTAGTGCCTGTAATGGACCCAGGTTTTTGAACAATGAAGTAGCCTACTTGAATATTTTAGCAGTTTCGTTTTTATATTTAAAAGGGAAAACAGGCTCGAGGCTTTAAATTCAAGAGGGGGGATATAAGGCAGAATAAATGGTGCCCAACAGATTGCTAGAGTAAGACAAGAGTGCTCCATTCTACAGTGATCGCTTTTCCAAAAAAAAAAAAAAAAAAAAAAAACTGAATTCCATATTTTTTTTTGCTTCTTCTCAGACTTTGTCGAAATTGGCTTTTTTTGCATTTAACTCAAAGTTCGCGTTTGATCACAGTAAGAGACTATGAACTCTATGCATAGTACACATATCTTCAGAAATCGTTCATTATTAGCAAAATCGTCATAATGCGATTCGCGGATAGATGATTTTTTTCTTTTTCAGTGTTTGGTAGTACAAAAGAATGAAGGTGTTTTTTTTATATCAAGTGTTTCTTGACAAATGTATAATGTATCGTTTCAATTCGCGTACAATCTGACTTTGGAAATCCGTTAGGTAGGAAAAGGCGTTGTATTCAGAAGCGAGTCCAAAAAGACGGGTGGGATGGTCGTAGCCGTTTTACAGCCTGTTTGACACGATCTCTCTTGGTTATGATTCTTAGGTTGGGAATTGAGATAAGCACTTTCTTATATCTTACTAAAGTCTTTATTCTTCCCTAATATCTTTAGTTTTGTTTACAAACAGTTGTCTTATTCATACACTGTTTCTTTGTGAAAGCTTGTACGTGGTAACCATTTAAAAGTAATGCCAGAAATATTTTTTTTTTAAAACTCCATGATTTCTGCCACATCACGTGTGAGGTTTAAAATGCAAAAGTGTGTGGCGATGGATGGGGTTCAAGAAAAAGACGAAAACTATGTGCAACTAAAGATGTCACAAAATAGATATCAGGGTCAAAGAGATGAGTAGAACTCTTGTCATCTTTTTTCTTTCCAACTTGGAGATTTTTCCCCCACACAACCCTTTGGTTAATGTAAAACGTCATTTTACACTAAAGAACTCAGCGAAACTAAGAAATTAAAATATCTATAAAAAAAATAAAGCCTAATTTTTTTTTTCTTTTCCTTCTTCACTAAAAAAACACAAACACACACACACACACAAAAAAAAAGATGTCTATTGTATTTCCTACGGGACAAATTACACTTGATAACCGTAAGCCGGGCCATGCCGGTACCTTAACCGCAGACCAAGTCAAGTCTTTAAAGAGTCTTTGGGTACGTCTTTTAGACTTATTCGCACAAGCAGGCGACACCATCCACTTACCCGACCATAGCCACGACCGACCGGTCAAGAAGGGAGGTTTTTTAGGTTTTGGAGGTAAACCACAGGAAGCCCCACACGATTATTTTATTGGCGCTACATCCGATCCTCGATGGACGACATTGCCTCTCGAGAAGGCTTTGCCCTTAATTCCTGGCGCATTGTTACATGAGGCCTTTTGGGGTTTGGTCGCTACCGATAACCCGGATTCAACACTGCTGCGTTTTCTTCGTGCTCGTAAATGGGATTTAGACGCCTCTTACAATATGTTGGTCAATACATTGCGTTGGCGACTCGAAGTGAGAACCAACGAAATTGTCTCGTTGGGAGAAACTGGATTAATTGAGGAATTAGAGAAAGCGAAACCTGGTTTGGGAATCTCGTTCAAGGACAAACTGGATTCCAAGATGGTGGTCTTGGGTGGGCCTGATAAAAGTGCTCGTGGTTGCTGGTAAAACAAATGTTTTATGTGTGTATGTGTGTGTGCTGTATTGACTCTCTCTTTTTTTTTTTTAAATTTTTTTTTTTTTTTTTTTTTTTGTATGTGTGCAGTTTTGTCAATGTCCAGGTTCACCATAAAGACGACCAACCTCTCGAGATTATGAAACTGATCACAATTTATATCATGGAAACTTCTCGTGTCATTTGTAATTATCCCATGGATACAGTTTGCATTGTATTTAATTTAGAAAACTTTACTTTATCCAATATGGTAACACAACTATGTTTTATATGGGCGCGCATTCGATGTATTGCTAAACACTCTTTACCAACCTAAACCATAGGATTTTGAGGCAGTCAAATTTTTAGTCGAATGTTTCCAAGCTTATTACCCAGAAACATTAGGGCTTGCCTGTGTGCACAAGGCACCATGGGTATTTTCTACTAGTAAGAATTCGAAAAAAAAAGGAAGCAACACAGTTTATTTATTAAGCTTTTTTTCCTAGTTTGGAGTCTGATCACACCCCTTTTGGACCCTGTTGTGGCTAGTAAGATTGTATTCACCAAAAACTTGGATGATTTAAAGAAATATATCGACGCTGAGGGTTTACCTGTGATTATCACAGGAGACAAGACAAAGCCTTCTCTCGATGATCTTGCACCTCCTCGACCTCCCCAAGCTGGACCAAAATGTGTTCCTGCGGACACACCCGTTATTCGACTCTATTGGGAGACTGTCAACGTCTACGAAATTGATACGAAGCAATGGTGCGCTGTGCCTGAATTTGGAGGTGATGCTGATGCGTTGGCCCGTTTGAGATTGGCTCAACAATACCGCATTGCTAGAATTAAGGCCGAGAAGGTGCTTCGGGGTGAAACGAGTTATCATACAAAGGGATTAGTGTCTATTGATGAAAATGATAGATTGATTATTAATTATAATACGGGTAGTTGGGTTAAAAAGGATATTACCGAGTGGGTCTAACGAGTTATTGAACCTTCGTGTGTGTATATATGTATACCATTTTCATCATCTCCTAAATAAACAAAAAGACATCTAATATATAGATCTTGAGAAATTAAAAAAATCATAATTCTTCTCTTCCACCCCCCCTCCGTTAATATCAAGCATGCTGTTACAAGGGATTTATCTCGGTATTTACTCGGTCTGTTACCATGACAAAAATAGAATATATATAGTGAAGCGTTACATTTTCTGCAATTGATGAATCACAGTAATATTTTTAGTCTGTACCACTTTACCTTTAATTCTTCAATCTGATTTAGAATACGGTGAGTAGGCATGTATAAGGGCCCTTGTTAACTTGCAATCATTTTGATGGTAAAAAACATTGTATAGTTCATTCTATTAACAACCCCAAAGGTCATGTCGTTCGCTATTGTTGAACTAGAACTAGCCCTTACTATTTTATAAACTGTAAAAATAAAATAAATTTTACTACTATTCTGTTTTAGTTGACACTGTTACAATCCATAAATTTTTGCATTTTGATATGAATCAGTAGTACCAATGAGATCTTAGTAAAAATATAGTGTAATGTAGTAATAACTGTTGTGTTTGGGTTATTAAAAAAAAAGGGGGGGGGGTGTTGTACGATGCCGTGTAACCAATAACCGTACGTCATTTAATTTTATTATCATCCTTTCAATTTCTAACATTTACAAATGGTAACGCAAACATATTCGAAATGTACCTCTTTATTTTCAATGGCAGAAGATTTTTTTTTTTTTTTTTTTTTTTTTTTTGGTAAAATTTATGTATCATGTCAGTGTTATCAATCCTTTCAAGATAACCCCATGTGAAACTTTTTTTTTCTTGGGAGAATAATAGTAGCAATAAGGAAATGAGTCTTACTTTTGCAATGATTTTTTTTTGAAACCTAAGTCGTAGTACATTTTATGTACTCTTTGTTGGACGGTTTCAATATCGAGCATTGCTGTGCATATCTGTGCTACTGCGTCGCATACGATAACGTGTTAAAGTAGGCAGAGATAACGAATTCATTTAACAGCTCTTATTAACTGCGACAAACCTTTCTAAAATAAGCTTTTCATGCATAAAAATAAAAATAAAAATTGACAGGCTAGAGGGAATGGATCGAATATAAAAAAGGCCTTTTTTTTTTATATAACAAGAAAATCATTATTTACATCTCTTTTTTTAAATAAGCAATGAAATTTGAATTACCTTCTTTGGTCGTATTGTTATTGGCATCCAGCGTTCAAGCAGATTTAAGATCTTGGGCTTTGGGACTCGGAAAAGGGTCCAGTGGTATTGCCGTTCCACCCCCTGGTAGCGCAAATAACTCTGGAAAACAGTACGAAACTTGCTATGTTGCTGGATTGAATGATCACAAGAATGAACACTCTCGCGTTTGGTTCTCTCCTGAATGTTCTGGTAGTGGATATTGGAAGATGGCATACAATACTGATTGGGGAGTATGTACCATGTTTGGTGATACCGCTTTGACAGGTTGTCCCTTCACTTCATTCTGGACGAGTAAGGCTCAAGTTAGAATTATCAACAAGGGTAGTCCTACTCAAGAATACACGGATCCCAAGGGTATTACGTTCATTGGCTGTGCTACTAATGCTAGAGTTGAACTCTCCAGAGATGAAAACAGATATTGTACTAAGGACGCACCTGCTGAAAACTGTAAAACAATGACTAGTGGCTCTATTCTTTCATTCTTGTGCCCTTAAAATCATATATTGATGATAATAAAGTCTTCCTTTTTTTTTCTCTTTCTGTTGAAATAAATAAAACCTGTCTTATGAATCGGTGATTGTATCAATTATTTATGTTTGAAAGAAAAAGAGGATACAAATTAAATATTACCATGTACTATTGATAACTCACAGCGCATGTGTAGATGGAGTAAACCGGTAAACAAGCGGTTTTAAGTGTGCCTATAAATATCTATTAGAAAGTTATACAAAGATTGAATTGATGCAGGTGGTAGTCACTACAATAAAGGAAGCTGCCACATATTACTATGAAAAATTTACAAAGAGTTAAGCATGTGTGTTAGACTATTATAATCCCCACACACAAGGTCGATAACACAACATTTTTAAAATATGTATTTTGTTTTGTTATAGACTTGTATCTAGTTTTTATTTTTCTTTTCAAGTTTATACAAGGTTGTTTCTAAGACAAAAAGCTGTTTAAATGACCGCTTTTGCTTGATCAGTTTAAATAATATGGGCATTTTTTTTTCTTAGTGGGGCTAAAAGGATTTTGACTTTGTTGAGTAGACTTGTACAGTTTACAGAAGAGTGCCCTGGGAGAGACTATATTATAAAATTAAACAAACAGGGCTTCGTTTTTTTCTTTCCTTGCTTAAGTTTTAACTTGTTTTGTTCAAGCACGTAGACTTATAGCAAATGTTTGAAAAAAAAAAACTTTCCTGCCATCGCCACCTTTTCATTTAGAAACATTTATGTCACATGATGATATTACTAGTATATCTTGGTAAACAGCCATCAGTGGCAAATGCTTAACTGCAGACAAGGCTTTTTTTATGTCAGTATATCACTACGTCTCAAAAATGGGCTCTTATATGTATTAAAGTACAGCAGCCAATGTCTCAAAAAAAAAAAAAAAAAAAAAAAAAAAAACGCACACCAAGTAACAAACCGGTAAGCAGGCTAAACCACCAGCACTAGACACATTCGATCAACTACTTTGACGAGTGTCTATCCGCCATCATAAAGGACGCAGTTGAAGTTCTGATACAGAGATATGAAGGTTTGGATATCAAATGCCACACGTAAATCATTTTGTTGACATTGGGAAAAACCAAGTCAAGAGCTCCTCTGACACTGGCTGCTCTATCTTCTATCACAACTTTTGGTAAAGTGCCTGCTTTATCATAAACCTTTAGATTATAATAATTTAACATAGTGAATGGATACACAACAATAATTATGATGAGTATACAATTTTATATTTAAATGAAAAAATAAAAAAAAATCGTAAATATAGGATAATTCCTCTTCCCTATTTGTGTAATGTGTCATGTTAGACTTAAGCCTATCTCAAGCACACATTTTTTTTTTTTTTTTTTTTTTTTGAAACAAGTTCTTTTTTTTTTGTCGTTCGATGTGTAGCAAAAGTAGGCTTAAATATGGATAGTTTTGCAGAAAAAAAATATAAAAAAACAATAGGATCAATTAGAATTCTTGTCAGATTTTATTGATGTTAAAGTCAAGTAAGGATTTAGGAAGAAGAAAAATAAAGAGTATTTATAGTCAATAGAGAAATAGTAACAATAACATGTCTTAAGTTTTACGATACCGTGAAAGTTTAAAGTAGTGACTGTCTTTAGCGAATTCCATTTTTATGCCTGATCATGATTTATCATTTATCACTGATGATGAAATATGAATTTATCATATGTATAATCTATATGTGTGATTTAGCACACTATGATCATTTTAGTCCAAAAAAAAAAAATTGATCTTATTTTATTCGACATGTCTTCCAAAAAGAAAAAGAAGAAACGAATGGCAATTACAAAAACTTACAAAATGGAAAGGTTTCCTTTATTTGCTTGAAGATTGTCGTTGAATACATAGTAGGGGACGATGACGTAGAACTTATTTCCATTCGGATGAAACTCAATTAATACAACTTGATGTTCAATGTCTGTCACATATATAACCGCCAATGTTGTTTGCGTTGGCCTGAAAGAGCCTTGACAATTCGAACAGACCTGTCGTGTCGGGTCACTTCGTGGGGTTTATTGAATTTGACTAGCGCCAAAACTGGGAGATAACATTCAAATTAGCATGATTAAAAGAAACCGAACGGCACTTAGAAGCCCACAACGATGTGGAACCTGAAAGTGGCTAAGGTAAAAATAGAAAAAGAAAAATGAGGGAGATGCTAACTCATTTAAAAACAGGGATCAACTTACTTTTTTGTAGCGGGTAGTACACAACACATAATGGTTCCCCCCTGCCTAATCTCGTTCCTTCGTATTTGGTATATGCTGGTGGATTAAACAGTGTTGTTTATCCAAGCACGAGAAGCAATGACAATTCCAGAATCACCGAAAGAAGTAGCATTAACACCACTAGATCTTCGGTAATATTTACATAGGGCATCTTTTACTCAGCCACATCTAATACCATTTACTAGCTCACCATCCAGAGAGACGTTCCCACCAAATCGAGCACAAAACTCTACATTATCAAGGCAATGAGAAAGATTTATGAAATCGATGTCACCTTGTCCGGATGGTATGATCAAATCAATGTTTCTCGTAATATCGATGATGGCGTTGCTAAAATTATTAATCACAAATCTTTAGATAAGCATGCTTGCATTCCTAGTGCCAATTCTTCTTGAATTGATCAGCTTGGACAGTAATCTCTCTCTCCTTATAGATCTCATTGAGTAACTCATGAATGGACCTTTCTTCTTGATAACGTGCGAAGTATAAATCAGGTAATGCCGCACTGAACGAAATACGCTCCAAAAGATACGTGTGGCAAGTAGCAAAGTAACTACTAAAGGTAATATATTTCTGTTAAATAATGGAATTACTCATATTTTAGTATACTGATTCAACCCTTCATTTCACTGATTAGATCTGGTGTAAGATCCCACTACAACGGAAGAGCACAACCCTTGACCAAGCCCAGCACGTTGTTTTCTCAGACCTGTTATGTAGATTGGGTAGAACCAATGTGGGAATAATGTATAAAAGGAAGTCCAATCAATCCACCGCTTATGTACCATCAATCTTTTCAAAAGCATTGTCGAAGCTCCGCTCAAAAGAAACAGGGACATGCTCTCTCGATGAAGTTATACAATCCCCAATAACATTCAAAATGTTAGTTGAAATGTAGAAAGAATAATTGGCAACTGAGACGGTTTTGTCAACCTTTGTATAGCAGTACTTTTGATCTTGGAAAATGTTTTCGGTGATCAGATCGTATAAATGCTTGCTGATACTTCTGGCTATAAGATGGAGCTCATTCAACGCAAAAAAAATGAGGAATGTCAATGGCTCACTGAAAACACTATGTTGGCTATTGTTTTTTATCTATAGTAGGTACACATTATCATTCTTGAGAAAACAAAAGGTTACGCTATAATACTCACTGGATTTCCAGTCATGTAGTTTGGCAGTGTTCTCAATGGAGGAGGACGGTGTTCGAAATACTTTCCATAAGAATTATTGTCCGGACTTCTCCCTTTTAATTCTCAAAAACCACAACCGTATGTACTGCTATCACCAGATCTGAGCCATTGTCAGGAGCAGGCGGGGTAAGGGCAGAACAGAATGATTATTTTGGTGAGAACAAGAAGGAAATAAATTATGTATGTATTAGTATTAATATGTCTGATAAGTCTCTGTTTTACATACCTCTTTTGACATTGCAGGTTTTCTTGGAATGATTCTATTGAACAAATTGATGTCCTTGACAAGATAACAAAATCTCCTGCAATAGACGGAGGGATGCCAATTAACATTAGCAAGTTTGGTTCTGTCTCGTGCATGTTGAAGCAATTACACATGTATCATTCGCATTCTTCAATGGAAGCCTACTTTAGTGGCTATCATAAGCAAGTGCGTTCTGCAACTTGAACAAAAAAAAAATGCGGCCTGTAGTTTGTTTGTTTGTTTTTTGTTTGACTATCAACTATTGGCTGAACTTCAAACTTTTTCTTGGATTCAAAAAAACCTTCCAAATACGGATATGTATCCTCTGATTGGTGTGCTGCGTTTTGTTTATTGTTGGCAAAACAATATAAGAACAGCCTCCCTACCCTGCTTCGCATTTCTTCTTTATTTCGTTTCATTCCAAAAAAAATGGGAAATACAAAAGCGAAAAAATCCATCTAGTAAGTATTTTTGGAAGACAATATAGTTAGTACAGACACTCATGAATTGATCATTGTAGCCTCTTTCAAGCAAGCAGACGAAGACGAGGAAAGTCATAATGGGCAGGTACCACTTCATTGTCCTGCTTCTTCAAGCAGTGATAATGAAAGTGGTCCTCCCGTCATTGACGCTTCCAATGATGCCGAATCTAGCAACGAAAATCCTAAAAAAAAAAAAAGGAAGATAAACATGGCTTCTCTCACCAAATCCAAAAGGGGGGTAGGTAAAGATAAGTGTTATATCACATAGATATTAAAGTATTCGAAATAGTACTGTAATAGGTCCATAAGGCGTATGATCTATAAAAAACGTCGACTAAAAACGGTGTTCCTTTTGTTTTGGAACACTGTTGGCAAATTTTATCCGCCGAGCCAAAGTGGGCCATGTACAACATGCCTAAGCCTGTTGTAACGAAGACAAAAAACAATGGCAGTCTCGAAGTCATTGAAGACACTGAGACGGGTTCTTCTTCTGGGGATGTAGCACGCCCAATGGAGTGTAAAAAGCTGAAGGTACTGGAGCCGCGTGTACGTCAAAACGAGGTAGGCGAAAGCATTGCCGCCAGTTTGAAGGATATTTTGGAGTTGAACGAAAAGAAGTTAGGATGCGTTTAAAGCACTTCGAAATAACACAGTAAGTTTACTATATTGTTTTTTTGAGCACCTTGCTGAAGTCATCTTTGTTTTTTAAAGGCAACCTATGAAAGATGTACAAGCTGTAATGTGGCGATGGCTGGTACCGAATCTGAATTTCAGTTGGCTGCCCCAACGACAAAAAACTGTTGTGTTGGGTGTAACAAGTAAGTTAAAAACAAAGTAGAAGATCGATCACTAATCATTGGTATTAGGCTTGCTGGCGTGTTGCGAACAAGGGCGGAAAGAGCAGCATTTAATATGTGGTTAAAAACTGGCAAAATTTCTGAGTCTGACCAACCACCAGAATTGTCTCCGACTGAAATAATTGAACGATTAGGGGCACGCAGAAACTCTATGAGGACTAGAGTTACAAAAACTAAAAGTAACGGAAAAAAGCTTGCTTCCGTTGTACAACTTTCAACCTTGTGCCAAGAAAGTCAATTCAAATGCGTTATTACCGGCAGTCAAATTGCTATCCACGACAAACACCAAACCAGATACCCGTACTGGGCACTTTCAATTGTTCATAAAAAGCCATTGTCCCAATGGAAAAATGATCCGAATGCCTGGTCCATTGGCAACTTACAAGCAATGGCCGGCTCCACTAATACTATAAAGGGTGATCTGTCGGATGACGAGGTAAAACGATGGTACCACCAGTATTTTAAATACAATTGTTAATAGTAAATAAAGTCCCACCTAGGCTAAAAAAACTTACTTAAACAGAGTAAATGCGGACGAATGGGCGAATAGTCGTCTGGGGGTAAGCATCCGTTCAAATCTGAGCGGATAATCGTCCGTGAGCGAGTATCCGTTCATTTTGGGTAAATAAACAATGGTACACAAAAAATAAAATTACTTCATTTACTCAAAAAGGGTAAATATTCGTCCAGGGGCAACTGTTCGTTCATTTTGAGTAAAATATATAGGTTGCACAAAAATTTAAGCTTTTTATCCGTTCCATTTACCTGCAGCAGACGAGTATTCGTCTATGGGCGAGTACTTACTCACATTGGGTAAATAAAAATTACTTTATTCGTTCCATTTACCTGCAGCAGACGAGTATTCGTCTATGGGCGAATACTTACTCACATTGAGTAAATAAAAATCACTTCATCCGTTCCACTTTCCTGCAGCAGACGAGCATTCGTCTATGGGCGGATACTTACCCAGATTGGGTGAATAAAAATTGAGATCCAAACCTTAAAATTACTCATTCATTCCATTTACCTGAAGCAGACGAGTATCTGTCTTAGTGTCCTGCTGTCAAGAAGCTGCGTATACAAAAAAAATTATCTGCCTCCAGTCATCCCTCCGTCGTAACAGCAACCTCTAAAATGTACATATAAACGGAGTCTTTTTTTTTCCTTTTCTGTTTCCTTTTCCTTTTTTCTTTTTTCTTTTTTAATATCTATTTTTTATCTTTTTACCTTAATAAATCAGTTTTTTTTTAAAAAAAAAAATTACTTTTATTCGTTCTTGTTTCTCGTAACCATGTAACTGAATAAACGTCTGGGCTTACTTCTTTTGCAATTACACTCTGGTAAACTCATCATTCCATCTCTGAAGTCCCTCCCCTTACTTATCTCTCTTTTAAATCAGCATAGACAGGTGTATAAAGGCCGTGCTTGCAGTGTACTACGCCAGTGCTATAAGTAAGTGTTTTTTGTTTATGGCTTTTCCTTTCTCTAATTATCTCTTCAGACTTACGCTTCCTGCTTTTACCGTTGTGGCGGCTACTCTGTTTAGAAAAGGAATTAGTACGTATCAATTTTGAGTCTTCTTATCATAAACTAACCTAATATTCATTTAGAAAACTTTGGCTATCTCCCTTGTTTTTAGATTATACGTTGCTTCCTACACAGAATAATCAATGACTTCATGTTATGCCATGTACCGTTTACTTTTTAGCTCATTTAAGTAGTAATCCTTCTACATAGCAATTTGTCCTCAAGTATCAAAATATAAATAAATCTTACTTTCATTCTTTTAAATAAAATATATAATCAACTTTTAAAACTGCAAACCAATTTTTTCAAACGAATGAATGTATTAAATGATTCAATATGTATAAAGGAAAGTTTTTTATCTGGCTGAAGGCTGAAAGGGAGAGCTGATTTTAAAATATACACCACCTTAATTATGCATTTAATCCGATTTTTTTTTTTTTTTTTTTTTTTTTTTTTTGGGTAAATGGGTAAACGCTTACTATAAATTCGTCTAAACGAGTAAATGGGTAAATTTACCCAATTCGTTTTTTTTTTGGGTAAATGGGTAAACACTTACTAAAAAATTCGTCCAAATGGACGAATCAGGCGAAACATTATAGCCTTGGTGTCCTAAAGCTTAGTTTTTTTAAATAATATCAATATCATTTGAACCAAAATAGACGTATATGTGATAATTGAGAATAAAAAGGGAAAAGTAATTGGGAAAATAAAACAAGTAAAGAAATGAGACTCTATAATCCTTTATTATAAGTTGGAGAGTATGTCATGATAAAAATAGAGGTCCTTTTTATATTCAATTGTTACTTCAAGATTTTTCCTGCACAGATCGAATTGACTATTTGCTCGCAAACTGGGAAATGGTAGAATTAGATTTAGAAATCAGTTACATATGAAACATAGCTTATTGTTATATACAAGGAGCTAGTTGACCCATATCCGGCACTTCTAGAGCATTATAGTTTATCCATTCAATGACAGGGTCCTTGATTGGATTACTAAAATAAATTTATGAGAAACTAGAAGATTTGGCAGCTACTCGACCAATCCGTGAACGATTATGAAATCTGATCTCAGTTTGACATATGAGGGAGCTGGTACTGTGTCGTACCAATAGGAATGTATTCGCAATATGGTATTTATAATACATAGGTTATATGTATTATAATTGAGTGACAAGATAAGAGTAATTGTATTCGTGGAATTAGGCGTCAAATACGACATTATCACCTACAAGCATGTCATGTGTGTGGATAGCAACACACTTCTTTACAACACACTTGTTACCTTTTTTATGGAAGAATGGCACGAATCATAAAAGGGCAGTTCTTCAAGTTGGTCAATGTCAATCTCTTGCGTGCTTCTTCAGAGATGTTTGCATTCCTCTTAATTTTGATACCAAAAACAAAGGCTAATTGGTCGTAAGGGGTCAACCCATTAGGTCCAAGTGGTGAACTGTCCTTAACGTAATCTTGGAATCCAAGATTAATAGCTGCAAGATCGCAAGCATCAAGAAACTCCTCTGCGGTTTCGAAAGTGTCTTTTTCTTCGAGAAACTTGGCTTTCATTTTATTTGTTTAAAAAAAAAAGTATTTCGGAAAAACTGCCCTGATTTCTATAAAAAATACGTGATTTCTATAAAAAATACGTTTAAAAAACAGTCAGAAAAAAAAACTCCCATGAAGTAATGACACAAAAATAAGTTTTTTTGTTTTTTATTTTCATTGTGGACAGCCCAAAAAAAAAATACGTTTAAAGAAATTAAGGAGGTCTAGACATGTCCCTTTTTTTTTTGTCGTTCTACGATTTTTTTATTATCATTTTACTCCAAAAAAAAATTTTTTTTTCTTATTTTATTCGGCATGTCTTCCAAAAAAAAAAAAAAAAAAAAAAAAAAAAAAAAGGAAACGAATTGCAATTACAAAAACATACAAAATGTAAAGGTTTCCTTTATTTGCATGACGACTATCATTGAATATATAGTAGAGGACTGTCATGAATCACGTACTTTGCACTTTGCCCCTGACCATACATCCCCCGACTAATAGAATGTTCTGGAATTTCATGGTTAGATTCCAGAACATCAGTGTCCAGGACCTTCCAGGACTATCCATGCAATGAACCCCCGCTTCCAAGTATCTCCGACGCCAAGTAATTAGTAGGCTGAAACCAACACTAAAACTAATTAAGTATGCCAAGACATTCTTAAATGCAAAGATATAAATACTTCGCCTTCCCCGTTCCATGTCGATTGTCTTGTATTCCTTTCCCTTCCTCATAGAATCATTTATTATTATTAAATTGTTTATAAACCACTCTTCCTTTGTCTTTGTATAACTAGTAGGTATCTTCTGATATTATTTCTATAATATATTCCTTATCACATTCCTGACAGGGACAATGACGTTGAACTTATTTCCATTCGGATGAAACTCAATTAGCCCAACTTGATGTTCAATGTCTGCCACATTCATAGCCGCGAATGTTGCTTGCGCTGAGCCTGAAAGAGTCTTGACAATTCGAACAGACATGTCGTCTCGGGTCACTTCATGAGATTCATTGAATTTGACTAGCGTCAAAACTGGGAGATGACATTCGAATGAACATGCTTTAAAGAAACCGAATGGCACTTAAAAGCTCACAGCGATGGGGAACGTGAAAGTGGCTAAGGTAAAAACAGAAAAAGAAAAAAGGAGTGAGATGCTAACTGTTAAAAACAGGGATCGACTTACTTTTTTGTAGCCGGTGGTACAAAGCACGCAATGAGTAAAAGATACCCTTTCTAAATATTATTGATGATCGAGTGGTGTTAATGCTACTTCGTTTGGTGCTTCTGGAATTGCCATTGCTTCTAGTGTTTGGATAAACAACAATGTTTACTCCTCCAGCATGTACCAAATACGAAGGAACGAGATTAGGCGGGCACACCATCCGTACCTTGCTTCCCATTTCTTTTTTATTTCCTTTCAGTCCAAAGAAATGGGAAATAAGAAACGCAAGAGTCTTTCTAGTAAGTATTTTTTGGACGACAATATAGTTTGTACAGAAACTCATAAATTGACTAATGTAGACGAAGACATTACCAACAACAAAAGAAAGACAGACAAGGCTGAGGAAGCTGATAACGAGCAGGTACCACTTCATTACCCTGTTTCTTCAAGCAGTGGTAATGATAGTGGTCCTCCCGTCATCGGCTCTTCCAGTGATGCCGAGTCTAGTCAACCACCACTCCCCAAAAAAAGGAAGCCAAACACAGCCATTCTTCAAAAAGAAACGAAAAAGGTAGTAGGTAAAGATACGTGTTATATGACATAGATATTAATGTATTTGCAATAGTATTTTGGAGGATTTCAAAGCCCTTGTTATAGGAAGAAACCGCTTTGACAACGTTATCCCCCGAAGAAGAAGAAACCGCTTTGACAGCGTTATCCCCCGAAGGGAAAGAAACCGTTGTGGGTGCGTTATGCCCAAAAGGGGAGGAAACCGCAAACCGGACAGTAAGTTTATCATATATTTTTTTGTGCACCTTGCTGAAGTCATCTTTTTTTTTTCAAAGCAAACGTGTAATATTTGTAACAGCTGCAATGTCAAAATGATTGGAACAAGTCTTCTGTTTCCATTGGCTGCCCCAAACAGCAACAACTGTTGTAATGGGTGCAACAAGTATGTTAAAAAACAAAAAGTAAAACGTCGACCATTAATAACTGTTTTTAGGCTGGCTGGGTTTCTTTAGTCTGGCGACACAAAATCAGATTTCAATATGTGGTTAAAAACGCAGAAGATACCAACGCACGATAAGCCGCCAACGATGTCTCCGGATGTCTTGACCAAAAGATTGACAGGAAGAAGAAAGTCAATGAAAGGTAGAATCACAAAAAAGAGAAGTAACGGTACCAAACTTGCCTCAGTTGATCAGCTGAAGAAACTTTGCCAAGAAAGTGGATACCGATGCGTCATAACCGGGTGTCAAATCGCTTTTCACGATCCTAAAAAGCAGAGATACCCATATTGGGCTTTATCCATAGATCACAAGTTGCCATTGAGGCACTGCAGAAATGATCCCTTTGCCTGGACCATTGGCAATCTCCAAGCCATGGCCGGCAGCATTAATGCTATTAAGGGTGATCTGTCAGATGACGAAGTTAAACGTTGGTACGATCAGTATTTCCTTAAAAATTGTACATAATAAAAAACCTTCTTAGCTCAGTTTTTCTAAATAATATCAATATCATTTAATCGTAACCTTCCCTCGTAAAAATTAAAAAGCCCGCCGTTCCATGAATAGGGGTGAAGAACCATTTGATACTGTGTGGAGAATATCTTTGATATAATAATAAAATTAATTTCATATCACATTTAGGATGGATAAGTATATAAAGTTTAATCATGAATCACACATTAACCCACTTGTTCTCATTCTACTTTTGATGTCTATACACATGGCATACCCTGTGGCGAGTAAATATTTATTCTTGTTTTGCATGGAGAACAAAATAAAAAATAAACCAAAAGCGATACTGTTAGAACTTGGATACCCCTTTATTATGGACGAAAAAATATAATTAATAACGTATAAAAAATGTATTCAACAAAATGTATTCAAAAAATGTATTGATGGTCTATGAGAAAAAACTATGGATATTTATATAACGAACTGGGATAGTTCTAGGGAGAATAGTAAGCGCTGTGGTGACCTAGCAAGGCTATAGCCATATTAGAGCTCACTATGGCGGAAACAATGGCAACTATCTGCCATTTACTTCACAAAACTGCCATTTTTTTGGCGTGCAAAAGTGGCAGACATGACATTCTATAATAACAAAAGGGGCACAACTGCCATATTTTTGGCTGGCAAAAATGGCACCTTTAACAGTTGAATGAAGCCAAGAGGTTCACTGCTGCTGTTTTTTGGTTTTAAAAAATGGCATCTATTTTAGTTTGTTGAAGACAAATCATTCACAGCTTCCATTTTCCTGGCTTGTAAAAGTGGCAGTTATGATATTCTATAATAACAAAACGTTCACAGCTGCCATTTTTTTTTAAACGGACAAACCCTTAACCTTTCTTTTAGACCCATTCTTCTATATTGGGTAGGCTCACATTTTCTTATTCATCGTTATTATTGGCAGTAAAGCACGTTTTATTGGATTGTTTATTTATATCTCAGTGGTGTATAGGAGGGTTTGATATAACTTTAACCTTTTTATTTAGGTATGTGGTTGTATACATGGCAATAAGATATACCATTATAATGCTTGGATGTTACTTTAGCTTACCTTTGACTCTCTTAACACTCTATAAAAGTATTGTCAGGAAATAGTAATATTGTAATTAATTCTGTATTTTATTACCAGCCTTAAGTTCTGATGTCGATGATTATTTGACCGGTGGTGTTCCTAAAATGTCGTCGTTTGAGTGAAAGGTACACAGAAGAAATAGTCTATATTAAGTAGTATGATATCAATAAGAATAAAACATAACTTTTTAAAGGCTATTTACCTGTAAAGATAGAACCGTTTATTGATGAGGACCATTATCTATGGAAAATGGTTATATTATACAGACGTACTTCAGTTTGATCAAAATAAAAAAAAAATAGGCTAAATTTTTATCTAAAAAAAAAAACCCTTTAGTTTTTTATACAGATTACATGTTATTGCTTCAGTCATTGCAAACATACCCAATTCCAACATAATTGTTCACACTTTCCGTTATTTTGAAGGTGCTATATACCCTTACCATTGTTATTTGAAGGCTATTTATTTTAAAAGATAAATAAAAGTAAAAGAAAGAGAGAAAAAATTGTAAGCTAAAAGAACGCTAAAATATACACTAATAAAGAAGCTAAAAACCAGAATGGACCAATCATGTCGACCAGACACGACTATTATCTTCTTCTGGTTCTTTTACGTGAAGGTTCATTCGCTACCTCTGGTGGAGGAGAACTGTATAAAAAATAATTATCGCATATGAGTATACATATATCAAGCATGAAAAACAATAAAAAAAACTTACAGCACGTCTGCTATGATGGGGGACTCATCGCGACCCATATCTTCGAAAGCGTCATTGATAGAGTCTGAACTATCGGGATCTTGTTGATTCTACATTTTTTTACCTTGTTAACGATATTGATGAAAGAAACCGCTAAAGAATGTTTTACTGTTACCCTTCTCCTGTATGTTTGGTTGTCCCTTTTAAAGCTCTCCCTTAACAAGCTTTTGGCACACCACATTCTCTTACACTGGTATATTTTGAATCCCTTGTCATTCGCAAGCTTTTCCAGGCGCAACATGTAAAAATCCCTATCATTTGCCGGGATATCCTTCCAGTTTTTTAACACGTCAGGGTGGTCCAGGTCAATCAAATCATGCTTCAACGAACGTGCCAGTGACTTCAACTGAACTCGTTTGATTTCCAAATCACGTTGTGAAATTGGGACTAGAGGTGGCTTTTGTTGCTCATCGGGAATTTCCTTACAAAATAACTGCCAGTCTTTTGTGTGTAAAAGTTGCAGCAGTATACTAAGTCTACCCGAGACCTTCTTTCCTTCAAACTCTTCAGAATTTGTGTCAATCGTTCGTTTACCAAGCTGATCAGGATATTCAATCACTTGGGATCTTTTTACCGACTCGGTGATTCGATCAAGAGCTTAAAAAATACAAAAAAAAACTGATTCAGTCACGATTATCAGAATCTGGGAAGGATATGCTTTACCACTTTGTTCGACGATACTTTTTTGTATCATATTTACATCTTCATCGGTGATGTTTGGTGCAAATTGATTTTTGAACTGATCAGACAGCGCAGCTAGCATTTGTTTGATCTCGGTAACGTCAAGTTCGATTTTACGAACAGAATTGGTGAGTGCAATATTCATATCAGACATTTGGAAATGTTTGTTTTAAAATAAATTTTTTTAATGAATAAAAAGGTATAAAAAAGTTAAAAGAAGATATGCTAGTACATATAATATATTTTTATCCCACCTTTAGTTACTTGGAGTTGAATTGTCTGCTTATCTAAATTATGTCATTTTTTTTTTTTTTTTTTTTTTTTTGACGACATGTCGTCATGTCATGGCGTTTTAAAATTTAAATGACGGAAACAAAATCGAAATTAATACTTAAGGTCAAAGACCATAGCTAATAATATATCGTACCTGTCGTCATCTTCCAGGAAACTTTCATCATTGACGTATGTCACTATGAAAGGGAAATAATTAAAAAGGCGATTTTAAACTTAAGTTATTGAGTATATAAAAAGCACCTTACATATAGACATTACTTACACCGCTTACATTTTCCAAATATAAATCACACTTCTACAAATATCAAAATTTTCAAATGTCATTCCCTCCCTCTTCGTCAAATGCCAACAGACAAAGAGATAGACTTCCTCGTGAAGCTTTTGAATGTGACAGCTGTTTGATGATCTTTGACAGTCACCGTCAACTCCAAAACCATAAGAGAGTTCATATAAGAACAACAACATCTGAAGATACCGATATGCAAGAAAGCAATTATAATTCTGCTGATAATGGAGACGTCAGTGATTACGGTACAAATAACTACCTTATCTCCTTATTTTAAAAATAACTTACAAGATAATTTTAGTCTCTACCCCCGTTGGCATGGATGTTGATGACCAAATCAATTATAATTGCGGATGCAGCTTTGAAGAAAATGAAGGCAGGGCTCACGTTTATCAAGCCAGTAGAATCGGCTCCAACACATTCACAAAAGCTGAATTAATGAGCATTCATCTTTCCCAATTGATGCTGCAACACAAGATAGCCAGAGCTGCTTACAGGGACATTGTAAGATTTGTTAATACGGTTATTCGGGACCACGATGAGATTATGATGGGTAATAAAAATAAACATATGGTCTTGATACATTAAATTTTCTAGCATCACATTGGTAATTCATTCAGAACCCGGAGCCAAAATTAGCTATGGTGAGGTTGTTGCTGATTTAGTCAAAGCTAAATCCAGTGTTCATGGACACGAATATGATGTCTGTCCCAACGGCTGTAGATTGTATGGATTGGATGATGAAGAAGACCAATGTATCGACTGTGACGAAAAGCGATATAAGACTAGCACTGAATTGATTAAGGTCCCCAACGCCAGTATGAAATTGATGTCTATCGGTGATCTTCTTTCCAACATGTTGGCTGATCCTCACACTAGAGACCTTCTAAAGTATAGAGCCAACAGGGAATCAAGAAACATGCAAATGAGTGATATTTTCGATGGGCAAATTTACAAGGATCTGGTAAGAAAGGGATTGTTCTCCAATCCTGACGATATCGCCATTGGTCTTTACACGGATGGGTTTGTAAACCAAAAGAAGGGCAAAAATTCTTTTACAATCATCCACGTTGTGATATTCAATCTTGATCCTTCCATCAGGTAACAACTTATACTGGTCTTAAAAGTTACAACTTTCTAAACACTAGACATTAGATACACAAACGAGCATATGTTACAGCTAGCAATTTTACCTGGTCCTAAAAAACCTACTCATCTGGATTCATTCTTGCGGCCCATCATCGACGAGTTAAAGGATTTGGAAACCCATGGGCTTGCTGTTAAACGTGGTGATATCGAAATCTGTCGCTCCAAAGTATATTTGTTGCTGGCCTCTGGTGATATTCCAGCTGTGGCGGATATGGCTCACATCGGTTCTCATACCAGTACATACGGTTGTCGTTTTTGTGAATCGAAAGGGAGAAGTCCAGACAATAAGTCTCATGGAAAGTATTTCGACGATAGTTCTGCCCTATTGAGACCATTGCAAGACTACATAACTGGAAATCCTGTAAGTATAATGACTTGACCTTTTGTTTTCTCGAGATTAATAGAGTGTACCTACTATAGATAAAAAACATTTACCAACCTAGTGTTTTCAGTGAGCTATCGACATTTTCCGGTTCCTCATTTTTTGGGTTGGATGAGCTCCATCTTATAGCCAGAGGTATCGGCAAACATTTATACGATCTGATCACAGTAGAAATTTCCAAAGATCAAAAGTACTACTATACAAAGCGAGATAAAACCGTCTCAATCGCCAACTATCCTTTCTACATCTCAAGAAAAATTTAGATATTATTGGGGATTGCATCACTTCATCGAGAAAGCATGTCCCCGTTTCTTTCCAGGGTAGCTTCGACAATGTTTTGAAAAAGATTGATGGTACACGTGCGGTGGATTGGTTGGACTTCCTTTTGTACATTGTTCCCACACTGGTTGTGCCCTACCTGCCTAACAGGTCTGCCAAAAATAACGTCCTGGGTTTGGTCAAAGGTTGTGCTCTTGCATTGTAGTGGGATCTTACACCAGATCTTATCAATGAAATGGAGGGGTAAGTCGGTATACTAAAGTATTGGGATATCAGTTATTTAACAGAAATATATTACCTTTGACAGCTTCTTTGCGACTTGGCACACGTATCTTCTGGAGCAAATCAATCTAAAAAACATCTCTCGGAGCGTGTTTCGTCCTGTCCAACATTACTTGATTCAAGTTCCATACATCATCAAGTAACAAGGTCCCTTGAGGTGTTACTCTGCAAGATCTATGGAGAGAGTGATTGGTGTATACTCGAAACTAATTTAATCAAGAAGAATGGGCGGTAGAAATGCAAGTATGCTCATTGAAAGATTTGCAATTCGTAATTTCATCAACGGTATTATGGATATTACGAGGGAAATTGATTTGATCGTACCAGCCGGACCAGGTGACATCGATTTCATGGATCTTCCTGATAGCCTGGATGATGTGCAGCTTTGGGCGCCGTTTGGTGGTAACGCCTCTCTGGATGGTGAGATGATAGAAGATATCAGATGTAGCCGAGTAAAGGATGCCTTATCTAGATATTACCGAAGATCTAGTGGTACTAATGCTGCTACTTCTTTCGGTGATTCTGAAATTGCCATTGCTTCTCGTGCTTGGATAAACAACAATATTTACTCCTCCAGCATTTACCAAAGACAAAGGAACCAGATAAGTCGGGAAACCATTACGTGATGTTCACCACCAGCTATAAAAAGTAAGTCGATTCCTGTTTTCATTGAGTTAGCTCCTAACTCCTTTTTCTTTTTCTATTTTTACCTTAGCCACTTCCACGTTTCCCTTCACTGTTGGCTTGTAGGTGCTGTTCAGTTCTTTTTCAAGCATGTTGACTTGAATAATATCCCACAGTTTTTGGCGCTAGTTGAAGTCATGAAACACCACGACGTGGCCCGACACGACAAGTCTGTTCCAATTGTCAAGGCTCGTTCAGGATCAGCGCAAGCAACATTCGCGGTCATCAACGTGGCAGACATTGAACATCAAGTTGGGTTAATTGAGTTTCCTCTCAATGGAAACCAGTTCTACGTCATTGCCCCCTACTATGTATTCAACGATAATCTTCAAGCAAATAAAGGAAACCTTTCCATTTTGTAAGTTTTTGTAATTGCCATTCGTTTCATTACTTTTCTTTTTTTTTATGGAACACATGTCGAATAGAATAAGGTCATATTTTCTTGGGGCAAAATGATAATAAAAGAAGCACAGAACCGAAAAAAAGAACTTCTTTTTTTTAAAAAAAATAAAATAAATAAATCTGGTTTTTAAAATAATAAAAAAATGGCAGTTTGTTACCATTTGCTTCACAGGCGCAAAAAATTATTTTTTATACCGTAACCCATCAAATTCGGATCAATATTGCAACAAATTTTTGGCATATACCAATCTAATTTTAAGTTCGAGATAGTTTTTATAACATCTAAACTACATATTGACGGTTCCAGAAATGTTTTTGAAGCACTTTTGTTTTTTTATGATATTATGATCATTTGTAGCAATCTTTTGCTCGAATCTTATTGGCTGGGGATATCGAGCAAATAAAAAAATGGCAGTTATGTTTCCATTTGGTTCACAGCTGCTGGTATGTCCGCCATAGTGATTATTGGATCATGATGTAATAATCTGGTGATAGTAAATAATCAACACGTCTCTAAATTTAGCCCTTCCATACTGAGCATATAAATATTAGTCAGAGGAATCAACAGTTACAACATCAAATGACAAGAGTAATATTTGTGCTCACGATCTATTAATATTTTATAGTCCAGGCCCATTCGATTGTATTGTTTTTTTGCGGAATAAATATTTACTCGCCACAGGGTATGCCATGTGTATAGACATCAAAAGTAGAATGAGAACAAGTGGGGTAATGTGTGATTCATGATTAAACTTTATATACTTATCCATCCTTAATGTGATATGAAATTAATTTTATTATTATATCAAAGATATTCTCCACACAGTATCGAATGGTTCTTCACCCCTATTCATGGAACGGCGGGCTTTTTAATTTTTACGAGGGAAGGTTACGATTAAATGATATTGATATTATTTAGAAAAACTGAGCTAAGAGGGATTTTTATTATTTACAATTTTTATAGAAGTACTGATCGTACCAACGTTTAACTTCGTCATCAGACAGATCACCCTTGATAGCATTAATGCTGCCGGCCATGGCTTGGAGATTGCCAATGGTCCAGGCAAAGGGATCATTTCTGCAGTGCGTTAAGGGGAACTTGTGGTCGATGGAAAGTGCCCAATATGGGTATCTTTGCTTTTTAAGATCGTGAAAAGATATTTCACACCCGGTAATTATGCATCGATACTGACTTTCTTTGCACATTTTCTTTAGTTGTTCGACTGAAGCAAGTTTTGATCCGTTGCTTTTTTTTTTGGAGATACGGATTTTCATGCCCTTTCTTCGGGCGCCCAATCGTTTTGTCAGCGTTTCTTCGGACAACACCGGCGGTCGATCATTACTGGGTATTTTGTGGGTTTTCAACCACATATTGAACTCGGATTTATCCTGGCCTGAAGAAAGAAATCCATCCAGCCTAAAAACAATGATTAATGGTCGATGTTTTTCTTTTTGTTCTTTAACTTACTTATAACATCCCATGCAACAACTGTTGCTTTTTGGTGCTGCCAACTGGAACAAAAGACTTGTTCCAATTATCTTGACATTGCAGCTGTTGCAAATATTGTATTTTTCCTTTGAAAAAAAAAAAGATGACTTCAGCAAGGTGCACAAAAAAATATATGATAAACTTACTGTCCGGTTTGCGGTTTCCTCCCCTTTTGGGCATAACGCACCCACAACGGTTTCTTTCCCTTCGGGGGATAACGTTGTCAAAGCGGTTTCTTCCTATAACAAGGGCTTTGAAATCCTCCAAAATACTATTGCAAATACATTAATATCTATGTCATATAACACGTATCTTTACGTACTACCTTTTTCGTTTCTTTTTGAAGAATGGCTGTGTTTGGCTTCCTTTTTTTGGGGAGTGGTGGTTGACTAGACTCGGCATCACTGGAAGAGCCGATGACGGGAGGACCACTATCATTACCACTGCTTGAAGAAACAGGGTAATGAAGTGGTACCTGCTCGTTATCAGCTTCCTCAGCCTTGTCTGTTTTTCTTTTGTTATGGGTAATGTCTTCGTCTACATTAGTCAATTTATGAGTTTCTGTACAAACTATATTGTCGTCCAAAAAATACTTACTAGAAAGACTCTTGCGTTTCTTATTTCCCATTTCTTTGGACTGAAAGGAAATAAAAAAGAAATGGGAAGCAAGGTACGGATGGTGTGCCCGCCTAATCTCGTTCCTTCGTATTTGGTACATGCTGGAGGAGTAGACATTGTTGTTTATCCAAGCACTAGAAGCACCAAACGAAGTAGCATTAACACCGCTTTGTACCACCGGCTACAAAAAAGTAAGTCGATCCCTGTTTTTAACAGTTAGCATCTCACTCCTTTTTTCTTTTTCTGTTTTTACCTTAGCCACTTTCACGTTTCCCATCGCTGTGAGCTTCTAAGTGCCATTCGGTTTCTTTAAAGCATGTTCATTCGAATGTCATCTCCCAGTTTTGACGCTAGTCAAATTCAATGAATCTTATGAAGTGACCCGAGACGACATGTCTGTTCGAATTGTCAAGACTCTTTCAGGCTCAGCGCAAGCAACATTCGCGGCTATGAATGTGGCAGACATTGAACATCAAGTTTGGCTAATTGAGTTTCATCCGAATGGAAATAAGTTCAACGTCATTGTCCCTGTCAGGAATGTGATAAGGAATATATTATAGAAATAATATCAGAAGATACCTACTAGTTACACAAAGACAAAGGAAGAGTGGTTTATAAAAGATTTAATAATAATAAATGATTATAGGAGGAAGGGAAAGGAATACAAGATAATCGACATGGAACGGGGAAGGCGAAGTATTTATATCTTTGCATTTAAGAATGTCTTGGCATACTTAATTAGTCTTAGTGTTGGTTTCAGCCTACTAATTACTTGGCGTCGGAGATACTTGGAAGCGGGGGTTTATTGCATGGATAGTCTTGGAAGGTCTGGGAAGGTTCTGGACACTGATGGTGTTGAATCTCAGCATGTGATTTCAGAATATTCCAGTAGTCGGGGATTCAGGGCGAGGGGCAACGTACGTCGGCATTCTGGCTATGGGTGTGTCCAATCAAAACTCAGGGATAGACCATAAGTAGAGCATTCTGTTGTTAATTAGTTTGTTATTCCGCTTTGAAGGGTTATAAATAAAAACAAAGGAACAAAAACTTTCGGCACTTCTGTCGTATTTACTCCTATTAAACCGAATAATTACAATTTAGCTTGCCTCTTCATTATAACACATACCATGTTATAACAAGAACTCTAGTGAATATCATTCCTAGTGGTTAAAGGCACAATGCCAGTAACACACCAGTGCAAGAAACAGTGTCTATTTGCATGGAACTGGTGCAGGATTTTTAGAAAATTCGTACCTCTTTTTTTTATGAAAAAAAGAGAAGCCGGTTAAATAGTTTAATCCATCAAAAAATGAAGAGAATGATGTCTTACGCAAAAAGGAGCTATGGTGTATGATATCTAATAATCGTTCAAATGGGTATCGCGTTGTAGTGAACAGATTCTTTAAATTCAATATTAAAGTAGTTTTTGGAGACCGTAGTATCAATAAATTCTAATCGATGGTCATCTGAAATCACAAAAGGGGTTAGACCAGAACAGTAAGAGCACTGCAGCAGTTACACTTAAAAAAAACTCTTACCCTTAAGAGCACTAAAAAGGTTGTGTGTACCTGGATAGATATTTTTTGTTTTCTCTGTAAGATTTCTTCCTTGTCAAAATAGCTGGCATTGTTTATTTTATTGAAGAAGGAAAAATGGATGATTGTTGCTTCATCAATTTTCAACTTTGGAAAACGTGAAGGTAAGACAAACAAAACGTTCAGGACATTGCTCGAGGCAAAAACCTTAATTTTACATTTTAAGCCCCACAGCTAGGTGCTCTAAAAGTAAAACAGGTTGTTTTTATATGATATGAAGATATCATGAATAATGTAGACTTTCGATAGTAAATGCACTCTTTAATAACGAGGAAAGTAGTTCTGGCGGCAACTTTATTTAAAAAAAAAGCAAAAAAAAAAAAAAAAAAAAAAAAGGTTCACAGTTAAAAATAGAATTATCATCTCATCATAAAAAAGGTCTTTTTTCCCCCTTCAGATTTTTTTTATTATTTTTTGCCAAAATGATTCTTCATCTTTGTAAATGCGACCAATGCTTAAGAAAAAATCCTCAAGGAGTCGAGCTCCGTATCACCAGCTACAACTACCATTTTGAAAGACAAATGCGTTTCAATGCACTGATGTCTGGCAGTAACAACAGTAAGACATGTCTTTACTTTCTTCAGGTCAAAAACAAAAAAATATTAACAGCCTAAATAGAACGTCGAAGAACGAATGAGGTTGAAGAGAACATTCCCAACGTTGAGGCACTTGCCGTTGAACAAGGTTCATGCAAATTGTTAAAAAAAAAAATTTTCATCGCAAACTAACTTTACAAACAGATATCATGAATGATATAAGCAGCAGTAATGTCGAAGAATATGAAGACAATATCGAAGATGCCGAAGATGTAAGCATGGTAGTTGATGGGGAAGATGACGATGACGATGACGACGAAGGAGAGGAAGAAGAAGAGGAAGTTTGTGCCAATGAGAATATCGAAACAAACGTCGAGAAGAATGTCGATCCTAAAAAACTGAGGCACAAATCAGAGCAGACATGTATGGATTATTTGCTGCCAGTTTTAAGGTTAAGGAAGGTCTCACCGATAAAGCAGCTGATACCCTTCTTCAGTTTTTGAACATCGCTTTAAAGGATGCCAATGATAATAATCAACCTGCTTTGCCAAAGTCGTTCCAAACAGTTGAGAAAAAGTTTAATGGTGATTGGGATGCTGGTGTCACCAGATATACGGTTTGCGGAAAATGCCATTCAATCTATGCTCCTGAAGTGACCAAGGTATGATAATTCACGTTCTTAAAATCAACGTCTAATCATTATAATGCAGGATAAAACACCCTCTCAACAATCATGTTCTTTTGTCTCGCTGGATGGTGATGTTTGTGATGAAGTTTTGTTTGAGCAGGTGAGGAAACGTAATGGCAACAGCATCTACAAGCCCAAGTTTGTTTACCCCTACAAGTCTCTCAAAAGTTCGTTGCAAGAGTTGATTCTTCGCCCCGAATTCGAATCTACAATGAATGATTGGAGATTAAGAGATGTTGTTCCAGGAACGTATTACGACATATATGATGGTAAAATGTTCAAAACATTGATGGATAACACCGGCCTTCCATTTTCAACATTGTGAAATCCGTTGTAGGCAACGTTAAATGTCGACTGGTTCCAACCTTTTGATAATGTAAATTATTCTTGTGGTGCTATTTACATGTGCATCAATAATTGGAAAAGAGAAGATCGATTTAAGGAAGAAAACATCATCCTGATTGGGCTTATGCCTGTTGAAAAAGAGCCAAAACTGGACCGAATCAACACGTACTTGAAACCCTTGGTTGATGAGCTTTTAGAATTGGAAAGAGGAGTGATGATGAAAACGGCGGCAAAACCTGACGGGATTAAAATCCATTGTGCTTTGTTGATGTTGGCATGCGATATACCTGCTTGCAGGAAAGTAGCTGGTTTTGCAGCTCATTCCAGTGGCCATGCGTGTAACAAGTGTGAAGGTCAATTCCCCTTGGTTGAAGGTAGACCTGATTTTTCCGGAATCAACACTGTTGCCAGTAAATGGCCTGAACGATCGAAGGCAAGCAACTTACGAGCGGCGTTGAGTTGGCGCAATGCCACTACTGAGAAAGAAAGAGAGGACCTCGTGAAGGCAAATGGAACAAGGTATTCCGAACTGCATCGATTGGGGTACTTTAATGTTGTTAGACAAAGCATTATTGATCCCATGCACAATCTTCTTTTGGGGACATGCTCAAGATTTGTGAAGATTTAAGGGAAGAAGGGTACTTCACCAAAGTCAACTTGGAGAAAATGCAAGTTCTTGCCGACTCGGTTGAATTAACTGCTGGTTTTGAAAGTATTGATCAAAAGATTGCAAGTGGTTTTACCAACTTTAAGGCTGACAACTGGAAAAGTTGGTGCCTGAGGTATTCCCCTTTTGTTTTGACAGGTAAATCTTATTCGTCATAAAAAACGTCTTCTTTATTAACTTTGTAATGCACAGGTATTTTGCCCAAAAAAAACCATGAGAAACTGGATGGATTTTGTAAATGCATGCAGATATATTTTGAAAACCGGCATCAAACAATCCGAGGTTGATAAAGCACACGAGCTCTTTTTGGATTTCAATAGAGTAGCGGAAGGTTTATACGGTAACAAATGTCTTGCAATGAATCAGCATCTTCATGGGCATCTGAAGCAGACCATTGAAGATTTTTCAGCACCACATGCATACTGGCTTTTCTCTTTCGAACGTTGCAATGGATATCTGGGATCGTTTAAGAACAACGGAAAAAATGTGGAAATTACGTTCATGAAAAAGTTTTTGGAAAAATACAATCTCCAGCCACAGTGTTAAAAACGCAAATTCGTGATATAACCAATATGCCGGAATAGCATCGTTTTTGTTTAAAAAGAACAATACCGACAAGTTTATTTGACTCACCGTCCAAAGCCAATTATATCAGCTCCTGAAAAACAAATGGTGGGTTTATGTTGCTTGAGTACGTAATTAATGCAGCAATGTATGTCATGTGTTTCCCAAAAGATGCGACATTGTTGAATATTTATGAAATGTTCCAAAGATTTTTGATATCAGTTATCATTAAAGATAAAATCTGAACATTGCTCAATTCATCAGAGCTTGATATACTCACAGAACAATAAGTAGAACGTGCAATAATAAAAAAAAACCAAGATAAAGTTTCTCACAAAAAATACAAACAAAAAAACTTTGGTTGAATTATTTTATACCTGATGGATATTGTGTATTTTATAGAGCATACATTTACACTCCATTTTTTTATCTGTAAAAGTAGTTTTTATTGCTTCAAGATTAGCATTAAAGCATAAAAAGAATATGTTATATGTAATAGTATCCTATGATTATTTTTCAGGTTGCACAATAAAGCATATCTGCTTGAGCTAAATAAAATGTACAAATAATGCCTAATACGATTGGACATAGAAAGTAATTTTTAAAGCGAAAACGTCGTTATGATGCATCAAAAATGTCGTGTGACATTATTTCTTCTGTCGTTTCATCATACATGAAAAAAAAAGAGGTGCGATGGGAGTTGTGTACCACTCTCAGCCTTTCAAACAGTTGCATTGACAACTAATCCGACTTAGTGTGACCATGTGTCAGTAAATTTTCTATTGGTATATTGGGCACGTCTTTGTTGCCCTGTATATAAAGTAAAAAAACCGGGTACAAATTCCATCATCTATCATAATGTCTTCTACAAAAAAAAGGACC